GCCTCTTTTACAATGTAGTAGTGGCCTGCGAAAGACAGGGGGCCTTTCTTATCCATTGAAGGCTATGTCAATCCGAGTTTAACATCTTCGGACCTCATTTACCCCGATTTGGTTATAGGATCGCTAGAAAACGTGCGAGTTATAAGGAGAAGACGAGAATAATAAAAATGTTTCAGTTAACAATCACTCAGGTTTGCCCAGGTTATTCACTTGGCGTTAAGTGGTGACCGCCGCGGCCGTAGAGGCCATCCCATACAATGGTTACTGATTAAAATCGACGGACGAAATAAAAAATGTACGGATAAAATTTTTTTTGGAAAAGGAAGTTTTATATTTTGTGATGTATAGTGGTTATAGTTTATCTACCTTGTTTTATTGAAAATATGTTATTATGAATTAAGCATTAATATCCTGTTGCATGTTAATTAACTGACTAAAAAAATAAAAAACAACTTTATAGTTTTTATTAATAATACAGGCCAGCAACTGTCGATGTCATGGCGGAATTTTCCTTGAAATGAGATATCAATATAGGACCTGGTTTAGTCTGTAATGGATTATTACATATTACCGAAATTATTACTCATACTCATTTTGATATGTGCTCAAAATAAAATAATACATAATATTAATCCGCGTATGCTGGCTGTGCTGACCTTAAATGCGCTTGAGTGAAATTAGCGAGATATGCGTACTGTCATCTGCAGAAATGGACAAATTGTTGGATGAAACAAAGAAATTCCATTCTGTTAAATACGTTGATGTTTAAATGTTTAAAATGTTTATGTTTACAAATTCGAATGCATAATTTCTAACCAAATTTAGAGACGTATTTAAGTTTTTTGTAGACGAATATTTTTTTAACTGTAATAAAATATGTTTTAACTGACTCGTAACCTGCTTAGGACGGTTCTTGTGTATCACTAAGACATTAATAAGATACCACTTCACGCGTACAACGAGCGAGAACCGCAAAATTGTTCAATCGTAAAATCCGCACACGGCGTCCGTCCTTCGGCGGGTAAGTCGAGTGCCCGCCATTTTTCTGACGTTGACGGCCATTGGCCTCTGTCAAATTATCCCGCCTCAACCTGATTGCTTCATGCTCAATGAGGTACTCACCACTGATTTAATTTCAATGTTAAGCTTAATTGGACAGCGGCTAAATACATTTATGGTTTTAAATAAATAAGGTCTCATAAATCATAACCTTTATTTTTTGTTTACGTGGGCTAAATGCTTACGCATACCCGCCCTCGCAGGGGCAAGAGCGGGTTATGTCGGACTCGCACCGACTAAAACCCCCACGATGTTCCACCTAGGCGCATATCGGCAGGGTCACGGGAACACTTTTGCATACTTCTGCGACCCTGCCAGCGCTGGCTGACGACCCCACAGCAACCCTCCCCCCCCCCCCCCCCCCCCGGGAATATTATTCCCCTCTCCTTCAGATAAGGCGGGCTGGAACATTCAGCACGCCTTCCTACTTGGCCCCGTTTTCGACAAATCAGAGGCCATGGGAGCTAGGAGAGCTAGTGCCAGTAAGCATCAAGCCACCCATCCCCCAGCGGTGGATCTGGTCTGTGGCTCCGCCGCTCACTACGTTTCGGTCGCCGAGGGTAGGGAGAACGGCGCAACGCAATACCGACACTCCTCTCCCCCCGCGGCCCCACCACCACTGCATCAACGGTGCAGCCTCGCCGAGTCGCGGAGGATAGGGAGCACGGCCAACGAGATACCAACACTCCTCCTCCCCCGCGACTCTTCCTCGGTAGCGGAAGACAGGGAGAGTGGCTTCACTTCTACCCCCTCGACCTGTCCCCTGCACCCTCCAGCACGCATCCAGAGTGGGCTCAATGAGCCCACTCAGAGCGGCCCTCTCGGGCCGACCTTACGCCACAGACCAGCCCAGTGTGGGTTCCTCTTAGCTTCGCCGTGGGTGACCAAGCGACGGCTACTAAGCTCCTCCGGCACTTACATATTTCCAAACGTAACTTTAATTATCGATTCCAATAATTAAAAGAAAAGTAACCTTATTACCCTGTATTTGGTTAAGAGTTCACAAATTGTTTCAGCCAATATTAAGTAAGTAATGCTCACTTATACATATTAATACCTTAGCAACCATAAGAGGCATAAGTCTATGTAAGAGAAAAGAAAACAGTTGTAAAGAGGCAAATCTGAAAAGATTTTCGAACGAGATTACTTAAGGCCTCCTCTATACAGAGGGTGTCAGGGCATAGTCCACCACGCGGCTGCACTGCGGATTGGCGGACTTCACATATCTTCGAAATAAATTTTTTTTGTTATTATTTCGAAAATATGCAGATTTCCTCACGATGTTTTCGTTCAACGCGGAGTACGTGATAAGTCAGCACTTAAAGTTAAAAACTTCATTGGTGCCGGCACTCATGTATATACTATTTAATATCCCTTAATCGTACCTTTACCAGTAATAGTAATAATACTTTTGTTTTTATTCAACATTCAACATTAGTCTATATACCTATGTTCATTTTTTGTAATATTTTGATAACATCAATTCCCAGATAAATGCATATAGCGAAGGAATAAAAAAGTAGGGAAATTAACATTTTATTACTTATTTTACGTTACGGCTGAAAGACCAGAAATAAAATTATCTCGAAAGTTGGAAAACAATTTTTTTTAAAGTTGTAAACAAAATATTTCGCATAATTCAGTGAGGTTTCCTTGTCACTGGCTGCGAACAAAAAACAACGCTTAATTAATTTTACGTTGGTCTTCCCGCCTGCGGTTTAAGACTAGTTTTCGTCAGTTTCATGAATACGTAATAATTCTTTGAGAACATTTATTTCTTAATAGTCTTTAAAACTGTTTGTCATTCAAAACAGTCTTATTTTTCTAGCAACTAAACTGTTGCAAATAGCTTACCACTGATAAGGTTAATTAACCGTTTTTGAATGAGATGTTTTCAAAAATCCAGAAATGAAAATCTACTAAATAATGAAATTAGATGATTCCGTGGTGCAGTTGCCAGGGTATTGGCTTCGGCGTCGGGGGTCGTGGGTTCGATTCCCACACGGAAAAACTTTTTGGGTGACGCACAAATAGTTGTTTGCATCTTGGTTTTTGTCAATGTCCGTGTTTTACATAGGTCTTTTATGAGGGCGTGGATCAGCTACGAAGTCATATTATATAGTAGGACTTCTTCCGTCGCCAAGTAAAATTTTAGAACTTGCTCGTCTAACCCGAAGCATAAGATTTGTTAATAAAATTAAAATTGTTCAAACCTCTAGGCCAACAGAGAACACTAAAGCTGTCGATTTTATGCGATGTAAATGTGAGAATATTATATACTGCAAGTTTAGTACCATAGGTTTAAAAGATATTAATAATAGCCACTAATACTTTACACCGGTTTTCTGTGAAGCTCTTTCAAGGCATGTTTTAAATATTCACGTGAACATTACACAACTATAATTAAACTATTTTTGCGAATCATATCGCGTTTAATTTTAACTTAATTTCTCGATGTTTCGAATATTTTACGGCATTCATGATAGATCTTACAACTTTAAGCGAATACTTATTGTATATTTCTAGTAATTATTACAATAGAAGTATGTAATTAGTATGTAAGTTTATCATTTACACCACCTACCGTTGTCCAAATTAAAATATTTTTCACCTCAAGGTTGTCTGGAAGAGTTCGCTCCTTAGGGATAAGACTGCCTTATTGTTTATACCTTAAGAGGTATAAACAATAAGGCGGTCTTATCCTAGTTTATAGTTCGGTAACATATCCTTTTATGTTTTTTGGTGTTCAATAAAGTATATATAATAATAGAATTTGGATCAAATTTATTGTTGTGATCAGGCTTTCTTTTAAAGTTTATTTATATAGACGTATTTCCATAAAAAATGCGACTTTCTGTAGAAAAAGCGAAAATAGCAAAGTAATATAACGCCGTTTCGTAATTTTTTGAGGTACTCGCGTTATTGTTGGTTGTTAACCTATTCGTACCCAAAAACTTTGTGAGATGGAGTAGTAACATTACCGTCGGAAAGTTCGGTCACAAAGAACTACATTTACAGTTAATAATGACTGCACGGACAGCTCAAAGGTTTAGTTGGTCATACAGGCCAAACAACGTGTTGAAGGTTCGATTTCCACAAACTCAAATATTTCTAATATCCATAAATTGTTTCGATTCTGTACTTTACGTCCGTGATTATCACGTTAGTATAACCTCCCGAGAAACACAAATTATTACCGATTGCGGGAGACATTTTTTAAAGTAAATTGATTCATTTATTCATTTCCTAATGAGAGTAACAACTAAATGAGAGTATCAACTAAATGAGAGTAACAACTAAATGAGAGTATCAACTAAATGAGAGTAACAACTACCCCTTCCATAAAAATAATAAAGAGAAAACAACACCGATTGTACCGTCTATAAAACTTTACGATTTTCCGTTAATGGTCTACTCGAAGGTCTGTGGTGTCAGTCAGCGTACAAAAACAGACTTAATATAACGATAACATATGCAGAAGTGAAATAATTGAAATCTTTTAATGGCAGTTTATTTAACTATATAATTTAATGGAAACAAATTATTCATTAAGATGAATTAGTTGTAATGATTCGATTAAGAATTTAGAATGTTGTCAATGAGTAACTACCCGAGTGGACGCAGTTTGATTGTGTTATAGAGATATTGAAATAATTTTAAAATTGGAAAAAAAATTTAGAACTTTTACTTACTAATAAGTTTCACAAAAAAGTAAGTTAAACATATGTGATATACATGTATAAAAACTAGGGGCTGTGGATTTTGTTGCTCAATAAAATAAAATAAAATAAAAACATTATAGCTCAGGTAGAGATGAGTGGGTTTAAATATGCGGGGCCCGTAGAAATGCTACTCTCGCTACGCGGTTAATACGGCACTGCCTGCAACAGCCAAAACCACGGCTAGCTGTAATTTACCGTAGTAGACGTTAACTTTGTTACATGGCTAATGTACACGGCACATTGTTTCAGTTGGCAAAGCATGAGGGACTGGCGAGAGTAGCTGGCGGAATGGCGGGCATGCCCATTTTGGGCAACAGCGTTGGCGCTGGCGAGCTTCGAGACGCTAGCCGTCGTGATCAAGGTATGTTCCAGAATCTTCTCTGTAGAAATAGACAGCACTTTATAATGTATCTGTGAAAATTATGTTACAGTTTAGATATTACTATTATAATGATGATGACATTCGCAGTAGAACAAAGGTAGCCGACATAGCTCAGAAGATTAGCAAGCCGAAGCGGCGATGGGCCGCCTATAAAGCTCGTAGAACAGATAACCGACGGGGAGGAAAGGTTTTTAAAGCGGCATCCTCGTACTGGCCATCGTAGTGTAGGACGACCCGCCACTAGATGGTGTGAAGACCTGTGCAAATGTGATGGAAGTTGATGGAAGGAGATGGCTCAGGGTCGTGCTTCGTTGCAGTATGTGGGGGAGGCCTATGTTCAACAGTGGACTCAAACAGACTGAAATGATGATGATGATGATTATAGTTATATTGTGATAAAGCTATACTCTGTGCCCGTTTTAGAAATAGACTTGAAATTTAGACCTAAATACGTTAACGGATTATTCGTATGCCACGATAAATTTATTTACTTATTATAAGTAACAGACTATATTTATAATTCAAATTGCTGGTCCGACATTTCTTAGATATGCTATGTTTCCTCTGATGTGTTCCTTCACAGATAAGCACGTGGAAATTCATAACATAAAATTGAAATTTACAATTTCATCTCACTTTAGTGTTCTCTGGTTCGTCGAACAAATTTAACAAAACCGGTCATGGACACGAACCCGACACGTGCACGCGCAACGTATTGAATATTTTAAATAATAAATACGCAGGAATTGTGGAATTGAACAAACCGAATAATTTTCCGTATTCATTCGCTGGAACAACTATTGTTTTTTGAGCTCATGTGTATCGGATTACGTGGATTTCTCTCTCGCAGCGTTCAGATTTTACAGAAATGCATTTCAATGCCAGTCAAATTATTATTCGCTATATACATTGTGATGTTATGTTTAAAATAAATGAACCGAAATTAACCGACCACATTTAACGAACTTAATAAATTGTTAGGCCTGCCACTGCCTTGTGCAAAGCAGAAGATCAGAAAGTGTATTAAAGTATACAACAAGTATGTTTATTGCTCATACAGTAGTTTGTCAAATTACGAGTAACTTGGGTCATACAACTGTTACTTCGTTTCTTATATTATATTACACTTGGGGGAGAAGGTTTTCATAAAACACAACACATTACGGTACATTTTTTTTTTTTTTTTTCAAAATCAAAATTTCTTTATTCAATTTAAGCTTAATTTTTACAAGATTAAATCTATCTAAAATTACATTTTTTGTGTTCGATCATGATGAGTTATTACTGTATGTGAGGAAAACCTCAAGTACCAGTTCCATTTAAATTGAACTGGAAGTGATGACATGACCATGAATGTTTTAAATTTGCAAACGTTTGCACGTTCACGACACCTTGGGGCTTCCATTTTTCATACGTTCAACTAAGTAATAAATCCTACTACGAGGCTATCTTCCATCTTTTAGATTTAGATCAAACATATACATTCAATTCACGTTCAGTGGATCCAATAAAAATACTTTCCTAATTAAAATATTCAAAAACTTTCGGATCGTTACAGATATTTTATTTTTTAAATCAATGACACAAAGTTCACCAATAATGGGAACAACATTATAAACACTTCAACATAAACCGCTCAAATTTTTTGTCTATATGCATAACGGCTACACAATAGCCGTGCAGTCTATCTGTTTATGTTGCTGACTGTACTGGTTTATTTGCAGACGCGAGCAACAGGTCTTCTAGCAGTGGCTCGCAACGCGGCCCCTCTCCCCACCGGGAACAGGTAAATATGTGCAGCTACATCTGAAATAGAGTAATGTCAAGAATGTGGAGGGTCTGCATTAAAATACCACTGGCGCACTTTAAGGCCTGTAATTACTTTCCATGTTAAGTTTAAGATATTAGCAGGACCAAAACGTATATAATAATGTTTCTTTTATAGGATGTTTTCCTTTTCATGAACCGTTCGATTATTACATAATTTTTTTTTAGATTTATCTCCCTTGTTTTAAAACTGAAGTTCCGAACAGTTTTCAGCATTCATGGCCAAGGTCAACAATGTCATTCGAACATCTAACGCTTCAGTAATTGTAGATGTGCGAATTAAAATTTATATTAAATGCGATTAAAATCACACTTAGATACAAGAGATGATCGTGTGTTAATTACATATTATAGGATAAATCTATTTATATATATATATATATATATATATATATACACATAGATGTTGATATGTATAGCCCTGTCGATCACGTGTACCCTTCTACCGTACTTAAGAGCGCTCCCTATCTAGTATGAGTAATAAAAAAAGTTTGAGGTACTCTATATAAATATAAAGGGTCGCTTTCAAATATTTGTTTTTCGAAAAGTATGCTTGATTTTTATCGTTTTTGATTGTATATAGTACAAATGAAGAGAGATGAATTGCGGATCTTGCAACTGATCAAGCTTTTCCTAGGGCTGAAAATAAAAGCGATATGCGATACAGAGTAAAACGAAACAATGTTGTAATCTAGGTGTGATACAAATACAGCAATTTCTAGTGGCTTATTACACAGCATTCAGAGCACAAACTTTAGTGATCAATAATTGTGTTGGCTCTACAGAATTATATCAACCAAACTCACATTACCGCGCTAATCCGAAACTATGACGCACTGGTTGTGGTAAAAAATATTATTGTTTAGCATTTTTTTAAGCAGAACAAAACAATTAGCAACATTAAAATATCGCTGTTTTAGAATTGTTAGGATTGATATGTCGATGGATGCAGGTGGTACAGGATAATGCTTCGCGACAGTCTGTAGGCGTATGTTCAGTGGCCTCAAACAGGCTGTAAAAGACGATGAGGATGAAGCCAATTTTTAACATGCCTTAATATTCCATCGCATTCCTTATAAATAGAAATATTAACATAATCAATTTTGTACCATTAAGAAAAACGCTCATCAGGAAACTTAGTCGGCCCGTACTGGTTTCAGTGTTATTCAGTTCAGTGTTTTTCCAGTGTCAGGGTGTTCATATATATATATATATTTACAAAAGAACAGTATGTTTAAGTATGTTTATCAGTTATTCTAGTACCCATAGTACTTAGTTGCTTAGTTTGGCACTAGAGAACGTTGTGTAAAAATGTGTCTTATAATATTATTTTTTTTATTTATTTTTGAAAAGGAACAAGAAGTCGACGTGTGTTGTCACTTGTCGGAACTCGATAGCGACGCTACTGCTTCGAGATCGCGTCCAAACAGCTACGTAAAGGACTACCATGAGAACAATAAAGTATCGACCATGGTACGTACCTATTATTCTTGTCATTTCGTAATTGCGTTTGTCAATTCGAAAATAAAAATTAAAAAAAATAGCTAATAAAGAGTTCAATGATGGGTGATTACCAGCAGATACATCACTTAAAACGAGATTTAAAAAGGTGAATTGTTAATCACATGAAGTCTAATTGTTAATTTAGAATGCTTGAAATAAATAAATAAATTAGGATATTTTATTAAAAATAAAATAAATAATGAGTTCTTTACGACAATTGGACATTAGTCTTTATTCTCTTATCTGATTATGTTCAATTCGTGATAAAATTGTAAGATTTAAGTATGCTTACCAAGTCTTTCTTTTCCAAAGAAATGTAATTTAGGAGGGTGTAACGACCCCTTGACGAATGACTTAACAGGCATACGGCGTCCAAGAATGTATTCTTTGGCGATTTGGTGCGCCGTTTCATCGACGGCCGAGGTAAATAATATCGCTTATTATAGACGTTGATAAATGTAATGAACATCGAATGTTTGTGGATCTGCCCCTGCGCACAGTTCTGAATTAGAGGCATTGCAGGCTTCCCTCACGGGCGGTGGCGTGGTGACCCACACGGCCCCCTCGTACGAGGAGCAGCGCGCCAGCCCGGCACTCCTCAGCCGCAACACCAGCACCCCCGGTGGAAGGAGTGCCATCCGCGATGACGGCTACTGCTCCGCTAGCAGCACTCCGCGGGCCTTTGGTGAGCATTAATAGTTTTTGGGTAGCCCGGGGCAACGGAAAAGCGTGAAGATTCCTGAAGACGAAGACGAAAACACCATCAAGTGAAGACAAAGAAAAACTTAATCCTTAATGGATCATTCCATATCTTATTAGCATATTATGCGTATATTGTTTTCAGACAGTTCTAGGATTATAAGGATCTCAAAGAGGTTATCTCTATTGACATGATCATACATAATGTATGTATTTTCTTCCTCCTTTCTCATTTTAACTTCTTATTTGGCAAATTGGTAGAAATAATAAGAGCCATACATGAGCTTCAGGATCACACAGAACACAAAAAGAGGTTATTAAAAAAATTGGGCTTTATTATATATATTAATTTTTACCAACAATTGGCACTACAATCATTAATAACTTGCTCTATTATTGGTATTTTATCTGTTTTTTTTTACGTAGAAATAAAAAAAAACATCTAAAACATTCTATTTATTGTTAGTACTTAGTAAACTTATCGCAATGAATATCTGATGGAATTTCATTCCCATTTATGTTATAAATATGTTTATCCATAAAATTTGCAATTTTTCCAACTCGTGTGGTGACGATCCACAAATATACTTATAATATACCTTCATATACGTGGCTGCCACATTATTGTCATAATGCGTACGGTAAAAATACCGCAAATAAAACGCTTAATTTGAAAATCAGACCGCGAACAGGTAACTGGAGAAACAAGTAGAAGAAACAAAATACGTGAAGTGGCAATAAGTCTCCGCGAGATGGTTGAGGGCACTACAAAACTACTCCTCTTTAATGCGTTTTCGCTTTCCCATTATTTCACGTTCAACTTAAAGGTAAAGTAAAAAAATTATGCTTCACTTTAGTTTCCATCTTTCAACGGCAAATTAACATTAAAACGTGTACCTTTACCACCCAGTACCATAATACACAAATCGTCCGAACAGGCTACATCAGTCTTGTACGAGCAGAATATATAAATATATTACTACCATAGCTTCAAACCGGCCTCAAGTAATAATATTTATTTGTCTGCATTTCGTCTGGTAAGTTCTCTCTGGACGTAACTCTTAGTGGTTGGCAACACGTCCAAAATATTTCTAGCCAAAACAAGAAGGAGCAGTTATGCAATGTTAATGGACATTTAAATGTTGATAATTGACTGTCATGTCTTAGCATCAGGCGAACGGTATGCTAAATTGCAATTGCTTTAATATAGAACAAGAACGATTAGTTAAGATAAGTCTTTGGGTTGATCAGCACCTAGTTTTTGTCTTCAAATTTATTCTGGATTTTGCAACTCGGTATCAATAATCTCATCGTAAAATAGATGCCATTAGCTATCTCTTTATCACCTGTCAAAGCTTAATTTCTATTTTTAATCTTATCAATTTTCTTCAACTCAACTCTTAATAGGATAAGTACCTATTCATATAATACACCTGTCAAACTTGCAATGGTATAGACGCCCCAGACAGGATATTCTATCGAAAAGGAGAACTAATGGGAACAGAAGACATAAATCCCTTTCTTGAGAAGGAATGCATTGGAATGTGGGTGACTTTAAGCACACAGATATTTACATAGTATTGTATTTCAAATGCAAATTCGGCGCTAGTGAGTTTTTCTCAGGAGATAATATGCACTGAACCACTATTAAATATTCGAAGAAAATGGTTTAGCAAATCGTCAATTTTGATTTCGTGAATTTCGTATGCATTTTTTATGTGCAAAGTTTTCAAAGGAGCAGGTGGTTTATCTCATGTTTAGTGATCAGCAGCCCCGTAAAAAACTCAACGCTGAACTTGTAATCGCCGAAACAATAGATGTCCAATCTGTCCAAACACATCTCTAGCTCAGAATATCAAATCGAACTCTTCAATGCGGGGGAGAAAGTCCACATAGTGTTTGTATTAGGACTAGCCGTGATCGCTCAGTGTCCGGGCCCTCGTTTTTAATTCAATATACTCGAGCTACCCGATTTCAAATCCTCGTGCCGGCATAGATGAGATGGTAATTGCAATTTTAAGTGTAGACTTATCATGCTGTGCGCGTGAAGGAAGACTTCTTGAGGAGACTTCTTCTGTCGTTTTCCATACGTTGCCAATTGTTATGTTTAGCTGCATCCTTTATTTTATTATGAACCATTTTCTTGACAGTATGTATATAACAAACGGATCACCACTTGTACATTGGGCACTGGTAGTTATAGCTATATTCCTATAAACAACCAGACCAGGAAGAATATGTGGAACCACAATATTTTTCCAGAAATGAGGATCGAAACCACACCACCTGGAGCAAAAGACAACTTCACTATTCACTCCGCCAATCGAGTCCCCAAATTGACGGCACCTTTGCCAAGTTATTCGCCTCGTCATTGCTAATCACGAGTTCTATTTTCGAATGGTATATAAAATTCTATTATATGTATAGCCTACTGAAAATGGTCCCGATCTGGTTATTTGTTGATGTGCAATTTATGTAACTAAGTTACTAATCTTAGTTTCATAAATTGCATCTTACCTTGTAAGGTAACCTACCTAACAAGATGGGGAGTATTATCCATGAAAAATTTAAGGTAATTTCATCAATAACGGATACGAAAGAAATGTTAAATTAGTCCAAAGTTTCGTTCGCTGCGGTCATACTGGTCCTCAGGCAGTATTGTCATTACCATTTTTGCGATGACTGTAAAAAGTATATGATAGTAAGTAACCCGTATGAATAATGAATCGATCTTCTCTCATTTCAATTAACTATTAAAATCTTAAGAAGCCACTTCGCAGCATTATAAAGCTTGATTGAAAGGTAATGAATTTCAATAGAAGAATAGGAGAAAGCGATATTTTAGCCGATAGTGCATAAAGCATCTTTTGTTATTATAATGTTATGAAAACTTTATATGAACAAAAGACCGATAGACCAGATAAAGATTCAATTCACGAATTTCGATCATCTTTCTTACAAAAGTAAGCCAGTTTTTTGTCACTTCAGCAGTTTCTAATTACATAGGTCCACTCAACGGCTTTTATTATTCTAACAAAGAGCATACCGGCGTTAAGTGATATTAATATATTTTCGCGTTTTGCCTGGTGAGGGTGAGGGGTGAGGTAACCGGGGCTCACTCTTTATGGTTGGCAACGTATCTGCAACGCCTTGACTGTTGTAGTTGTCTATTGAAGTAGGTAATCACGCGCCATCTTCTCATATAAAAAAAAAATTGAATATACATTGTATTATCATAGTCAATGGTATGCGTACGTTTATGATCTCAAATTATATTATAGCTTATCTTTCTATACTTCACTTAATACATAAAATAACAATGCTTTTAAATGTTATACAATTTGTAATGTGAATAAGGTACTCCTAGGAACAAATGGCTCAGGAAATTGGGTTCTGAGATGTTATAAGTTATTACAGGCTTTCCTTACCCATCCTAGAGTAAGACAATTATAATATAAAAGTATTATATTCGAAATATATCCAAAAGTACAGCGTTACTCAAATGATGGACTGCGACCTAAAAACGTTTGTTGATTCTTAAGTAAGCTATTTCCAATATCGACAGCCTCTATAGTTTTATTTATTTTTTTTTTTAAATTGCCTTCACTATAGGATAACGTTATGCTGCGTTTTAAGGACGTTTTACAAACATAAATTTCACATGGACAAACACGCAGATGCGAAATCTGTGGGTTGCACAAACAGTTGTCACGTGTGGGAATCGAACCCACGACCCCGAGGTTGAAGCCAATTATTCACTCTTGCTTTGAAGACTCACATTGTATTTGGATGGAAAAAATGATGCTGACCAATTGTTCTACTTTGCCGTAAGATTTATGAATGGGATGCAAACCTTTTTGTTTGAACATAGGGAACGTCGACGTCGGAATAATAGAGGCCTGACGGCCAGTGAGTCCCGATGGTGAAGGGGAGAGGGAAGGCTTACTTGACTTGATTACTGCTTGTTAAATACATTATGATTGTTATATACAGACAACATGACTTTAATCATGCTTAAATGCTGTCTGTATTAGGTAAACAGTTAATTTAATCGTTTTTAAAAATCTTTTCATTTATACTTTACCTGAATATTGAAGTTTATTACTTCTTACACTTATGTGAATGTTATACATTGAATAGATTCGATTGGATATATTCATTGTATAAATTTGAAACTTCGTGAATTTAATATTAAAATTAACGCTACAATATGCGTGTTAATAGTGTGATTAAATATGTAAGTATTTTTACACTTCGTATAGTTTTAAACCGACCGCATGAGTTGACAAGTTTGACAACCACTGGTCAAATCCCCGCTCATCAGAGGGTACCGATTAAGCTGAACCAATTCCTATGGGAAGACCCTTCCTTACCTGTATCTGCATAATTTAATTTCCTCTTCTTTTCAAAGAAGTCGAATTTAACAACGGCAAATGATATACAGAATGATCCTTGTCTTTGAAATGGGAATGAAATGATTCATTTTTGTTTCATAAACATATTATAATCTTGAGTCTTAGACAACATAAACTAAACAAAACATAAACAACATACAAATAAATAAATGTAGTGATAAGTATATTTAAAGATTCATTACGATATGTAAGTGTAAATAAAATTACGGATCGTAGTATGTGCTTTAATGTGAATTACTTTTTTATGGCTCTTTATCATAAACCATTATTTCACCGTTAGCTTCGCTGAAATTAATTGTTACAATTTAAACTTTTAAGACGGTCGTTTAATAATTTTGGGTACCAGGAATGAACATAACACAACAGTGTAATTGAATTCTTTAATCATTAAATAAAGTTTACATAAAAAGTCGAGAGAGTTTAAATCAAAATTCTCTTTCTTCGGCTTCTTTGCGAAATATTTTTTGCAGGTCGCGAGGCTTTCATTGCTTCGTCCGTAGTTCATTTGGTTTGTCATCTAACTTTCGAAATGAGTCTTTGTTTTTTTTTTAAAACATGTCACAATATGGTGTCTTGTTTTAAAAATCAAAATATTTGAGATTACTTTAAAGTAGCCACTGCAAGTCATGCAAATTACGTGTTTTATGTTATTTTCTTAACATCGCTTCCTCATGGTGCGGTGATTCCGAAATGGCCGGTGTATTTTAAATGAACCATTTCATTTAAAATACACCGCCCATTTCTTTAAAAAAAAATTGTAATTTTTGTTTTTTGACGTTGCTTTTTTTACGTTGATGTTTTTTCTTTATTCGTTATATTTTATGGGAATATATTAACATATGGTATTAAAAAAATTAACATTAACAATTTCAATAAATCAACTATCGGAGAACAGTCCATCAGACCATTGCAAAGACCGTTCAGCGCTGCGTGAATTGGCGTGCGGGGATGCCTTCCATTTTTAATTCCGCCACCACCGGCATACCGACGCGGATTATTGTGGAATTTTCTCGCATCGGCATCCCATTATACCTTAACACGGAGGCGAAGGACGCTATAGCGTTATTAAGACCGGAGCGCTTCCGAATGATTGGTATTCCGCAGAGGAATGAACGGTCCCGGCCAGGTGTTTATTGGTTTTTTTTTGCATTGGACTATTGAGTCGTAATCTACTTTTATTTCAGTGCTGCAGTATTTATTGATCTATATTAAATTAACCTAAAAATTAATACTGAAGACGGACGTAATAATATAATAAGTGAATTGCAGAAGTAGGCGCAAATTTTAACATCTACGTAATATAATTGGACAACAGTGTAAACTATGATAGGGTCTATAAAGTTTACAGAGAGTAATTAATCGTCGATTTTCGCGTCTCTTAACATTGAAAGACTAGAAATAACTAATATTAGCCAAACAAATTAAAACTAAACCGACAAATGAGGCTATAGTTTTTGTGCACTAAAGATCTTAAAAAAAGCACATCTCATCGGTCTATTCCATCAGGATTTGAACACACAACCTCCACTTCGCAAACCCTACACCAACAGTGTAAACACCCCAGCCACTAGTCCATCACTACTTAAACCTAGTTTATTTAGTGCTAATACCTCTTTCGTTTTGCAGATCACAAAGCGACGAAAGGCTCCGTGGTAACTCTGTCCTGTTACAAAAGTAAGTTATTTTACATACGACAGAAACATAACACCACAGTTGTTCACGAACGCGTTTAAATGATACAAGTTGTCTTCGCCTAATCGAAAACATAAACGACTTATATAAAACAGTAAAAGTCCTTTTGTAACACTTATTTTATATTTTTATGGTGTTCAATGAAGCATATATAATAATGACAATATAAAACACCTGGGTTTATAACTTGAAACGACGTGACTGGAAAGATGAGTTCGTTCTGAAACCGCGGCTAAACGAATTATCGATTCCAAGTTAAGTGTAAATTGTTTCGTCAGCTATGACGCGGCATATTTTCGAACGCAATCAAAACTACATCAATTTCGCGAAGTGTCCATTCGAAAGATGCAAATTGTAGCAGATCGTTTAGCTCTGTATGGATGTACAAAATTGAAATATCGTTTTTAAATAACACCATAGTTTAAATTTGAAGAATTAAAAAGATATCTGTTTTCATATATAAAAAATGTCGTACAATGCGCTTTTAATTTGAAGAGTTTGATGACCATTGTTCCTTTCATTTATAAAAAGGAATCAATGAAATTAGATATCCCTGTGAAGATTTATCGCTTAACTTTAAAAAATAATCAGGCGAATTTAACAGCTCATAATGTTTAAAGTGGATTCAAATTACGTTTAGACTTTTTGATGTGACGTGTCTTATTCTGCATAGATTCGACCCGAATGGCATAGTGGGTAGTGTACCTGCCTCCTGCGTCAGAGGGTGTGGGTTCGATCCCTACTACTGGAAAAATATTGTGTGATGAATATAGTGTTTTTCTAGTGTCTGGGTGTTTATATATGTATAATATGTATTGATTTACAAAAGAAAAGTATGTTTAAGTATGTTTATAAGTTTTCTCGTACCCATAGTACAAGCTTTGCTTAGTTTGGGACTAAAGAATGTGGTGTAAAAATGTGTCCTAAAATATTTATATTTATTATAGATTTATATATTATGGTTGCACTCGATGCCTTCGTAGATCCAAGCGATGCTGTCATAAAGCGTGTTTTGTTTCCAGAAGAGCCTAAGGTGCAGATTGAAGAGGAGAGCTATTACACCGAGGCAACGAAGAGGATTAGGGCTAACAGTATTAAAGCGGGTAATCGCCTTTTAATTAACAAATTCATTGGATAATGGTCTCGATACTTCGTCCGGACCTAACGCACGTCTGCGAGGGCCAATTATTTAAAAGATGATAGAGCTTTGCTTTCGTCTTAAGTTTTTTGTAATAAGAAAAACGTTTGCATTACTATATCAATACTTTACATAAAGAATACTACGCATTCACAATTTTTCTTTATATTGAATTTATAATAACCTAATTATAATCAAATTTTAAATATAATTTTTTTTAATATATAAATTGCTGACTGACGTCGCAAAAATTTCTATTTATGAAAAAAAAACATCAAATTTTAAATTTATCACACTGCAGACGGACGTAAGAACACAACAGAAGAAGTTATGCGCGACTATTTTAACATTACGTCATATTGTCCCAGAAGAAATTTAAATTGTTTATAGTGCTAATTTCTGCACTTAAGATTAAACATTAAAATTTTGTCGGCGCTGTGGGGATCGAATCGAAATGTTCGAATGACGAAAACGTGTGGGTTCGATTCCCACAGCGACGACAATCTTTTCGTAGTTTTTCTACAAATTTTAATTGTTGCAGAAGACTTTAAATAATGTTAGAGTCTATAAAGTTTACAGAGAGTAGTTGATTAATCGTTTACTGGAACAACTGCTTTTGATAGAAGCGAATGATGGGCGGGAGACCTGGGGCACGGGGGCCGACTTCCTGCTTTCCATCATCGGATTTGCCGTAGACCTCGCCAACGTGTGGCGTTTCCCTTACTTGTGCTACAGAAATGGAGGCGGTAGGTGGAACTTTACGTACTGGTCCTCAGTTTTATTTTTTAATGTTTGAGCTAATTTTTGGGTTTGCTGATTTATTTTCAAGCACCATTGTGCCATAGTTTAATGAAGCATAAAAATAAAAAAGAAATCAAAGTGCCCCGCAAACCATCTTTGAGTAATTTTTTCAATAAGTTTTCAGTTGGAATTTCGAGGAAAACTTAACAAAATTAGAATTAACGGTATTCCTTTACAGTTATTTAAAAGTTAAATTCTTTATATATTATTTCAATTCGCGAGATTCTAACGATTAAAAAGGAACTTGGCGATTTTTATTAATCTTAAGTGTATAAAACTGGTCTTAACTCTTCTGTGATGATTCTCTTTTGTTTAAGGTGCATTTCTCATTCCGTATATGCTAATGCTGATCTTCGGGGCGGTGCCTTTGTTTTATATGGAGCTGATCCTAGGCCAGTACAATCGGCAAGGGCCAATTACCATATGGAAGATATGTCCTCTTTTCAAAGGTAAAGAATACATAACCATCAATATAAAAAAAATCATCTTTAGAACACGTTATCCCCAATCCATCATCAAAGACCTTTAAAAAAAAAAAACATAAATTTCTTAAAGTTGATTATTTTTAAACACCACACATCCACTCCCTGACGAGGACAGAATTCATTTAAGATTTTTTTTTGGAAAAGGGGGCAAATGATCTAGCCGAGGTATATATACTTAATAACCGTGGTATATATATAAGGAGGTAGCCGGGGCCCATTATATTAAAAGGTGTCAAGGCATCTGCAACCCTATGGGAGTTGTAAATGTCCATTAACATTCGGTGAACCGCCAGCTCGTTTGCCACTTTGTCACATAAAAATGGACACCTGGTCGTGTTTACCTAAGTCGTTTCGGTCCGGAAATATCGCTGAAGACAACCGATTTCACAATATAGTTGTTCGCGGTAGAGAATTTTGCCAACCATATTAACTGAATCAAGGCCGTATCGATGATGTTTGGAGGTGCCGCGTTGTATAGTGATAAAATTCAACATCACGTATTAATCAGAAAAATTACACTAAACAATCCCCGTAATTTAATAAAAAAAGATATAAAATGCAAAGACATGAAATATCTCTTCGCAACGCCGCAGACGAGGCGGTTGGAGAAAACCTGAGCATCGACGGTTCCAGCAGCTTTACGTTGGTAGCTGTCAAATGAAAGGAACTGACATTAGGGTGGTCAAGCCCAGAGGTTATTCCATGTGCGGACAAATCAGCCCTTTGTACAGCTACCGGCAATGACTGGCAACATACTATCTTGCTCTTTTATCTTTTTCCCCTACACCTAGCTTTTTAGAAATAAAAAAATTGTGAATACGTTAACTCCAAGAATTCCAATAGAATCTGTAGTAACAAGGGAAATATTAGTTACGTGAAAAAATATTTATTATTTACTATTAAAGATGAAATTATTTTTGGGCAAACTTCTAGTGTGAAACCATCAGATCTCATAGTTTATGAGAAATATTTACATTTATTAACCTATGCTACATTCTCACTAATTGATGTTCAACCTTAAGTTTTGCAAATTATATAACCTAGTAGATACATTTTAAATGTAACGCGGGATTGATACAGATCTTTTGCTGGTTCACATTATAAATAATTAGTTTATAAAATGTATGATTGAATAAATTAATGATTTTGCCGCATTTAATTGGAAGTACTTTTTCCCAGGCGTAGGATTTTGTGCAGTAATGGTCGCTTTCTACGTATCATTCTACTACAACGTTATTATTGGTAAGCAATTAATTCTTCTATATCTTTTTTTTTGCATGATTAAAACGTAACATTTGACCTGCTTGTGAGTGATGTCATGATTTTCGAATAAGTGTCCGTTTTAACCAGCTGATGTGAAAAAATAAATGGGAAAACCTTAAACCTAGTTGCCTACTTTAATAGATATTAAGGCAATCTCAGGGGCATATATACCACATCAGGAGGCATCTTTAAAGATAATAAGGCCCAATTTTATATTATTGAGGCAAATATGACAATTCATCACTTTTCACATTTGCCTCGATGCCATTTAATAGAGAAGTAAGTTATTTAACTCGAAAATCTCTCCTCTCTAATCTCGTGCACAAAACGCAGGCTGGGCGTTCTACTTCCTGGTGTCGTCGGCTCGCTCCGAGCTGCCGTGGCTCCACTGCGACAACGCGTGGAACACCGAGCAGTGTTGGGACGCTGAACGCACTAACAGCACTAACCGCACCGACCTCCTCTACCAGGGTCCTCTGTCTCACTTCACGCCCGCCTCCGAGTTCTTTCAGTGAGCATTCGACAAATTAATGACTAGCGCAGTAGGACCCATGAAATTGGACATAAATTTCGTAAAACTTTCTTTCTTATACCATATTTAATTTGAATATTTGAATATTTGAGTGCTCCTTCTTCGGTTAATAATTGGAATATTTTGACCATGCGAATGTGTGGAGTTAATACTGATGAATATTGATACTCACGTAGGCTTAAATAAGACTTATTACCTGTACTATAGGGGGGATATTCATTTTTTTTTCTCGTCTGGTTGGGTTATCTGTACTATTATTATTACCTTTACTAGTTACTTATTACCTTTACTAGTAATATTGTAAACTAATCTTTAAAAAAAAGAGCAACTGTTGAAGTTTTTGGTTTCTTCTCAACAGAAACTGCTTTGTGAACCGGTGGTAACCCTTGAAAAAAAAATTGAATAAACATATCTTGTAGAGTACGGTTTAATGGTAAAATGGCTCAAGGTAATGTTAAAAACTCTGATGGCATGTATTTTATATTTGACGAATGTTTTCTTTTGTTAAACGAAAATGAATAAATGATTAGATATTTTCATTCTTTATCGTCAAGTCTGTACAAAAGTAACCGTAGGATGGCAATGAAGATATCATTTATGTTTGTACATCATACTTTTTAGTATTTTCAAATTTCGAACTCACTACCACGCAGCCGGGCGGTTCTCGAGATGCAGCATTCGGAAGGCCTGAACGACCTGGGCCTGCCTAAGTGGCAACTCGCCGCTTGCTTGGGCGTCGTTTATTTAACCTTGTACCTATCGCTCTTCAAAGGCGTCAAAAGTTCCGGTGAGAGTTTCTTCTTTCTTAAAATTAAAAAAATTCAGCACGATAAAGTAAAATTGAAATAACAACTATGTATTTGCATTGCGAAAATCTTTTTTTCTTTTGGTTATTTTACAACACTTAAACATTTAAACCGTGATAATAATCTTGTATAATTGTTTTGTAATTATCAGTTATTTCATTTAAGATATTACGAATCAAACATTAAGTAAATAAAGTGTACAAATTTTAAAACACTAGACCAAGAATTAATTATATGACAATTTAGTCCTAATTTATTCGACACGTGGCACGGTTTGATGTCATTCATTATAACATTTTCTGTTTGATTACTGTCTTTTGTCCGTATCATAGACTCGTGTCTATGTTACAAGCAAAAGATTACAAGGGAACTCGTATTATAAGTAAGACATAATACCAGGTAAGGTTGTCTGGATGACCGCGACCATGCCCTACGTGGTGCTGTCCATACTGCTGGCAAGGGGCCTCTTACTGCCCGGTGCCACGCGTGGCATCGCCTACTACCTGCAACCAGAGCTCAGCAGGCTCAAAGACACACAGGTTTGTAGTTCAGAGGTTTGTCTAACTGCGGTAAGGCCGCGCAACAATCTTCGTTGCACGAATGGGCGGTCCGTCTACGGGGGTTGAAAATGTCCATGGGCGGCGGTTACCACTTAGCATCAGGTTCACAGATAAAAAATATGTTCAAACTATATAGTCATACAAATGATTGTCTCGTATGACTACCAAATCCACGACCAGCGATACTGAACCCAACAGCTCAGCAAAGCTTGAACTTAACAATCTTCTGATGCATATATCATTAACAGGTTTGGGTAGACGCCGCCGTTCAGATATTCTATTCGGTCGGGGCTGGCTTCGGTGTGCACCTCTCCTATGCAAGCTACAACACATTCCACAACAACTGTTACAGGTGCCATTTCATTTTAACTAACTCAAAATGATAAATATTATAAAGTGGACGTGTCAGTTACATTCGCTTAGTTCTCGTAACTTCATATCTGATTTTAGTTCTAAATTTTTAAAGGTAATTGTAGGCTTTTGATGTATGTTGAGTATGAGTAATTCTATTATTTTCTTTCTGTTGTTATCAAAGACTACAGTAATAAATCGTTGTAGAATTGTCAATTTGTTATTAATTGTAATTTTAGTCCGGCAATCTAAGTAATAGTTAGTGTATTAATTAATTATAATTGGTGGTGTTTTAATTTAATTGTTATTCAATCGTGTGACTTAAACAAAGTGTAACAGGAAATTTAAATGTAAATTCTAATTGTGAGTTAAATATATTGTGATTGATCATAAGACTGGCAATAAGATTTAGAAAAAAGTATTATTATGTACGATTACTTTTTAATCTATAGCAACTGAAAAATAATTAATACCAATCGGTTGCAATTAGTCATGTGCATGCACTTTTATTTACCTGTATAAAAGAGGACGGTTTCAAATTTCAGAGATTGCCTGGTTACAACCCTTGTGAATTGTTTCACATCATTCTTCTCCGGGTTCGTCATTTTCACGTATTTGGGCTTCATGTCTCACAAGCAAGGAGTGCCCATATCATCCGTTGCTACCGAAGGTACTATTAGAATACACGTAGAATTCGTATAGTTGTAGGAAAGTTTTAGGATCTTTTTTATAAATGCTTTAATTCTTTTTTACAAAGAGATGATAGCTAAGACAATATACAGTTACCTCACTTACTGAACGAAAGCCAAAATTAAAATTACTTTTGTTTTTCATCTCGACATCCGTGACTGTAGGGCTTCTCCAGTCGACTCATTTATTCGTGTTTTATTTTGTTAAATGTGTCTCTACCGCAGATCAGATAATCATTAATATGTCTTAACTAAATAACAATTGAAAATAGATGTTTTATGATTGTAGCAATTAGGTTGAAAATAATTTTGAGACACTTATTGATATTTATTCAGAATTGTCTTTGATGCATGATCATGTTGCTTGTTTTGTGATTGTGCATTTCTGGAAATTATTCAGGTCCCGGCTTGGTGTTCCAAGTGTATCCGGAAGCAGTGGCGACCCTCCCCGGGGCCAGTTTGTGGGCGATGCTGTTCTTCTTCATGCTAATAATGCTGGGATTAGATTCAGGGGTGATAAGTCTGATTCTGCTTTATTTATGTGATTATCATCGTGATCAATTGGTTTACCTTTCGAAGTATCAGCAAATTTTTGTTTTAGCAAACATAAACTATTTTTAAATTAATTTCTTTTTTTCCTTATCTTATAGCAATATTTATACTTGAATGGTTTTAAATGCAGTATATAATATAATATAGGTACAGATTGAAATTATGATGAGTTAATGTTGATGACTCGGTGGCGCAGACGCCGCCATTGGCGTCAACGTGGGGATCTTGGGTTCGATTCCCACATGGGACAAGTATTTGTGTGACTCACAAATAATTGTTCCGGATTGGGGCGTTTGTTTCCAAGGAGTCAGGCCGGTGGTCGATCTTGAAAAAACCTAACCAACACCATTGACAACATGATTAGTTTGTTGTACCGCCCCAACTGGGTGGGATATCAGGAAAAAGAAGTTATTCTTTTTTATGAAGAACTGGCTACCATCCTAAATGATACTAAGCGGCGATGTAAACGTAGAGGTTAAATGCACTTGTCCAGTAAAAGTGTTTTCTCATTAGTCGAGTGCTCCTTCTTCGGTTAATATCAATTAGAATTGGATGGGAGCTGTTAAAATCGAGACGGGTAGTCCCCTCGCTAACGTTCCCCTGACGTCAATTAGTAGGGGGAGAGAGCGGGAGAACCAGGTGGCAGCGATCGGTGCCATTTTATCCTAAATCACCGTAAATCGACCTAATCGAGCAGACGGTTCAACTGATGTTAAGTGAATACCGCCGCCCATGGACATCTGCTACAACGGAGGGTTCCAGATGCGTTCACAACCTTTTGAAAATTGGGCTTAATAATGAATTTCATGTACGCCTGGAGCAGGAGAGCTGTTTAGAGGGCTTTCCTTCGCTTAGTATCGGTTAGAATCGGATGGGAGCTGTTAATACCGAGACGGGTAGTCCCCTTGCTCAACTTCCCGTGACGTCAGATGGGGGGGCTGGAGTGCGTGATCACGGGGCTGCTGGACCAGGCGCGCGCGAGCGGCGCCACGTGGCTCCGCCGCGAGCACTTCACACTGCTCGTCGTGTCCGTTTCGTTCTGCGTGGCCTGCATCAACGTGACGCCCGTAAGTGCCGTGTTCCATTTTGGACTACACCGCGAAAGTACGGACCGGCGTAAAAGTAAAAAAGTTAATGTGTGATATTAATGTGTGATATAATGGGTGTTTTTTGGACGAAGTATATACCATATATATAATTTGATATAATGTTAATTGAGCATTCCATAATAATTTAAAAAAAATATTAATGTTTTATTTTGACACGAAATAAGCAGAAAAATATCAATACAAAGATTGTTTGTTTATCTCCTTAAGAGTGGTCACCCTATTGGTAAGCGGTTTAGTAATTATGCGTTCAGCGAACAGTTTTAGTGCTCGTGAATAGGTTATTGTATTGAGACGTTAAAGCCATAATGTTTGAAAGAATTAAAAATAATCTTTGACAAAAAAATGAGGTCACGACAATTACGTATCAAATTCAGATTTAGAATCAAATTCTGCATATGCTCTGTTAATATGTCCGTCGTCTATAAAATCGTCTTGTATATGTCACAATACTGGGCAAAGGCCTCCGTGGTACTAGGGGTATTAGGGCATAGTCCTCCACGAAATACACATAATTGTACTATTGAATCTATTAGGTGGAGATATTGGTTAGAGGGATAGTAAAGGTTAAAAAAATTAAAGTCAATAGCTCAATACGTACTTTGTGTGTTTAATAAAAATACTGAGCGTGCAAAAAAGTGGTGAAATTCCCGGAAATAATCACCATAAAGCAATAGACCTTTCGTAATATTGTCCCTGTATGAAACTATAATTGAAACTATACCTAATGACATTTAGTTCGATCTAGTAAACTAAGAAGTCAGATAAAAATCTTTATATAAACATTTGTCTTCAGGGCGGTATCTACATGTTCCATTTGTTGGACACCTATGCTGCTGGAATATCCTTACTATGCTCCGCTCTATTCGAAGCTTTGGCGGTATCGTGGTTCTACGGTAAATATCTCTTTTACTATTTTCTTAAACATGTTTCTTCTTATAAACAGATAACGTGTTATTTTATCTGTATATATCTTTAGCTCAAAGATAAATCATCGTTATAAACACGATATATTGTTAAAGCTGAAAGTATCATTTTATTTTTAAAAAAAATGATGCATGTAGTTTATACAAATAATTGTCGCGGCTCGGAAGTGAAACGGCTGGTTAGTTAGTGCGCTAACGAAATCATTACTTAGTTTTGCGGTTTAGTTAAAACAATTTTTATTATTCATTCGAAGAGGCGGAAAAGATATGTATCCTTATTGACGAATGACTTTTTCTAGGTTTGAAAAGGTTCTCGGACGATGTTGAGGAGATGCTGGGTTTCAGACCTGGGATATATTGGAGGATATGCTGGAAGTTTATAAGCCCCACATTTATCATTGTAAGTACTGTTAAAACGAACTAAATGCTACCGATAAAACTGAACTGTCATTATTGAATCATATAACACTGAGCTTGCTTTGTGCTCCCGCTAATGACTCCTTGCATGAAATCGATTTAAGCAGATGTGCGGACAACAATTAATTTTATAAATTCACAAGATTTGTGGGCTCTCTGAGGGAGTTAATAAAACGCAAGATAATAATAATTTAAATTTAATAATAATAAATAATTATCAAGTCTTATTTATAATCTTGCGTGGAAAAGCTATGCAAAGGATTCGCTCTTGTGTTAGCCTAAAGAAAGGCAATGTGTTTTAAAAACAAGAAAAAGAAAGAAGAAGAATTTCGGTCTGTCCAGGGTGTGGTGGTGTTCGGATTGCTGTACCAGCAGCCGCTACAGTACCAGCAGTACACCTACCCGCAGTGGGCGGTGGTCCTAGGATGGACTCTCGCGTGCTCGTCCATCATCATGATACCCTTGGTTGCGCTGTACAAGCTCGTCACCACGCCCGGCACCTGCCGACAGGTGAGCGCATTGGCCGTGTTGATATGCATCAGGCTTTCTCAAACTTTTGCCTCCACGAAACCCAGTTATAGTTTACAAATGACAGCGAACCCCTTAACTAGCTAATTAAATCTCAGATCTGTATTTCGTTTTTATAATGGCCAGATGTGAAAACCCACTCTCACATAAGTATATTGTAGCAAAGGGTAAAAGGAAATTCACCGCTTTGCGTGAGAGTTAGGGATAGCCACCATTACGTAAATCTTGTCGCGAATGGCGTCGAATGGCGAACTCCTAGGGGTTCGCGTACCCCACTTTGAGGAACCCTGATACATTATACACTTAAGATATTCACATTAAACTGTACTATTTGTAAAACGTACAGTTTAATATGGGAATCCTATTTTGAGGATTAACATTTTTCAGTCTGTCCAAATCAAATTGTCAACATATGGAAATATCATATATTCTTTATACAAAAAAGAAAGCTTTTCTTAATTAAATATTTTAATTAAAAATAACTTTCTTTTTTTAACTTTATTCTATTTTTCATCGTACGGAGCATTAAAATGGAGTTTGAATGATAAAATTTGATCAAGAATTATGGAAGTTATAGAGTACCGACACAAAACACATATGAGAAATAACACATACTGTAATTATATTTTTTTTGTTCGTAAAAAAATTAAAATAACTGTATAATGATTTTATGAGACTATCAAACGTGAATGATTATAAGATTGCTTAACAAAATTAAAGATATACAAATTACTAAACTAAATTATTAATGACGACGCGTAGTCAGTATGCGTGAAACGACTTTGTTCCATAGTAATAACGATTTACACGAATAAAGACGATTTCGTTTTTTTTTTCTACAGCGCTTAGCTTGCTGCATATCGCCGGAATCTGAGCACGAGGCAATTCGTGGCGGGGCACCTGTAAGCCGCTTCACTTGGCGGCATTGGCTCTATGTGTAGAAAGCATCGGTCTACATTCTAACATAAAAAAAGTTTAAGGCCTAAATAATAATTCCACGGGCTAAATAATAATTGTAGGCTGCATGAGAATAAATACTCAGCCTACAGAGATGTATGTGTGTACGAGAGTACATTTAAAAAGAAAACGTTTAAGGCTTAAATAATTATTATATAAATACATTGCTACGTGTTGAAAAACATGGAGATAACGAATAAATTAATACTTGTAGAGAGTTATTTAATAAAGTATAGAATAATATTTTGTGTATCTGATTAATCGAGATCGAGGCGTTATATGTTCAGATTTTGTGATAGGTCTAGTTTTGTGATTAGTTAAATTAATGTCATGTTGTTTGAGTAGTTGTTTTTAATTATAAATTAAAATATAATCTGGCGCTTATTCTTTATTTAAATATTTGTGCTTATGATTAAAAATAACAGAAAATAATTGTGAAAAATTTATGCAAAAGCTCCTGCCAAAATATAACTTAGGATAAGTGTGATAAGTATTAAAGGATTATTAGAAATATTAATATAATAAGTACATAAAAATATATTTGTTTTACTGTGTATTAATATATTTTATAAATGTTTAAATCTATATTAATAAGATATTATACTGTATACATGTAGTTATCGGTATGAAATAGGCATTGCGAAAACATTAATGACAATAGGCATTGCGAAAACATTAATGACATTAACAATATATCGTGTATTTTTTTTACCTTTATTATTTTCGATATTTTGTTCCAAGAGCAGGAGAGGCTTACATTTTTATCATATGTTATTATAACATTATACAATTTGCGCTTCACTTGGCTCTTAAGTTTATTAAATGATTTTTTTATAATTTACTGATGAGCAAAAAATCTTTGAATTATGTACCGTTATATATCGTCGCATAGGCAAAATGGTATTTATTGTCACTGAGATTTAAAATTGAGTAATAAATTTTTATGTACGCAAAACTTCCAGCTATGATAGCCGTTTATTGTGCCATTTTACATATAAATACGCATTATTCAAATACATTTTGTAAAGTAATATCTCGTAACCTTATAATAATACCCTTGCTATCACATATAATTATATACTATATTAGATAAATCGTCCTTCTACGGACCAATATCGCAAACAGATCTGTGACACACACAATAATTTTGTAAATAGAATAATCGTTTTACATAGTAATACCGATTTATATATCTTTTATTTACAATGTATCCTATGAATTAGTGGTAAATATGTAATAATAATATAAAACAACATTAAATATTATATAGATATCGAATATAATACTATTATCAGTAATGTACATTTTTTAACAAGTGTAGCCTCATGTAATATGCAGTAGATAAATCGGTGTCTATGTATCGCTACCAATATGTACTTGTAAAATTGATCTCATCTAATTCGTGTTCTCTTGAAAAAAATAATACGAGTATAAAAACCCACATAACTCTTTGAATGGAGAAAAGTCACAAAGCCTAGTATTCTTACTAACACCAGTATTTATACATTTCATATTAATGTTGCCTGTTAATAAAATACTGTAGAACCACCACGCAGCAGTGTCTGTTGTTACACGAATTGACAGGCTCGTCCGGAAAAGTACTACAACCTCACAGAAGACCAATGTGAAGTAGACGGAGTTTTAGTTTTGTACATCATCTGGCAGGTACCCACAGCAATCTTGAAAAGTTTACAGCAACTGCAACTCTAAAGCTGCTGTCCATAGCAACGTTAAAATCAGATGTACCGTCTGTCGGTTATCATATTCTCCCAGTAAAAAATAAGTTAGAACAATGTCGCTACCCGTGTCTTCCTCTTTAACATACTTATATTATGTTTATGCTTAATTTATATAATTTAGTACAGTATATTAGTGGATGCTCCAGGTGAGTTAAAATTGTAAAAAAAATCTCTTGTATCGTGTTGTTTCATTAATAATCAATGTAAATAAGCTGTATGTTCATTTAGAACCGTTCGAGTTATCTGAAAAGGTGTAAACGTGAACTGTGTTCATTTATCTATAAATAAATGTGTTAGAGAACTGTAAAATGTTTGTTTTAATTTGATGTTTGGTGTAATCAATCGTTTAATGGAAGAAGTCCTTGTATAGGAAGGTATGCGAAGATTTGAAAAATTGATATGATGTACTAGCATTGTGATGGAGATAAGGGGTAATGTATTGGTATGCACTAAAACAATACACCAGTAAAATGATAAGTAAGCTATCAGAGTCTTACCTACTTGATATGAAGTTGCGTGTGCAAAGTTTCAATAACGACTTTTACCCTTATTTTTTGTACCACAATACTCCGTTTTAGAATTATTTTGATTGAAGTCCATTACTCTTTTAAAGATGAGACGAGATTTATTAACAAGTATCTATATTGAACGATTTCGTGTATTGATACGAATGCTATACATGATTGAATGATGATGAAATTAAATAATTTAAATAATTTTTCATAAATTAGTAAAAAATTCTAACCGACAGTACTTCAGACTGAGACATCTTCTTACCCTAAAGCATAAGTCCCGTCTGCCATGTTTGGGCAGTTGGTGCTAAAAACCATCTTGATGATGCCTTAGAATCAATAGAGAGGCCTGCGATTCAGCAACTAATTCGTAACCCCAATTTGGTTAAAACCAATGTTACAGGGCAGCCAGCCTCTCGGATTTTTACATATTTCAATTTGGAGCACGTACGTTTTAATTCCTATCCGTTTTTTTTGACGTCTAAAAGAACTCCAACCAAGTGCTTTACTTACAACAAAGATGGAACAATTTGCCGGCGTCTGTCATTACGTCCGAATATGACAAGGCAGCACAATGGCTCAGTAAAAGCCCCTTGGACTTTTACTGAGCCACTGTGTCAAGCAATGACAGTGCGCCCAAAGTTTAATTTTTACTTACGTGGATGTTTATTATTCTTGAGTTATTGGCATAATTTATACCTTACTTTTTATTCCTGAAAATCGTTATTTACACTATCGGAATTTTAAATCGATAATTTCGCTAAAAATTACTATAATAAGGTTGATTACTTGCACAAGCAATCCCGCATAGCCCCTAGATATAGATGCAGCGATTCCTGATGCGAGAGATATCTGACCTGGCAGAGTCATCACGTACACTAAACATTATTCAAAAATCGACATAGCATACGTATCAGCGTGTCGTTAAATGAACACACGTCTAACGCTACTTGCCAATAATGATAAAAAAATATTAACGTTAAAAAAATCCATAATTAAAAAAATATATTTTTCAAACAAACAATAATTAAGTAAAAAAGAAACAAAATTTGTGACATCCTATACAACTACAACTGACTGATTCATACATTCAGAGACTTTTTCATTCGTTGCCACAGCGTCGCATTACAAGCCTGTCCTTCTAACAGTATGTTATGTCTCTTTTAAATTCATTCAACCCATTCATATGTTTTGTGACCTTTACAAATGAACTTAACGTTACAGTTTTATATGTAAGGATGTTCTAAAATTCTTTGTTTTAGAAAATTTTATAACTCGGTAGATATTGATGTTTAAAGAATGTAAATTTTTAATACAATTTTAAAAAGTTATCCTCTATATGTGTGTTCATTTATTGTCGCGATTGTAAAGACACGCTGTATACAGGGAGATTTTTTGAGAAGTGCCCAAATTTACACAGGAGGTTCATACTCGGTAGTATAATCGTTTATTGAAATAAAAAACAAACTTTTTTTAAATCCCTTTCTTTTTCCAAAAAAACAGAACAGTTGACAATGCGGTAGTCATTCATAAATACCTAAATTTTACTGTGCACGAACTTGTGTGCGTGTTAGTTATGAATGTATATAAAAATAAATTAGTTGCGTATAAATCACGCACTTTTTGAGATAAGTTCAAACGAATGTAATTAATTAAGCCACCCTGTATATAGAGCCGAGATAGCTTATTGCTTCGCTAGCTTTTAATCCAAGATTCTCTAGCAACATGAATTCAATTTCCGGTGCCGACACCATTGAAATTGTTTATTTTAAGTCCTGACTTGTCGTACATGCTCAGCGGTGAAGGAAGACATCGTGATGAAACCTGCATGTTTTCAAAATAATAAAAAAAATCTAAGATATGTGAAGTCTGCCAATTCGCAGTGATTTCGCGGGACTATACACTAATACTCTCTGTACAGAGGGAGGAGGACTTTACCAGCAGTGGGACATGTATAAGCAGTTACTTTAATACTTTAATTTTCCGTATATACATCATTTTATTAGTTCTTAGTCTTTGTTTCAAAACCGTCTGAGTATTTAAAATTCAAATGAATAATCGATAGGACAACGTGTACTGTACTCTAAGCGCTTTGAGCAAGGAACTTTTTTCCCCAGATTTTTTTTATGTGAAAAGGTAGCTGTTCACCTGATGTTAAGTGATAATCGCCACCCATGGATATTTGCAACAGAACGCAGAAACGCAGAAGTATAACACTTCCACTACAAGCCAGTCTTCTGGGAGGTCGTAATATTTCCCCGAACGGACCTGACCATTGGTACAACAGTGCGAAGACTGTTGCGTGCCCTACCACGATTAAAGAAAGAAGATATTATATCATGATTTTAGAACGCCCTGCCTAGAAATGCAACCTGGTTCAGGTGCCCAGCAGTTTCCGTTGACATGATGCTCGTTTCAAAGATTAGTAGTTATAAAATATCTAACTGAAAAAGTGTTGTAATTCATACTACTGATGAGTCGCTCAGCTCGGGCGGTAATCGGCTTTAGTTAGTTATTTAAAAAAAAAGGTATTATTTTACACACCAGTATCGTTTTTAAAATATAGTGAACGTTCTCGTTCGTGAACACTCAAATATTTACTATAAAATAATTACCCGTAGGGTTTTGACATTCTATTATGTATTTGTTTTTTTTATTTTTTAATAAAATAATAGACAGAAAAAGTATGTCATTCACTTTTTTTATAGCAGAAGAACAGCAACAAATTTTGCGTTGATAGGAACGTTGTCAGTGCAATGGTAGACTTGTCATGTAGATTTCAATTCAATATTCCAAAATTTGTTAAAGATTAATTACCGCTTATTTTCTAAAATTTTAAAAATAGAAACGGTATACGATAAACATAAAAACCGTGTTATTGTCCGGCAGACTTTGTGAATTGATGTGGGCATTCAACGTAATGTAATTATAAGGAAATACGTGACATTAACTTAGAATCGATATAACGACGAAAGAATTATAATTTGCCGTGAATTCATTATCGTTATGTCAACAAAGTTATGAGATAAGGAAAGGTAAAGTTTTTTTTTTATTTATCTATACTCCATACGAATCTTGTAACACCTCAGATAGATAAACATATGTTTTCAAACTTCTTATATTGAAAATTCAATTAGAATTCTCTCTGTGTATTTTAATTCTCACTATTTAAAAAAAATTATACCTTAACATTAAGAACTGACCACATTACAAAAAGTGATATATTATTTACTAAAAGGAGTAAGGAGTCATTATTTAATCAATAGTTGCTTATAATCAACTGTACTACAGCAATACAACTACAACACATTTACTATTTAGTATACAAACAACACAAATGCGAAATAATTTTCCTGTTTGAGTCATACTTATGAATCATGACAATAAGAAAAACAAATATAATGGCAAAGAGGCAATAGCAGTAAATATTACCTGTAATTTACATATCTGTATTAAATATCACTTGAGTATAAAGTTTTTATTTCGGATTCTGTATTATTAATGAAAATCATTAAGTATTCATAAAATAGATTCCAGAATTGACAATGTCCTTGGAAAGAGAAAGTGTGGGGCTCATGCCTCAAGTTAATCTGGGTAATGCTTCAGTAGACCCAAGATCCCAACTACTACAAGAAATGAGGGAACAAAATTTTGATTTGATCAGATTTTCATCCTATCGGACTTCATGCAAACTGCGCTATGTACAGAAGAAATGTAACTGTGAGTAGTATTATTAATTTCGTATTAGTATTAGATTTCTTATGTGATTTGATTTCAATAATTATTTAATTAAGAAACAAATTTACGGTGGTAGGGCCACGCAAAAGTGTTCGCTGTTGCACAAATGGGCAGGTCCGTCTGGGTTGGTACCACAACCTCACAGAAGACCGCCGTAAAGTAGAAGTGTTGCACTTCTGTGTTTCGTCTGGTGAGTGAGGAAGCTGAGGCCCACATTATTAAAGGTGGCAACGCTTCTGCAACCCTACGGGTGTTGCAAATGTCCATGGGCAGGCGAGTATCACTAAACATCAGGTGAACCGCCAGCTTGTTTGCCACTTTCTCACATAAAAAAAAAACATAAATACATGTATTAAACATTTAAAATTTTCTTACATCAAACAACATTAATAAATGTGAAAGGAAATATGGGATTGGGTGATGTATATAATAAATAACTGAACATTATGTTTACACTGTACAATTATTTCATCTACAAAGAAAGTGTATCCTAATGGCTCACTAATTTTAACCCTGTTATGCCTTACTAATTGTTTTATTTTTAATTTGAACTAACCATACATTATTATTTAGACATCTGTAATGCCCAAATTGATCATTACTACTGAGTGAAGACAAATATATGGGTTAGAATAAGTAATTTTCTAATTCAATTTTTGAACCCCAAATAGGTATTCTCTATTAGTTCTAATAGTACTATGAGTGAAATTCGTTTGACATTCAATAAATCATTAAGTTATCATCCAGTTTATTTATAGGCAGATTCATCCCGGGAGGTTTTGTAGCCTCACAGAAGACCTATTAAGTGGGTGTCTGTATTCACTTAGCATCAGGTTACAATGCTTATATCTGCTTACAATATGGTGAAATATAATGATGTCATATGTTTTCTTGTTTCTACAATTTTTATAAATTAATGATCATAAATATTGGACAGCTTAGTCAACAACCTGATATTAGGAACATGATGTTGACCCTGTAGCCATGTTTCCAATTTGTATGTTTAAACTGAATAATAGAGGCTAAACTTCTATCTCCTGATTAGTAGGATAGTTCTTACTGCCAAACCGAACATTGTGCAATCTGAATGTTGTGTATTAATTAATAAATTAATTTATTTTAATTAATGCCATATCTCTTTTCTTTTCAGTACACGTAATAGACATTTGGAATGTGATAGAAGCATTCAGGGAAAATGCCTTAAACACACTAGAGCCAAATGCATGTGTTAATGTAACCAGGCTAGAGACCCTTGTGTCATCACTTTATCATAACCTAAATAAAAGGTTACCACCTGCCCATCAAGTGTCCGTGGAGGCATGCTCAGCTTTATTATTAAATTGGTTGCTATCAGCCTACAGTACTGGGTAAGATATCCTTTTTTATTCCTATCTCATATAGAAATATAAGGAATAAAGAACATTTTAAAACATTACTAGTATTAAATTTATAACAATAATACTAAAATGAATCATATAATTTTCAGAGACAATGTGGGCAAAATCAGAGTTTTTTCAATTAAAGTAGCATTAGCAACAATGTGTGCAGGGAAGCTAATGGACAAATTAAGATGTGAGTAAAGTTTATTTATAAATAGTTATGGTATTTTTAATGTGTGTAATAATCAATGATAACTTCTAATTGGTAAAGGTCCAAAACTTACTGCCAATTTATTATTGTTAATCATTAGAACAATCTTGTTAATGGCAAAACTAAAGGGTATGCTTAAATATAATAATCTATATTATATTTTGAAACAATGTAATAATGTAAAAGCAGCTATGAAACTGCCTTTTTGCTGTCATTCAAATGTATACTAAAGACATATAAACACTCATTGTTACAATGGCCATTATATAATGGTGTATTTGGAAATTTTACTTAAATAGAAGTCTATCAAAAAATAAACAAGAGTCTGTTTTCTCTAGAATTAAATACCACACATTGGAATAGAATGGAAAGACTGTTGGATATTGTAGTACTGGCTGTTGTATTGTTTTTATTTACAAAGATAAGCTTGTTTACAAATCCACCTTATAGCTATAGTGATTTATTCATCATCATCATTATTTCATTTTGATTTATTTATTTTTTTATGTGAAAAGTTGCCAAGCAAGCAGGTGGATAACCTGATGTTAAGTGAATACCACCACCCATAGACATCTGCTACACCCGAAGGTTTGCAGATGTGTTGACAACCTATGGTAAAACATTTTGGAATATCTCGGTTAGCGCATGCATACTTATTTATCTGAATAAGGTTTGTATATTAAATAGTTGTAATATTAGCATTAAATTTGAAATTTAAAATACACCAAAGTGTCATAATTGAATGTTCAACACAATGTATCTTTTCCCACAGACATATTCTCGCAGTTGTCAGATGGCAACGGTCACCTGTTGATGAAGAGGCTATCAGACTACCTGCGTGAAGTCTTGGCCCTCCCGGCTGCTGTGTACGAGTCGCCATCCTTCAACTACAATGACACTCTGGCGCTGTCCATTTTCAACCAGGTGCGTTTTTAGCAAATATATGTAGTGTTCTATTTTTATTTTTGTGTGAAAGCGGTTGGATAGTCAGTCCCAGCGACCACTAGAACATTGAACACTGCGACACCTAGAAATATCTTATGTAGTCTTCCATTTGAAAAAATTCCCCCTTACTGTAGGATAACATTGTCCTGTGTTGTAAGTTTATATGGTTTCCATAAGCCTTGCTAACTTTTTAGAGAATATGAATATTTTAGAGAATATATGGCCCCTAGAATATGAAATAAATCAACAAATCGACTCCCAATTGGCATTGTGGATAATGAACCTCTTGTGACAGAGGGTTTGGGCTCGATCCCCACTACTAGAAAAAGTGTGTTGTGTTAAAAACATGACAAAAACATTTATTATTTAAATATGTTACATCAGTTTCCCATGAGTTTCGCAGCGTCAAGTAAACTTTTAAGTCTCGACTAAAAAAAAAAAAACACTTCTGACATAGAAAATTGGTCTCAATAACAGTTGTCATACTCACTTTTTGACCGCAAAAGGCGACCTTGCGGTTTGAGTATCTGCTTACGAAAAGGCACATGGTCAAACAGGTGCATAAATCCTAAAGGATTCGCTTTGCGGTTGCATCTAGTGCAAAATGGACACCGTGTCTGATCTAAACCAATAAATAACGTATTCGTCTTTTTTTTAGAGATGCAACAATTCGTTTTATAAATACAATATTTTACATATTACAACTCTATTGGGATAAAATAAAGTAAAGTAACAGCCTATACATACATGTCCCACAGCTGGGCAAAGGCCTCCAGGCATACAGAGGGTATCAGGGCATAGTCCACCACGCGGCCCCACTGCGGATTGGCGGACTTCACATATGTTCGAAATATTTTTTTTGTTATTATTTCGAAAATAAGCAGGTTTCCTCACGATGTTTTCCTTCACCGCGGAGCACGTGATATCAGCACTTAAAGTTAAAAACTTCATTGGTGCCGGCACCGGGTATCGAACTCAGGTTGCTCGAGTATACTGAATTAAAGAGCGCCCGGACATTGAGCTATCACGGCTATATTGGGATAGACACACGTAAATATATTATACTAGTATAATAAAGATAACCGTTACCCCCTTTCGAAAAGTTGTTGAGATGTTGAGATTTTTGCGCGGTAGAGATAGCGGTGGTTAGAGGCGCATTTAAGTTAATACTTTTTAAAAAGTATTAGTGCACTAACTAAAAATAAAATTATTGTTTTATAAGTTTCTTGGCTTTCTAATGTGACAGATTATCGCTTTGGTTATAGGCTCACTTCTGGGATTCGAACCTATTGCCTTATATCGCAAATCCGTCGTCCTAGCCACTGTACTATCAATTCTAATTATTAATTGAAAATTTCATTGATACATAATGATTTCTTTCGACATAATCTGATAATTTCAGTACAGTCACTGAAATTAGCTGATTGTCTCTTTCAGTATTAGTAGTATATAGAGGACATTATAAGTAAGCAAAGTCGCAAAATCAAATGCCAAAATATGTGAATAAAAGTAGTCAATATTGTGTGTATTTCGTGTAATCTTATAAATTATTGTATATTTCAGAATGGAAAAATAACGGTGAACGACTTTTTGGACACGTTGATGTCGGATCCTGGACCTCCATGCCTGGTCTGGTTGCCTCTACTCCACCGTTTAGCAAGCGTAGAGAATGGTAGGTGACCATTTGGTATTACTTTAATGAAGAGTAGACACTCCCGTAATAATAAGCTAGAAGACAAGAATTTTTTTGATCTTGCTTCAAAATCTTGTTATTAAATCTTGTCTGAGGCAATACTTACTCACACATATACTTTAGTGACACATCCTACAAATGGCCTCGATTAGAAATCGAACTTACGTCCGGTGATGCTTATGTCTGTCGCAAGTGCGCTGACTGTGAAGTCGTACTACTACTAGTGAATAAAGTGATGAAGCCTTGAATTTATGGCAAAAAATATAAATATCGAATAAAAAGTAGTGTTGACGGAGGACTCTATAATTATCTACTTCTAATGGAATATGGATGGACTTATTGCAGACTTAATTAATACCTTTGTGTATTTTGTTTTACACCCTATACAATAGGGCTGGACTTCTCATCGAAACTTTTATATTAGAGATGTCAATGATGTCTTGCTTGTGTCGATAGCGGTGAGAACTCTTTGTCGCGTAAAACTTAAGCGCCTGAGTGAAGTTTTTTACCCCGAGGAAGTTCGAAAATCAAAATGGTATATATCACAAAACCGAATAACAACTTTGTACGTTACTTTCCACCAAAGTGGAGCACAGAAAGCGATTTGGACAACGGCGCGAACGAAAGGGCATTAACAATTACCATACACCCCACATTGCACGTACTGAACATGACTCCACTTTTGTGTGGTGCGCGGTTACTTAAGTTTAAAACATAGTTAAACTGTTGGTGTAACTCAGACTTTATGTGATTTTTCAATATTACCTATATATTTTCTTTTTATTTGGTTTTTGTTGAGAATATGATTTTGTACCTTGTAACATTGCTATTGTTATAGTTGCTCTGTGACTGCATAGACAAAACTCTCTTCTCTGTGTAATTGGTCAAGATGGTGTAGTTGTGATTTGAAGATGATTAAGTTGATTATTGTAATTAAGTAGTATCATGTGAAACCTAGTATAAAGTGTTAAATGATGTAAGTTAAACAGAATAAACCAATCATGAAAGCAGAGCTGCATATTTATTTTGATCCACGGAAACACATTTTCTAACAGTTTTAAAAACATGGTATACTCGTGACGGCCCGCTTCGTGTATAGAAGCTCCACGCACTGTTTTTATACCTTTAAGTTCGTTTTAAAAACGTGATATACGCGAGGAATGTACTCGACTGTCCGCTCGGTATCCGCAATATCTAGCTAGAGTTTTGCGCGCTGTACGTGACTTTCCGCTACGCATTTTGCGCAGTGCTTTGTGCACATCGCACTCGACTGTCCGCTCCGTGCGCAGCAAGGTACTTGAGTTTTGCGCGCACTGTACGCGACTGTCCGCTCCGTGCATTGCGCAGTAGTTGAGCTTTGCGCGCACCGAACGGGACTGTCCGCTCTGTATGCAGCGCGGTACTAGAGTTTTGCGTGTACTGTACGCGACTGTCCGCTCCGTGCGTTGCGCAGTTCTTGAGCTTTACGTGCACCGCACACAACTGTCCGTTCCGTGTGCAGCGCGGTACTTCTGTTTCGCGCGTACTGTACGCGACTGTCCGCTCCGTGTAACACGCAGTACCTTGAGTTTTACGCCCACTGTACGTGACTGTCCGCTCCGTGTACTACGCACAACCTTGAGTTTCACGCGCACTGTACGCGACTGTCCGCTTGCAGTGGTCCACCCGCTCGCGTGCAGCGTGTGCCGCCGCGGCTCGCTCACCGGCTTCCGCTACCGCTGCACCAGGTGCGCGGGGTACACCCTGTGCCAGGACTGCTTCTGGCGCGGCCGCACCTCGCCGCCGCACACCAATGACCACGAGGTCAAGGAGTACGCGGCATACGTAAGGCCCGAGAGAACATTTCCTTATAACGATTTTACGGTAAAGTTCCCAAACAGCGCGTCATGACCCTGTTTGAGAGCATCGTTGAATGTATTCCCTTTTTACCCGACTGCCAAAGGTGTGTAATGTTTTTCAAGCGTATATACATGGGTGTGTACTTGTCTGTATGTATTTTTGTATGCTTAGTTCTTTAGTACGCTCTATAGGATTAACCTTTTGACGGATTTGAATGTCATGACATTCGTGTCAGTTTTGGGAATGTCATAGGATATGTTATTTTAGTATTTTAATGCAGTAGGTTTTTTTATTCATTTATAAATATGTGAGAAAAACACGGCAATTTGGTAATATAGTACTCAGAGTAACATGCTCAGTGATGTCTTAATGAACCCACTCTCCGCAGAAGTCGCCCTCGAAGCAGATCGGCGCCACGCTGCGCAAGTCGTTCCGCTGCGTGCCGGAGCGCGCCCGCCCGCAGCTGCCGCGCTACCCCGACCAGCCGGAGCGCACGCTCAACCTCAGCCACATCGTGTGAGCAGCGAGCGCAATGTCATTCACTCACCTATATCCATTCACTCGACGATATCCATACACTCGACGATATCCATTCACTCGACGATATCCATTCACTCGACGATATCCATTCACTCGACGATATCCTTCCACTCGACGTATTCCCTCTTTGATCAAATACGGTCATAGCGACCAACGACCTGACTAACGAAAGAATTAACGCTAGAGTAATAAATTATATTAAAAACTACAAGTTAACAATATCCATTCACTTGACGATATCTATTCACTCTACGTATCATTCCCTCCTTGGTCAACAACGGTAGTAGCGATCAACGACCAGATCAACGAAGGAATTAACGCTAGAGTAATAAATTATTTCAAAAACTATAACACTTCTCCGCGACAAGAAAAAATATGCCACTGAACAAGTAGTTCTTTAAAAAATCGTCGTTTCTTCAAATTTCAACAGTTTTACCTTAAATGAAGATATCACAATTTTTTTTACTAAGGAATTTTAATAAGTTATTAAAAAAATGGAAATCCATCCAATAGTTTTTCCGTAACCGAGCCCACAACGACACATTTTATTTATATACATAGATTTAGATTCATAACGAGATTGTTTGTCTGTCTGTCCCGTGAACATGAACGCTGGAAAGGGTCGACATGTCGGGAGTTTAAAATTGAATTAAAACACGAATAAATCCGTAAATTAGTTTTATTTAAACATGTACAATATTCGCGTAAAGACAAGAAATCAATTTTAGAAATTTAAATTTTTTTATATGGCTAATCTATGCACTTAAGCAATTTGCTTCAATTTTCATTGCTTCAAATGCTAAAAAAACAACGTAGATAAAAGACGTTAAGATTTTCGTCGGTGTCTTTCAAATCAGCCGTTTAGCTTAGTGGCTAAAGCGTCAGGCCGCGAATACCGAAGACGCGGGTTCGATTCCCACAACGGCGACAATATTTTTGTAATTTTTAAGAAACCATTTTGTTTCACAAAGTTATTTTAAATTTCAGGCCGCCGTCGCCAGTGCCAGCACACAACGGCTTTCCAGAATATGTCAGTGGATACGTCAACACTGGATCCCTGGACTCACGTTCTTCCAGATCGACCCATCGAAGTACGTAATTCAAAACATTAATCCTAACGTTAAAATTAAAATGGACAAAAAATACGAATTGAGAATCTCCTCCTTTTTTGAAGTCGGTTAAAAAGTTTTTCGTGAGAAAGTTTTTAAATTTTCATTTTCGTGGTACTCTTCTGTTAACATTATAAAGGGTCAAAGATTTATAAGTTTGTATAGAAAAATAATTTTCATAATGCTTCTCCTATGTTCTGGGGATATCGCCATTTGAAAATGCCTATCGTTGTATGTCACCGCCACAGTATTCTTTTTTGTATCCGTTCTAAGCTAAACATATATCGCATAGTGTGGCCTAAGATACATATATCGCATAGTGTGGCCGTGCCACACTACATTGCTCTAAGTTGGATATCGTACTATTCTGTTGGCTAAGGAAACTTTTGTTTCAACTTGTTTAAATGAGGGGCCGCATCACAAATCATAACAATTTTATCTTAAGGATTATATAAAATTTAAGTTTTCATTTAGACTCCTTTCCATGTTCTAAGGCAAACGGCACTTTATATACAAATATTTTAATTTATATACAAATCTACGCGATTAAATTCCAGGATATCTGAAATTTTACAGGCATAGTGGATCATCTATCGCGCGGAGTTGACGATGAACATCGACTGATAGCGAGATATGCCGCTAGACTGGCCCATGAGAACAGAACTATGGTACATATTAAAGCAATGCTTATTTCTATGTATTAACTCTTAAAAAGACTTAAAGGTATCAGCCTATACATGTCCCACTGCTAGACAAAGGCCTCTTGTGTACACAGGGTATTAGCACATGGTCCACCACGTGACCCCATTGCGGATTGGCTGACTACACATGTTTTCGAATTGTTATTATTTTTTTGTAATTATTTGGAAAGTATATAGGCTTCCTCACTATGTTTAACTTAAAATTGTAATCAACAATTTCATTGGTGACGGCATTGTGATGTGAACTCATGTTTCTCGAGTGTAACGAACTAAAAGCGACCGCCCATACTAATTAATAGCGATTTAAATATTAAACGTAAAGAAAAATAATTTTGAACAAAAAAAACCGACTTCAAACAGAAAACTAAAACGACATTGTAAACCCCTATAACATTTGAGGATTGCCCTCGATTTCTCTGGGAGGCCATCATCAGATCTGGATTTACTTATCATGGTACCACTCATTAGGATATCTCCTTTCCAACGAAAAAAATCGGTTCATAAATGAGGAAGTTATCCCCAAACACACATAAAAAAAAATACAAATATATACGGTCGAATTGAGAAACCTCCTCCTTTTTTGAAGTCGGTTAATTCCTTAAATGACTACATCACTTCTAATCTGCACAATAAACGAAAAAAAAATAATGTAATATCCTAATTAAAGATAAAAACTAAATAACTACTGATCGAAATGTTATCTTAACAATATTTTATACTCCACAGCCTCGTGCCGGTCGATCTGCCTCCTTGACACCTGAGTTGGTAAGTTGGATATGTGTTTTTTAAAGCAGTTTTTTCTGACCATAGATTGACTCCACCGGGAACATACAGCCTTACGGATGAAAGGCATAGGGTGTGGACATTCATACTTTGGTTTTATCTGCAGTAAATTTTCGACTACACCCTGTTAAAGTAACTGCACACCACCACTATTTCAATTATGACTTAACATAACTTAACACTCCCCTTACATTAAGAAACTAAGAAAGACCTGCTAATCGATTATGTCCATGCCCATTTTATATGTATTCGCAAGTGTTAGATGTGGTCAAAATTAATAAGCATTATTGAAATATTTGAAAGATCAATAGTCACTAAAAAGGACAAAAACTTTCTTTTTTGTCTGTAAATAGTTGTTGGTTTCATTTTAACTGTCCACTATCGTAATGAATATATTAAACCTTATTAGATTGTTCTAATGCAGTTTGTGAAGCTATTTTTATTGTTTTTTTTTTTTTATAAATAAAGTTGTTTAATAAATATTTTAATTCACAGGGTCGGTCGTCTTCGGAAGGGTCTGAGGTTGACGCGGCGAGACAGCAACGAGAGTTAATTTCCCAGTTAGAGGCTAAGAATAGAGAGATTATGAGGGAAATAGCAAGGCTCAGGTAATGTATATGCTACGGTAAAAGTAATAAACTGGTGATTATGTATAATAAGAGGTTGAGCATAATCACCAAAAATATTGGGAAAAATAAATATAATTATAATTTTTTATGGGAAAAGTTGCCAAGCGATCAGGTGAAACTGATGTTAAGTGAATACCGCCTCCCATGCACATCTGCTACACCCGAAGGTTGCAGATGTGTTGACAACATTTTGAAAATTGGTCTCCGGCCACCTTACCACCAGACGAAACATGAAAGTATTATACTTCCACTTTACGCCGGTCTTCTATGAGGTCGTGGTACTTATCCAGACGATTCTGCCCATTCATGCAACAGCCGAGGCTGCTGCGTGGCCCTACCGTAGATGGGCTGAGAGATAATAAAATTAACCGGTTTATTTGCATAATTCCCAACTCTTAGTGGCAGGTGTGATAAATTTTTGACGGATTAGGATATACAGTACTACCAACATAAATATAGGAAGTGGGCGGAAGCCACTTAAAACTGTCCTTTGGCTAACAGGCAACAAGAAGCTGAGGCGAACGCTGGTGCCTCTGCGTCGGGCTCCGCTCCACCGCTGGTTTCAGAGCTGAGGGCGCTACGCCAGCGCAAGGACGAGCTGGAGGGCCACCTCTCCTCGCTCCAGGAGTCGCGCAAGCATCTGATGCAGCAGCTCGAGGGACTCATGAGGATGCTCAAGGTATGGGCTGCACTGTTGATGCCCAAGGTATATGAGAAGGTGACAGGCGAGCTGGCGGTTCACCCACACGTCAAGTGATAACCGCCGCCCGTAGACATTTGCAACACCCGTATGCTTGCAGATGCGTTACCGGCGTTTAATAATAAAGTGGGCCCCGGCTGCTTCACCATACGAAACGCAGATTTGTTACACTTCCACTTCACACCGGTCTTCTGCGAGTTCGTGGTACTTCCCCGGACGGACCTGCCCATTACAGTGCTACAGCGTAAACCGTTGCGTGGCCCCACCACGGTTCGAAATCAATGTAAGTAAATAACTAAGATACATTTATCACCGGTTGACAGACGCAGCAGTCATCGCCGCGCTCCACTCCGAACTCTTCGCCGCGCTCCACGAAGAGTCCTCCGCTGCCCGGATCACAACCGCAGCCCTCCGCCCCTGAGAGGTGACCAAAGTTAAAATTTACTCATAGAGTGTAAGGTTAGGGAGAACCGTCTATGTGTACTAAAAAGGGCCCGTCAAAACGTGTATAGTACAGGTGGCGCCACGGTGGCGTAGGATAAATAAAATTGCGTAGAGTGCCTCCGCGCGGAAGAAGTGAAACTTCGAGTGCTGGGCATTCACTCTCGCTCTGTCTCTTTCTCTTTCCCCGCCCAGAAGAGTTGAACGTTTAACGCAACAGTGCTTTCATACCCCCTCCATTTAACGCATCCTTGTTAGAAGTCGCATTAGAAGTTTCACTTCGAAAAAAGCCCCAAAAGTAATTACAATAAGACGAGAAATAAACTTGGATCAACAAATTTCCGCACTTCTCAAACAACATAAATCTTTTTAAATATGTATTTAAACTCGGCACACTTCCCTCCGCCTACAAAAGCTGAGTATCCATATCGAAAATAAATGTAAACTTTATTTATTTGTATACACGTAGGGAATCTGGCGGGCGAGTTCGCAGCGCACCGCAAACGCCCTCACTCGGCGAGCGCGAACGGATCGACATGACCCACAGCCTTGGTAAGATTATTAACTGTAACTAATCAACTAAAAGCGCCTAAAAGGATGAATATTCGAAACTAAGTGTCCCAAAAACTGAGTAAGGTTAACAACTAAAACTAATTAATTAAAGGAATTATTCGAAACTGGCCCACAGTTTCCTCTCTTGTATTTATGCGACTATACAGCGTGTCGTTACCATCGCGACAATAAATGAACACACGTCTAACGCTACTTGCCAATAATCATAAAAAAATATTAACGTTAAACAAAATACATAATTAAAAAAAAATATTTTTCAAACAAACTAATTCAGTAAAAAAGAAACAAAATTTGTAACATCCTATATAACTCGCGCCACAGCGTCGCATTACAAGCCTCTCCTTCGAACAGTATGTTTTGTCTCTTTTAAATTCATTCAACCCATTCATATGCTTTGTGACCTTTACAAATGAACTTTACGTTACAGTTTTATACTTAAGGGTGTTCTATAATTGTTTGTTTTGGAACATTTAATAACTCGGTAAATAGTGATGTTTAAAGAATGTAAATGTTTAATACAATTTTAAAAAGTTATCCTCTATATGTGTGTTCATTTATTGACGCGGTGGTAACGACACGCTGTATATTATGAAATGAAGCTATTTTATCTATTTTTTGGGCTAAACATGTAAAAATAGGTCCATTTAGTTTCCTCTCTTGGAGCTTTTTCTCTACCACCTTGTAGGAAACTCCTGTTCACAATTCCTTCCTGGCACACAAAACTGTATTGTCTAAAGCTTAAGTTATTATTTATTATATAATATATATATTTTACTACTTTTGAGTGTATTATATGTGATAAGTAGTATATAGTTTAACGGTGGTAGGGCCACGCAGCAGCCTCGGCTGTTGCACGAATGGGCAGGCCCGTCCGGGTCCTCACAGAAGACCGGCGTAAAGTGGAGGTATGACAAATACTTTCGCGTTTCGTCTGGTGAGTGAGGTAGCCGGAGCCCAATCTTCAAAAGGTTGTCAACGCATCTGTAACCCTCGGGTGTAGCAGATGTCCATGGGCGGCGGTATTCACTTACCATCAGGTGAACCGTCTGCTCGTTTGGCAACTTTTCACATTAAAAAAAAAATGGCAGAGATCATTCTGGCTTAATATTGAAAACGTGCAAATGTAGTTTTGAAATTTAGTACTTTTCATTTACAGATTTTATATTAAATAATGTTTTGTTAATTTTTTTCGCACAGGTGGAATGGACAGTATGGGTAATGACGGTCGAAGTTTTCATCAAAATCAACGACCTACTACAAGTAAGTATTTACATTCTTCTATTTTTTAACTATAAATAAACACCCGGTAAATATGATGAAAAGAAACAAAGGATTCGTATTCCATAGACATTAATTCCAAATAGAGATAGATATATATATACAGCGTGTCGTTACCATCGCGACAATAAATGAACACACATATAGGGGATAACTTTTTAAAGTTGTATTAAACATTTAAATTCTTTAAACATCAATATTTACAGAGTCATTAAATTTTCCAAAACAAAGAATTTTAGAACACCCTTACCTATAAAAGCGTAACGTAAAGTTCATTTGTAAAGGTCACAAAGCATATGAATGGGTTGATTGAATTTAAAAGAGACAAAACATACTGTTAGAAGGAGAGGCTTGTAATACGACGCAGTGGCGCGAGTTGTATAGGATGTTACAAATTTTCTTTTTTACTTAACTAGTTTGTTAGAAAAATATTTTTTTTAATTATGGATTTTGTTTAACGTTAATATTTTTTTATGATTATTGGAAAGTAGCGTTAGACGTGTCTTCATTTATTGTCGCGATGGTAACGACACGCTGTATAATTTATTGCTACTGAAGATTGTAAAGGAACATACTAGATGCAGGATGTGTTCGCCCAGTGGCTATTTTCATGTTTTAACGCTTTTAAAAGTATCCATTTTCGAACTGTCATTGTGCTCTGCATGCTCTGTTAAGGTTAAACACGAGAACTTATAAAGGAATTGTTAAACAGATTATAAATACGTTACAGTGGGCATAGACAATCGCACTCTACGCAGCGACCTTCTATACGCGGCGGACTCCGTCACCAACGCCATGTCAACACTAGTGCGTGAACTAAACTCTGGTCAGTGTTTATACAGCCCCCCTCGATTATTCTTCATTACCGTTTTAGAATAGACTACAGTGGTACCCTACATCTTTAGTCGAGTCATTTAAAAAAAGTATTTGTTTCATTCGAAATATACATATTATGTCGAGAAGCATGTCCATTACATTTATTTGAAACAAGCATGCATAATACTTAGCATGTTTTATGTTACACTGAAATGTGAAATGGATTGCCATTTTTGGATAGAAAATTAATGTACATACCTAACTTAATGCCCTACCTTTCTCTTTTTTATAGATGGATACTACTTTTGCAATTGATTACAAAAGTTGTATACTTTTGCAAACAGTGTATACTTTGGTTTTAGTCAAATAACATTCTCTACCGTTACTTGCATCTTGATGTAATTTAAGTGTTTTGTTGTTTTATGTTCATAAATGTTTTGCAGAGGGTTCTGACACGGAGGACACAGTCAAAGGAGGTATGGAGGCTAGAAAACAAAGAGGTTAGTGTTTTAAATGTTTATATTCATTTAAAAGAAATTACATTACTTCTCACTTTCAGTAATAGGTCAAAATAATAATTTTAAAACAACTTATATCACCTAGTTGACTTATGAAATATCATCAAATAGTTTGTTATTAGTTTAGAAATAAATAGATCAAGAAAACACATGTACTCTTTGTTTGCATGTTTTGGCATGAAAATTATTTACACAAAACTTAAGCACTTTTAACCAAAGTAATAATTACTTAAAAAAAAACTCAAATGAATGTAATAAGGTACATTTTTTATATGATTAATTAAGATAACATTGGTTTTTATTTTCTTGGTGATCGGAGACAACAACGCTACATGAATTTTGCAGCTATCATGGTGATTCTCGAGATCATAAAAGCCAAAATTGTCCAAAGTTATCTACTGTTATTAATAAAGTGTAATGTGAAATATTGTTATGACCTTATCCTGAATGATGACGCAGTTATCATCGACTGATCTCGGTTTGTGGTGATGATTATATATTTCATATGCACCTGTCAATGAACATAAATTGCTGCTAATAAGACTGCTAGACTTAATAGTTTAATATACCCCACTGTGAAAAATTTAATAACTTGAGTCAACTTTATTCCTAAGATCCGCTATCGAGATATCAACTCACTTTTGGAAGATGCGCAATAGATAAATGAGCGTTCTAAAGATCCGCTCTCAAGAAGTGGATTTTGCAAAGATCCGCCGTCGAGAAAACATAATACCTTGCAAGGCGAATTACTAAACCAATCCCAATTTTTTTTTCTTAAATTTTTAATTTGCCTCCTTAGATTTTGAGGAGGACGATGACAGCGACGAGCCAATGCCGCGGCCGCAACCGCCCCGCCATTACGTGCACGAAGCAGGCCTCCAGGTAAGTTCGTCCAAATTTTAATATAAATATACATATGTATATATGTATGTATAACTTATATATGTATTCATCAACCGTGGGAGAGACTCGGTGCCGCAGTTGCTGAACTATCGGCTACGGCGTCGGGGGTTGTGGGTTCGATTCCCGCACTGGAAAAGTATTTGTATATCCGGGACAATTGTCTGCGCGACCCATAGATCGGAATGTTCGTTACCAAGGAGGGACGTAAAAAAATCTAGCCAAATACCACTAACATTCACAATCAGGTTGTGCCGACCCCACTTAAGAGAGATAAAGGCTAGCCTTTAACAACACGATTCACAATCATGTTATGCCGACTCCAGCTAGGAGGGATAAGGGCAAAAGAAGGAAGGTACGAAGACTTACGGTAAAAGACATAAGAAATTTTGCTTGTATGAGGTTTTTTACTGGTGACTGGATTTTACCACTTCTACGGCCGGCGTGTTGCATAAATTTGTTTTGCGTGCTCGTTTTGTGACTTTAGTTTGCGGCTAAAACTTTTGGCACACAAAATCCGTTTTATTTTTGTTTTGCTTATTAAATTTCATTGATGTATATAGTTAATTTGCTTGTACTTGATCTTTGTGTTACATTTCTATTTTCAGAATGTTACACATAGCGTAATTACACAGTCCTAAGCTTGCAAATGTTGCTTCAGGTTTGTTTTTATTTTCTTTTTTTTTTTTTGATTTTCTTTATTTCAGTTGCTGTAAACAGCGCTTATTTTTTTCTCAATTTTTACTTACACAACGTACTTGATTGATATCAGCAGTAATTTCTGTAATATTAACTCAAAGTAAGAAGCTAGAAAATCTTGTGCAAATCATTATAAAGTGACTGCGAATGTCTTTAGTTGTAAGTTATTTATATTATAAGATAACTTTTACTTATAATTCCTTAAAGAGATTCTCTATTCGTCCCTTCCAGCTCAATCTTACATCCTGCCCAGAAAATAAAAAACCTGTTCTGTGGGCGCCAAATTTTGCTTTCTACATTTTTACCCTAATTGATAGTTAAAAGGAATGAGTGATAGCTTTTATTCTTCTGGTCAAGCGTTTCGACTTTTTTTTTTGTAATTAAAGGAATCAAGAAGTTTTCCACCAATTTTTCTTTCCTTTTATTGAATTATGAAATAAACATACAATAAATTCTACGTATTACTTTGTACTTCATGTAATTATTCCCTTTTATTTTCAGGATACTCCACCACCGTTACCAGCACGCACTGGGCACTACTACCCGCGTACATAGCTCTGTCATGTTTGATAGAATATGATCATTTCTACAATCGACTCATTTATACGCAGATTTTTTCCATTTAGGACATGGATAAAAAAACAAATTGCCGGATTGTACGGATTAGACACATCATGTTTTCAATGTTATATAGCCTATTTAATATGACCGCTATGACATATATAACTTCATATATCAATAAAATTTTAATTAAAGGTATACACCGTGTCGTTACAACCGCGACAATAAATGAACACACGTCTAAGGCCACTTGCCAATAAGTTTAAAAAAAATATAAAATGTTAAAAAAATCCATGATTAAAAAAAATATTTTTCAAACAAACTAAATAAAAAAGAAACAAAATTTGTAACATCCTATACAACTACAACTGACTGATTCATACGTTCAGACACTTTTTCATTCGTTGCCGCAGCGTCGCGTTACAAATCTCTCCTTCTAACAGTATGTTTTATCCCTTTCAAATACATTCAACCCATTCAAATGCTTTGTGACCTTTACAAATGAACTTTATGTTACCGTTTTATACGTAACGGTGTTTTAAAATTGTTTGTTTTGGAAAATTCAATAACTCGGTAAATATTGATGTTTAAAGAATGTAAATGATTAATACAATTTTAATAAGTTATCCTCTAAATGTGTATTGATTTATGGTCGCGTTAGTAGCGACACGCTGTATAAGAAAATAGCACATTCACACTTGAACTCAATTGACTATCAAAACTGAAATGGATATCGCTGTCATTATAGAGTGATGTGATGATGAAGATATTTACTTACATTAACTAACTTCTACCAAAATTTAAAACAGCTATACATTGCAAGAGTTTCAATCAATTTACAAAGTGATTAACCTTCAAGGTATCTTCTCCTTCATACTTGGTGTTTATAACATTTGTATGATTTGAGTATTTGAGATAGTGACGTCATAGTGGTCTTATCTTAGACCGGCGATAGAAATTTTAATTGATGTTTGTTACCCTTTTCAACACATGACTAATAAAGTCAGCCCATATATGAAACAACTTCATCTTAAATTATATTTGTATTTATAAAAGTCTATGGCACATTTGAACATAGTGTTGCCAGTTAATGTAATTTAATCGGATTGTTTTATAGTCAAAGAAAGATAATGCTAATACTTATCCTATATAAACAGTACCAATATTATTTTTCTATGGCAACTAAGAGATCAACCATTAAAATATAGTTTTTATGCAATTAATACATTGAATATAAATGTAGTGAAATATATTTAAATAATACATGTTTATACAGCAAATCAAATAAACATCCACTAGTTTTACATGTAATTTGTAAATGTGGTGCCAGGCGTAAAAATGGAACACGATGGGAAAGGAGATTTTAATAATTTGAAACTGTTTCCTAGTACTTAACGAGGGCAACCCAAAACTCCCTCATAGATATGTCAACAGTAATAGTTTAGATTATTTATAAACCTTATATCATATTTACCCATGTATCTGGTCATTCAAAGTTGTGTTAAAAGCTGTAATTAATTTTACAATATATTGTTAAAAAAAATGTTCGTTAACGGTTTGAAGGTAATTGTACCATCGCAATGAGTATTTCTGATCGTACGTTTTACGGGAAACGTTCTATTTTGTATTCTCCTTATCGTATTGTAAATTAAATTGTTAAAGATATGGTTATATAAAATAAGATTAAGCAAGCTTACATCTAGTCCCAAGCTATGAGTTAATATGTTGCGAAACAAAGAACGTTCGCGAAAGTGTTTAAATTAAGTATGCCACGGAATTATTGAAATGTATATTCAGATCCCATCATACATTACCTACTTTTCCGTTTCCGTCTTCCATTCGTCAATTTCTTCCAAAAATGTACAAACACGTCAATTGATACTTCCCCATATCATTTTAATTGTTTCAACGGAACACCCGCTCCATGAAATTAACGTATCATAGTGTCTAAATTGAATTTACCTCTTCCCGCCTGTTGAAAATGCAGATGTTTTTCCTTTTTTTTTACCGTAAGTAAATCTCTATTTCTAACCTCTTGACGACTCTGTCTTCTAGTAATAATTTAGCGTAAAGTTTGCCTTGCATATTTATTTACCACAAATATAAATTTGTTTTTTATAAATATAGCGTTATACACTCCAATATACGATTTTTTTTTTCTTTTGAAGCAGCTTTTAAAAATTGAAGCAATTTTTTTAATCTCTTTTATTTATTCAATCAATCTTGACTAATAAAATCATTGAAGACTGAATAAAATTGTAGCGGCAATGCGCTAACCACCGATCTTGCGGAAATACCAAATTCAAACCAAAATATTGTTTCTAGAATAACGCGACGTTGAATTCGTGACCTTGATGGCGGCTATTTGAGTTCGATTATTACGTTTAATATTTTATAAGCTTGCCCGTGTCCACATTTTTTTTAACCTTATTCCCTTTTAGGTTAGTCTGACAAGTAATTTGTTTGTTTATACTACGGTTTCGTAAAACGGGCTTCAATGCAGGCCTGTTGCAGGTAATGATCACTGTAGGTACCTATATTGAATTTCTAGTGGTTATTGTTTTATTCTTTTTTTTTGGGGTTAATGTTTTTTTAACATTGCGGCGAAAGTCTTGAAGTACTTTGTTTTTATTTTGTTATTTTGTTACTTTTTTAGACTAGATAATCGATTGCATATCAATTATTTTTAGGTTTTTAAGTGCAATATCCATGGGAGCGTTAGATAAATAAACGATCTTGCCCGCAAATTGTGATGGAATTTTTCTTAACTTGAATAGTTTTTCTTTTATTTGTAATATGGGATGCTCGGTGAAGGAACTCGATTTTCAATCCAAAGCATTTAGTCATACTGCGCATTCTTAGTAATTCTAGAGCTCTATGTACTTACTTTTAATAAGCCTCAGCATAGTTTTTAATTTCAAAAAATGACAGAAATCTCCCATAGACTATCTTTATATTTTTAAGTGTAATATAATTATTTAAAAGATCATATTTCATATTAATTACTTATATTCAACAGATTCGCCTTCTAAAAAATAATCATTTGTACTTATCAAGTGTATCAATATTTTGTACCATTATTATATAGGTTTCCTAGAGTAGACTTATTGTAGGTATAATGTTCTTAAGATATAAACTATATAATTGTATGGAAAAGCACAAAAAGAACCGTTTCTATTGTATCGTCTCGTCGTTTTTATATAAACTACAATTTTTATCAGTGTTGTATACGTTTAGGTACCTACACATTATATAATATGTATTGTATCTTGTAATCATGTATTTTATGCGGTGTTTTGTATTTGTGTACAAAAATGCTTAAGGATGTTGTGAAGTCGGCGGCGTTGCTTGTGTCATTTGACTGCTAAATGACAACGTTGGATTGGGCTGTCGTATGTGATTGGTGGTGTTTGTTTATATCTGTGAGATTTAAGTTTTAAATAATAATAAGTGGCGCAAAATTAAATGCGCCCAAGCCATATTATTTGCATACATGTGAGTGCAAAACATAAGAGGCCTCTTAATAGAACTATGAAATATGTAAAATAATTATTTTCAAGGAACTGAATAATAACATTTAAATGAGAGCGAGTTTAAATGTTGCCGTGTTCTATAATTATTTTTTGAATAGGATTTTTGGTTCGTTTTTCGCGAATAAAAAATTCTTTTTCTCGTGTATGAGAACGTAATATCGGTTTAATTGCTGAAAAACAAGGAATTGCTATTTTTAATGTAAATGGCATGTTCTAGTTTATCAACTCTTTATTACTCTGTTAAACAAAACTTAAGTTACAGCTATTGTGAAGTACACCTATTGTATCGTAGGTGTAGTATAAAATGTTATTTAGTTTTCATAGAACCACTATAGATAGAGGCGAGTAAGGTTGTGACGAGCAACGAACGGGGGTGGATCCTAGGAGCTGGTGTCCATCATAGGAATTATATTGTTTAATACGATACAGCGAGCAACGCCGCCGTCCTGAACGTGTGTTATAATAACCATCTACATAATATTGTAAGGACTGTGTCGTTACAATTATAAACATTCCATTGCTTGTGATATCGTCTTTTATTTCCATAGAACCCTATACCATACAGCTTCCCCGTAAGATAGGTCAAATTCAAACGCAACACAAACTTGCGTAAATTGTAACACCACGGAGCATTACGGAATGCACCGGCTCGTCCAGCGAATTACCAAAACTTAACAGCAAACCTGTTTTTTGTGGAATAGGAGGTAAACAAACAAGCTGGTCACCTGATAGTACGCGATCACCACCTCGCATGTCTTCGCTGTTGCACGAATAGGCAACTAGGAATAGGATTAGTTAAGTACCACTTACAGAAGACTGACGTGAAATGGAAATTTTATACTTCTGCGTTTCATTTGGTAAGTGAGATAACCGGGGCCCGCTTTATTAAAAGATGGCAACGTAACAGCAACCCTACGGGTTGCAGCAGCTTCTACGTTGCATGTCTAGAGACCTCGAATTTGCGACCTTGGATTTGCATTTCGTTTGGTGAGCTAGGTATAGCACTTTTTTTATTAGGTGTCCGCATCTGCAACCCTACGGGTATTGCTAATGTCCATGAGCGGCGGTTATCATTTGAGCCGCCAGTTCGGTTGCCGTCTTCTTATAAAACCTTGTAACCTGGGAGGGGTCACAAGTGCGTTGCTGGCGAGGGAATGTAGTACAGTATAGAGGGAGTAGAGTATACTCTTAGTCTTGTATTCTTAAAGTTCTCAAAGTCGTATCGATCCGGAAATACGCTGTCAACAACAAGTAGCTGTGGAGTCTGTGAAGTCTCAGTGAAAAACAATTTTGGACCACCCACCATGAAGTTGGTGTCGACGGTAGGTAGACGCTGCCTTCCACTTGTTTGTTCCAACACTTGCCAGGTAGACGCTCCTTGACAATCTAAACGGTGGCGAAATTCTGCAGGCATTGTTATGAACATTTCTTCAGAGCAACGTGATACATGCGATAGTTAGTTGATTGCTTTATACTGTGTTAGGAACACGCAGCATCTTCCACGTTGCATGTCTAGAGACCTCGAAGAAGACCGTTGCGAATTGGATTTGCAATTCGTTTGGTGAGCCGGTCAGCACTTTTTTTTATAAGGTCGCATCCGCAACCCTACGGGTATTGCAGATGTCCATGGGCGGTGGTTATCACTCGGTAGATCCGCCTGTGCAATTGCCACCTTCTGAAAAAAAAAATGGGGCCAACAATTTTAAGAGGTTTGCAACTGGAAACAGGTTTTGGATGTAAACGGGCGACGATAACCATTTAACGTGAGGTAACAGCCTACTTGTCCACCAAGTTTTTCATTTTCAAAACCTTTCTGCATGGGTTATAGAAGAGCGTGATGTTTATCTGCCACATCTTATTTCATTACTTTTAGTAGAACATAGCCGATAATTTAGTAAAACTACCCCGGATCGTAATATCCTATTGTTACTGGAGATAGAATGTTGGCAGTATTAAGGAGCTAATGTCAAATAGCTATAGCTAGTAATAGATACCTAAATAGAATATTGAAACCGGCTCTTAGTGGAAATCCGATACGATGACATGTGTCAACTTTAATAGGCTTATAATTGTATATACTTCGGGTGGTGATTTATTAAAAAAAATCTTACCCGATGAATTTGCTACGAGGCTCAAATTTATAGTTACGTCCATACTCTAAAGATACTTTCAAACTGTCCAGTAATTTGAATTTGGTTTTATCTGTGGTCGCTTCCCCGCCCGGCAACTGCGTCGCCATTACGCAAAGACACCCAATAGAAATTCAGCCCGCATCCTCTTTTCACATTGATCTGTATTCCGGCGCAGCAGCTGATATATCATGGACGCCAACCGACTGTAAACTCTTTGAAAGTAAGCACAACCGGCGCTTATACAAATGAGCGTCGTCTAATTGACTTTAATTCGCATTGAATTTAACCGGATTACCGACTAACTGTTACTAAGTCTTTACGGCACTGGAAAAGTAAAATTGCAGACTACATATCAGCTGGAATTTCAATGTTCCATAAACGATGAGATATCATCTGCGAGTGGCGCAGTATGTATATAATTAAACACTCCTGTCACAAAAGGGGTAGGCAGAGGTTATTGTGACCAATTTTCCACAATCCCTGCGTACTTTTATCTTTTCTATGTGGGAAAAAGTAGGTCAAAAATGTTGCAACATTTTAATCATATAACATTTTGGTACGAGTTATTTATTCCACAAAATAAATACGATCAACTTAAAAGAACTATACAAGGGGCCTTACAAAATAAATCTTTCAACAATTACACAAATCGCATCCTAATTCCAGTCTTATACAGTATCGGATACTGAATACACAATTAACACGCGGGGTTACGGCGCCAGCTACGCTTTGAGTGGTGGCATTTAATCGCCTTGGCTTGTTCAACATATTAGGATAATAATATACATACAGATCGCTTTTCTACATCTACAAAGTTTAAGCATTTACCTTTCATTGTACTTTACAGGTCAATTAAATGTCCTAAACTATTTTAAATTTAAGTTTGGTGGCGAATCCTATAGTACATTGATATTCAACATGGCTCAGATCGATAGATAGAAATAACATAGTGCTATTGTCATCACAAATATATGTTTCACGTTTCGAATCCATAATAATGCATTACATAAAACTTACATATAGCCGCATTCTAAATTCGAATGTATTGACATAAACATCATTCAAAGCAAATCGAACGTAACCATAGACTAATTCCGTTTTGAGCGGGAGAATCGCTCGGAGCTCACAGCCGGGTCACCGCGCGCTCGCAGTCCTTAGACGCGTTGTCTATGGCGCCGTCGGGCTTTTTGCCGCGTAGCTCCGCGTATATCTCCTCTATGGTGCGCATCCGCGTCTCGGGCACGCAGCAAGCGATGTAGACCGTGCTGACGAGGCAGACCGCGGCGAATATCGCGAAGACCGCGTGCAGACCGAGGCTCGCAGCCAGTGGCTGGAACGCCCTCAGCTCGGCGGAGACCAGGGCGCACGCGAAAGCGATCACGATCGACGTCACCGTGCCGCGGAACTGCCGTCGGGAAACGATTGTTAACTTAACATTGCTTGCGAACCGCAGCTTTGCTGGGCCGACAACGTTAGTAACTGCTCAAGCTCAGATTTGAAAACCAAAATCGTCGCAAAAGAACATCGACTCCACCCACGGCTGATCCAGGAGGCTAGGGAAAGAGTAAAACTTCCAAATGACAGAAGAGGGGGTGTGCCGTAACCATGTTGACCTAAAATGAATGCAATTGAATTGAAATAAATGAACACTACAAGACCTCGTTACCGGACAAAAACCTTTTTTAATCAGCTTTCAAAACCAAAATGTATTTTTACAATCACTGTTTTTGGTAGCAAGGGAAAGTCTGATATTAAAACCCAGCTCATTCACACTTTTAGGTAACTAAAGAACCACATTTTTAGCTTATTAAGAGGTTATATATTAGCAGATGCAGAAATATAGTTTAACTTTATATCCTTGGAGAATACGGATGCTTCGTTTCATTAGTATGAAGCGGTGCTTTCGAAATTAAAGTGTTGTATACATTTTAAACACATAATTAAACTCTCGAGATACTTGCTGTACCTTCTGCTTAGTTCCGACTAAGACACCCATTTAATAGAAAAGGAAAGCGCTATCTGTGACATGAAGTCCGAAGGATTACCCATGGCGATAGATACTTTTAAATATTCAGAACGTGGATGATTCAAAATTATATTAAACCCAAAATAAACATATCCATTCTAAGTTGTATTAAATTTTTCAAGACGTTACTCAAAATTTGACGACCCGACTGGCATAGTGGGTAGTGTACCTGCCTCCTGCGTCAGAGGGTATGGGTTCGATCCCCACTACTGGAAAAATATGAAATATATATGTTTATATATGTATAACATGTATTTATTTACAAAAGAAAAGTATGTTATGTATGTTTATCAGTTATCTAGTACCCACATAGTACAAGCATTGCTTAATTTGGGACTAGAGAACGTTATGCAAAAATGTGTCCAAAAATATTTATTTATTTTTGGTGTTCCACTGACCTGGAATGAGAACATCTCCGTCATCATCACAAACGGCACCGGCTGTAGGCCCGCGGCGTCGCAGTAGATGCAGAGGCAGAGCGCCGCCACGGGCAAGGCCGCCCCGCCGCCCCTCAGCCAGAACCAGGCGCTCAGCGCCGACAGGGACAGCCCCGAGACCAGGCAAGTGACGCCCAGCAACGGCTGTGGACAATACACCGCGTTTCATGGCCCAGCCCGCTCACGGAGGTTCGTCCGTGTCATGGCCCAACCCTAAAATGGGAAACGTTGAACGTTGAACCGACTGAAAGAGATGTCCACGGAGTGACTGAAAACTCTAAACGAACGAAAACTCTAGACGAACGAAAAGCATTTTGTATTTAAGTATGATTGAAATATTCGGTACTACCTAAATATCTTTTTCATTATTACAGTAAAAATATAATGCATAAAAATATAAGATGTAAGAGCCCTAATTTGTTTATCTTAAATTGGTTTTTGAATTTAGTCTTTATGAAGTGAATGTTTTTTGAATTTAGACTATAGAAAAGAAAGGTATTTTTCGGATCAAATTCCGGGCTACAAGAGAAAGAACTCCGTTTGTGAACAATCCTCGATTTAAAGAAGAATAAAAAGCTAAATTCAAATTCAATATAGTAGCATTACACTCACTTCTTGATAGTCAAAATAGTACCATCAGTTTGGAAAAGACAAGCAACTGACTTGAGAAGAACCGGAGAAAGAAACTCAGCGGGCCACTTTTTTTACCATTTTTGAGTAAACAAGTTTTAAATTGTAAAATTGTATGACATGAATATATATAATACAATATAAAAAGTCCGGTTGAAAGGATCTGGAGCGATCAATTCGTTACTGAGTGTGTTAACATTTAAATGATCATTAATATTATAATAGCCTTTAACACACAAATGATCTTTTACATTTTTTTTCAATGTAACTCTTGATACTGCTTTGAACGTTCTGGGATTTTGTTGTAGAAAGGTATAAATATTCCCATAAAACATGATATAATCTTTACATAGTATAAAACGCATTCGATTCCGGTGCTTCGTGCGGTTGTATCTTTTAAACTACGCAACGGATTTTAATGCTGTTTTCAGCAATAGATAGAGTGGATTCAAGCGGAAGGTTCATATGTAGTATGTATACACATATGTAACTTAGCATATAGTAGAGAAAAGTAAGTCGGGTAGTAAAATAAATATAAAATATATTTAAATCATTCACAATCGCATGCGTTCGAGTGCCACGCATTCACTCTCACTCTGTCTCTTTCTATTCCCCCTCCCCAGGAGCGTTGAACGTTTAACGCAACAGTGCTTACATACCCCATTCATGGTAGCGTTAAACGTTTAACGGAACCCTGTTGGAAGTCGCATTAGAAGTTTTACTTCAATATATTCGTAATAAAGAGATGACTAAATATAAGACCCCCCACTAGATGGAGTGACGACCTGTGCAAATGTGCGGGAAGTCGATGGAGGCAGGTGGCTCGGGGTCATGCTTCGTGGCAGTCTGTGGGCGAGGCCTATGTTCAGCAGTGGACTCAAACAGGCTGAAATGATGATGATGATGACAGGGCCGGATTATAGCCCTCGGGGCAAAAGAGAAGTGGAGGCCCCTTGACCCTAAATAATTTTGCATTGATTTCTTCATTTTATGTAATCATATTTGTACAAAGAACTGTAGATAAAGGTAAAACGCGAAAAAAATATGAAAGGAAAAGTTGAGTGTTCCCTAGGGTTTTCTAGTCTGAATTAGAATTTTTTTTCCGTGGTCTCTATTGTTGAGGTTGCCCTCCCCTAAATCTGGCCTTGGATGGTGATGATAATAAAGTGGGTCGGTATCTCGTCCCAGCCCACCTTCCGGCCGGTCCTCTCGACGAGGCTGGAGGCGGTGCAGGAGCCGATGAGCTGCACCACGCCCAGCAGCGCCGCCTGCTGGTTCGCGCTCAGCACCCACCCGCCGTTGGCCTCGTCGAAGATCAAAGACGCGAAGTGCAGCACCGCCAGGCAGCCGCACAGCTCCCGGGCGAGGGTTATCGTCAACGTGATGCGAAACGCGCGGAACGTGCTCCGGTCGGATACTGTAGTACGGCGGTCTTGTTTTAGTCATCGAATCGATACATATATATATATATATATATATATATTAGTACTTTGTTGATCCACCTTTCTGTCCAAATTTACTTGCCCTTAACCTTTATTTTAAAGGCCGGAAAGCATATATTTGAACAGCGTATTGTGTGGCTTAGACATATTTCTAAATTCAGCAATATACTCTAACCGTTGTTTTATACTTTTTCAAAGTATTTGTGGCTCCACGTAACGGTTTTTTCTCAGGCACTTTTTCAAAACATTTCTTGATCCCTGTGAGCGCGCATACGCAGCTCGACGTCAGTGTTCGTAAAATTAATTCCACAGTGTTTGTAATAAGAACTGAATATCCATGTACATTTTCTATTGAGTAAACTGTTACTATATGTCGAATATAATAACCTAGATAAATATAATTGACAAAGAGATGGTTATACCCTATTTCTTATTAATTAGTTTACGATAGGATGCTAGTGAATAAATATTTTTAATATTATAGATATTATCGCTTAATATTAATGAATCCTTGGGACATTATCAAAATACCTACTTACTATAAAGTGTATAGTTTTGTTGTTATGCTTGTTAGCACATGCAGCCTGTATTAATTCGATTGAGATGAAGCCCAAAATGCTGTACTCCTAAGTAGGCATCCAAATATTATCCCGAGTTGATTTAAGCAACTGGCGCGGCGGCGAACTATGAACTCAAAGAATATCATACATATAATAAAAATTTAACTGATTGTTGTTTGTACATGGAAGATATTTGAGAAAAACTATTATTAGGGGCCTTTATCAGCGCAGTAGAACCCAAAACAATCATAGTTAAAATTATTGTCTGTTTATCTGTTTGTCTGTGTGCGCTAACTTGGCTAAAACGGCCTTTCCGATTTCAGTGCAACTTTTACAAATGCATTGTAGTAAGCTTCTCTTAACATTTATTGTTAGTTTTATTTAAGTCGGATGATAAATAAAATAGTTATGTCAACTTAAAGAACCACATTGTAGATTTGTGCGATTAAACTATAGTTAACTATGGTCTGTAAAATGATGGTTTATATAAAGTTAAAAAAAATCGCCCAAGTGCGAGTTGAAGTTGCGCGCGAAGGGTTACGTAGGTATTTTTAAGCACGATATAATGTGCGGGCGAAGCCGCGGGCGCAAGCCAGTTGTACAATATATTGCTACTATTGCACTAGGAAACGGATCAACAACGGTCGCAATGTAATGCGACAAATGATGTAGTGTGAAAATTTCTTTAAAGAGACGAGGATGACAATATTTTAGTTTAATTTTAACTGTTAAATTTGTTTACAAGTCATTGCTCAACTCATTATCAAATATGAGTTTGGTTACAAGAGAATAAATTATTATTATTTATTATGTAATCAATAGTGTTATTTAAGCTATTGCTATTCAGTGGGTTAAAGTTAGATTAGTTAAGAGATAATGTGCGATTTATCGGACAAATCTTTACATCAAAAGAGAAACTCAAAGAATTGAGAAAAAAGTAAGTGATTTTTATTAAATGTAATCTTGCTTATAGTCTAGCCAACAAGTGCTTTTTTAACGAAAACCTGTTTAACTTCACGAAAATTATGGTTTTATATGGCACAAGAGAAATACATAATCTGTGAAAATTTCAACTGTCTACCTTTTTTCTTTTAAGAATATGATGCTTAATGAAAATATGACATTTAAGAAAAAAATTTTTCACTGCTAAAAACGCTTGTTCTAAATTACAATTATTGCTTAGTGTTAACATTATGGAACCATTTTATTAAAATCATAATTTATCACGTTGTTACATCAAAAAAAAATTATAATTTAATTCATTTTTTATTTGATTTTGTGAACAGACGCTTGTTTATAAACAAACGAATTACGAAAAATTTTGTTTATTATTTTTCTGTTTTTTATATAATTTTTAAAATTATTGTACACTTGGACTTGTTACCTATCAGGTATTCTCCATTGCTATTAAAATTACTTATAAACTATTGAAGATACGACTAGAACACTCCAAGTCTTATTTATTCTTCAACATTATTTTTTAAATATTGAAGTAGAAGACATTCATTTTATACATGAATTAAATAATTAACTGTTGAGTATTGATACCAATATTTTTTTTATTAATTATTATATGTAAATTCTTAAATAATCTATCACGCGCGAAACAAATTTACATTAAAATATAATGGTTGTGTTGCACGTGAATCTGAAAAGCGCGCGAGCGCTAGATATTGCTGGCCCTTTAAAGCATGTATTTCAACAAATATCACATTCACGAGATACAATAATTCTTCTTAATAAGTAGGTACGTAAAGTGATGATTTCAACCAATGAATGCTGCTGTGATCTGTGATTCGTCCGTTTGAATTGGATCAAATAAGTACGGAGTGGATTTGTTTGTAGAAATTCAAAGATATTGACTGTTGATCATACCACTAAATCGCTGGATGAAAAAAATCGGGTATGGATCAACAAATTTAAGCCAACAAAAAAACTGAACAACGCTGGATGAAAAAACTCCTAGAACAGATATATATATATATATATATATGTATTCCTTCTGTGCGTATCTATGTCACTGAACTCATCAGCATGATGACTCCGCGTGGCGCATGATGACTCCGCGTGGCGCAGTCGCCAAGACGTGGGTTCGATTCCTACACGGTTAGTGGATAGTAGTTTCGCATCTGGGCGTTTATACGCGTGATATTTATGTTTGTAAAACGTCCTTACAACACAGGATAATGTTATCGTAAAATAAAGGTTTTGAGATAATAAAAAAACGAAAACGAACACCTCCTAAACGGCTGGACCGATTTTAATTTAAAGGATTGTGTCTTCAGGTTGATTCGAGAATAGTTTAGAGTCACAATTCGGTCCACTACATTTTTTTTAAAATAAAAAATTGATATCTTAAAAAAAATTAAAGATGATTCGCAATTTGGCCGGTCTATATTTGGACGAGCTCATCACAGTCGTATAATATGTTCGAACAGTTTTGACAAGTTTATATTATGTTCAGAAAATATATGCGGAAGGCGCGGATCGTGCTCCGGTCATTACTGCAGTAGTCGACGGTCTTGTTTTACTTTTAGTAAGCTTCGGCGCCCGGTTTCGTGAGTTCGATTCGTACACGGGACAAGCATTTGTGTGACCCACAGATTATTCCGCATCACGGTATTTGGTCCCAACGAACAGTTATTGTTAGTAATGGTTCCGTACCACTATTTATAAAAACTGCAAAAAAAATTATGTATGGGAGCCCAATTTAAATATTTTTATTCTATTTTTTAGTATTTGTCCTAATAGCGGTAACAGAAATGGAACATCTGTGAAAATTTCAACTGTCTAACTATCACGGTTCATGAGATACAGCCTTGTGACAGACAGACAGATAGACAGCGAAGTCTTAGTAATAGGGTCCCGTTTCACCCTTTGGGTACAGAACCCTTAAAACTAGCCAAAACCACATTCAATATGATCCCACCTAGGTGGGGTAAGGGCAGGAAGATGATGATTCGATACATAGAAAATTCCTGATATGTAAAAAATGTCCATGGGCACCTGTTATCACTAAATCAGGTGAACAAACACTGAACAAAAACATACCAGTAATGAATTGATTCATATTTTCTTAAATTTGTACAAGAAATATTTGATAAAATTTATTTTTCAAATATGCACCACAATATTAACTGACATAATTTATAGCTCTTAAAGATGGATATATTAAGCGCAATAATAAATTCCAGCGAAAGCTAGCATATACTTCCACGAACGGTCTCTATTCAACAAGTTGTTATTTGGAATCGATATTGTTTGGTCACCACTCGTGTCTCGGCGTATCACCGTTTGCATAGTTACCGGCGTCACAGACTAAAGCCGTCAGGTTAAGTCACTTGGTATGTACTACCTGTTTACAGGTAAAGTGTGAACATTGGCGTAGGAACTGTTTACTAGTTATAATTTTCCTGTGTCATTTCATATATTGCGCTCATGCCGGTATGCGGTCTTTAAGTAAACGTATATTTATACAAAAAAGAAAGTAGTCGAATATCTTTAAAACGCTGAACGCATTTCACTAATAAATTCAAATCAAATCTTAATATGAAATATTTCGCCCCAGTGACATGCAAATGTCACAGAATCATCGAATTATAAGCTAATTCTTATTATTTCTTTTATAAACGCGATACGGATTTTATCGCTAAAATAATTAAAATATCGGTAAAATAATTGCTTTTAATCAATAATAAAATTCAAACTTTTAAATTCTAGAGCAATTTATTTATTATAATAAAGTTACCACCGATGTAGAGTTGAGAAATTATACCGTGACACCTTTTAATAAAATCGCATCTTTTGTAAATTACAATTTATTGCTGTGGAATTCAAAATCAAAAACTAATATTCAATACTTTCTAACTTAACCACATATGACTACAAGGGGTTACTTCCCGACCCCATCCACACAAATCATAATCATAACCACAGTCTTACTATAAGACAATACTCACTTAAAACCTTCAGAACCTCGAAGAACCGTATGGAACTGTTCTGTTCCATTTCCAGCAGCAAGGTTTGCAGTTCGCCATCCACGGCTGTGTCTGTAAGCTGACGGCATCGTAGCCAAGCTAGCGCGCCTCTGGCCTCCTGGAAAATATGGATATAGGAACTTCTTAATTCAGTCTTTAATTGTTCACTTCATTCATTCACTGATTCATTCACTCGTCGTATGTAACGCGAACGCGGTAAAAGTTATGACTAGAATAAATAAATCTAAAATATAAGAAAATAGTTATATAATCCATATAAAATCCGTAAAATAATTTCATTTAACCTCGTATAGTTGTATTATAGCATTCGCATAAAAACAGTTCAAATCCTATGCCGGTACCAATGAAATTGTTAATTGCTATTTTAAGTGCTGACTTATTACGTGCTGGACGGTGAAGGAAAACGTCTTAAGGTAACTGCATATTTTGGAAATAATGATATGACATATAAACATGTGAAGACTACCAATCCGCAGTGGGGTCGCGTGTTGAACTATGCTCTCTGTATTGTGGAGGCCTTTACTCAACAGTGGGACATCTATGGTCTGTACAGTACTCTACTTTTCATAATACGCGCAACCTAGGAAATGTAACAATATTATAGATTAACCAAACAATCTTTACGGGATCTCTGTATCAAACCATCGTATTCCTAACTCCTCTCAAAATTTTTAAAATCCGTCCCGCCTTTCCATCGTGCTAAGGGACATTAACACAAAACACAAAACTTCGCTTTAACATCATAAGCTTTGTAATCAAAAGTGTTTACTCAAGCGAAATACGCTAATCGTACGATCGAATCAACCAAGCAAACTCATACCTCCACCTTCCCACACTTCAGGAGATAGGACGGCGTCTCGGGCATGGTGATGAAGATCAGCAGATGCAGCAAGGGTACCGCGAGGCAGATCCACAGCGTCGTGGTGTAGCAGAGGTACTCCCCGGCGATGTACACCATCAGGTTGCCCAGGTTCTGCGACAGCACCACCCAGGCTGCCCAGAGTCCCGCGTATCGAGTCCTCGCTGACCTCCTTTATGTACAGCGGCGTGACCACGTAGGAGCCGCCCACGCCGAAGCCCACAATCGCCCGCGCCAAGATCAGCGCCCAGGTCGACGTCGAGTAGATTTTCAACGACCAACACGCCTGTTAACGGTTTCATCCTTACTATCCTTACTAATCCTTACTAATATAATAAAGACGAAAGTTTGTATGTATAGATGGATGTTTGTTACTCTTTCACGCAAAAACTGAATAGATTGTAATGAAACTTTACAAAAATATAGCTTATACATCAGAATAAGACATAGGCTATAATTTATGTGTACATATTTTATGTATGTCTGTCTTTCTGTCTGAATGTTACGCCTTCAGCCTATTCCAAGCAGACTTAGTCGCGGGCACCAGCTAGTACTGAATATGGTTTTCCTTAAAAGGTGGTTGGCCGATTTCTGAGTGTTTCATGTATTCCTTCTGTCCTTTTTAAACCCTAAACAGCTGTCTAAAAATCACTGTTCTACACCATGTCAAGAGCGCGTATTTTTGCGTTATTTTAAATATGGAATGCCGAATGGCCAAATCCGTGCCCAATCATACTTAATATGTATATTTTATGTGGTCATAAATAAATCAGTTAACATAAAAAGCTCTCATAAACAGAAATAGCTGGGATAAATATAGACAGGGATTTTTTGCAAATAATCAATCTGAAATCTTTTTCCACTACAGTCGAAAGTTCGACCAGATAAGGGTAAGTCCAACGTTCGGACAAGTTTAAACCAGTTTAATAAAACTTATCTCATCGGCTCATCCCATCAATTTTATTTACTTGTATCGTAAAATCGTCTGAATCGTAACACCAAAAGCGAGATGTGATAGACATATCGGGTTAGTGACGTAAGCACATTAATACTAGCAAACAAATGGGATGCATTAATGAGATAAATCAAATAATTTTACATCCAATTGCTTTGGAAGCACGCAAGATATGTTATAATTTGTCTCACAATACCAATTTCAACGTAAAGTACCAAAAACAAAAGCTTGTCAAATATGACGGCACATAACAAATCCAAATACCATACATGTATAATTCAATCAAACCCAAACTATGCTGGGGCTCTCAGTTTCTCTGTTTGCCTAGTATTGGACACATGTCTACAACCAGTCGTAGAAGGAACAACTTCAAATGGTATTTATAAAAATTATAAAAATAATTAATTTAAGGTAAATTAATACGGATTCGGTAAGAATTCGTAACATCGTCGCTTGTATAATTGAAAAATGTCCACCAAATATCGCTACTATCCCCATGTAAATTGATTTTTAGAATGTGTCAATTTAATAAAAGCAAATTTCTCTGTGTCGTTATGATTTGTTTTTTGTATAATTTGTAGATTTAATAGGTCATCGCCCTTGTTCTGATATATGTTAATAGCTATTTTAAGAACTGGTTGCAAGCTTGCCGTTCTTAATAAAAACTGGGTGAAAACCAACCAAATAGTCTCAGTTTTTTAATGCTTAAACTATTTCACTCACGTTTAGTTTATACAGTTTCTATTATAACCTCTTTAACAATTTCAAATTTATAAAAACAAAGAATAACATATCAAGTGTTAGAGCAAAGACGAAGACAACGACGATAAGAATAAAGAGGCGACTAAGGCAGAGATTATAAAAAAGACAATCTACATAAAATGTACAAAAAGACACTATACAATAATGAGGGTCCTTAAAAAAGCGTCCTATAAATTAGGAGTAATGGAATTCGGTTTACACTGGCCTAAGTAGGCTGCCAATTTCAGTCGACACTCGGCAGTTGTGAGTTGCCGTTCGGAATTATGGCACCTAATGATGTTCAATTATATACTTAGATGACGCATGTCCATTCTGCGAGGCGTTTAGATATTGTTCCGCTTTACATTAAATGACGTATTGAATGACCAGTGAATGTGACAGATGATATAGAAAGAGATAATAGTCTATAGAATTACTTCAATTGGTGTGATTTGAGTGCCTCAATTTCGATGCGCTAGCGTCATATCTTTGTGTATTATATATTTATATAATATCATTGATGGCACCATCGTTATCAAAATATCAAAAAAGTCAAAGTTGCTTTACCGCCGTAGCAGGAGTAAATAATGGGAGAAGAAAAGAAGTATTGGATAAAAAAATATTTAGTCCTAAGAAATAAATTGTCACATAAGAACATTTTGGGGCATTTATACAAGATTCCGACGAGAAGAGATTCCGACGATTTCAGAAATAACATGAGAATGGGAGACTGTTTGGTTTTTATTCCATAAGCAAGGCATGTAGACCTTGTACATACCAATAATGTTTAGTAAAATGTATTTTTGTGACGACTTAATCACAGGCGTTAAGCACCATCCGCTTGGATACAACGTTATGCGGTGACCGGGTGCGCTCATTTAAGACACTAAACTCCCTAACTGTGAATATGCCCCTCCTTAATAAGGAGTTTTTGTTAAAGAAATTTAAAATTTTCCAAACTTTATTATTATAGTTTAGCGTTGCACCAGCCACCTTACCACAATGTATTATTTGCGAATGCGCTCAAATGTATTTTTTAAGTAATTTATTATACCTAAATAGGAAAAAAATAGTTTACTACATAGTTGCGATTTTCATAACAAATCACAAATATTTCTCAACTTCAATACTGAACCATTTCGAAAAAATCATTTTGGGTTAATAACTTCAAGACACGCCATAACGTAAATTTAACTGAGAGTATATTGACTAAACGAATTCCTGGCGACGTGCCGTGTTAGAATGACCGGTCACATTCCAATTTCAGAAATATAGAAAGTTATCGGGTGACACAGTGGACTCTGTTAAGAGCGGTAAGTTGACCCCAACATAAAACACCGCATTCGGTACACTACCTGCCACTTACGGCGTTGATTTCGCTTTTAAATAATAACGCTCCATTATATTTCGATGTCAGTATCCGTCGAGGAGGCTTAACGAGTCAAAATACAAAAGTCTGAGTTGCTGCTTCAACTGATCGTGGCCCAAAAAAAAACTTCACTTATGATTTACGCTCTTTACGGTACCAGACGCGCTGTCTCAATCTATTACTACGAGATAACCGTTTGATTCTCGGAATGACCCCGGAACTTTTGGCCGTCGTGTCGAGAGTTTTACCGCTAAGACGGCGTCTTGCTCATTACCAATCGGTCTCTCCAAAAGTTTGTATTACCGAACGAAAAGGGCTTTCTCTAAGGAAACTAATTAAAAAGTAGAGAAATTAGTACTGAAGCGACTGCTCTTTTTTTCAGATCTTAACCTTTTTTTAGAGAAATTATCACATCACATCGGTGATCTTGACCATTTTTAGAATCTATCGCATTACATAAGTGACCTTGACTGTAACATTTGCTGCACCATGAGGTCGTATTGAAACAAGCCGGATACTTCATGCCATATATTGCACTCTGGCGGTTCAAACTCACATTTCCAAATTAACTAGGCATCTTTTTAAGCAAATAAAAGTTTTTACGCATCCCTAGCTCGAGTACATACTCGAGAACATCATTTGTGTACGTAATAATATCCACCAATTTAAATACCACATCGCGGCCGGGCCTTCGTGACACTATAGAAGTACCGAAGCTTAGACTGGCTAAAACCAGAAAATCGTTTCTTGACTTCCTCTGGCTGCTGCTGATCTTGTAATTAAATAAGTATGTTTTATTGTATAATTTTATTATATTATTTTATTTTGAAAAAAAAGAGAAAACAAGACTGCAGAGTTTCTTGCTGGTTATTCTCTGGTCAAGTTTAGTGAACGGGATGTAGTTATATGACTTTTAATAAGAGCTTAAATTAAACAATTATTGAAAAAAGAAATTTTGACTTTAATGTTAAGACGGTAAACACTAAACACCCATTTGTAAGCGAGTGAATTCTTTATTGTTCAATAATTCAAAAAGCTGATTTCTCTTGCGATACTCTAATTTTCCTCTAGGAATACCTAATACCTACGTAGTTGATTAAATAATAATATTACGATTCCAAAATTTTAATTGTTCCTGTGACCTTTAATATTAAAAAAAATCAAGTCTCTATGGTATTAATGTTGTTTCTCTGTTTGATTAATACGATCATTCTATGGAAATTTGGTTGTAATGGATCCGAAGACAGTTTGCATGTTTGTGACACGTTAGAGCAATCTGAATAATTCTCGAGTTTAGGTGACATTCCTGCCAAGTAAACTATCAAATGATTTATCGTTTTAGTGGCATATATTAACAAGCCTCCTTATTCATTTTAGGATCATTGACCTGATAAAGACTCGTCATTACGAATATATCTGTTACGCGCAATCTGTCTGCAGATCCGAACGGATGTTACTGAAAATACTTGTGATTTTATTAGTTTTATTCATAATTTTTTTATAGTAATGTACAGGTAAATGACCAGGGACTATCACGAGTTGACTTGGGTAATACATTTCACTGATGACCTTTACAATACTGGCGTCGTATGAACACATTAAATTTACATGCAAATCTCTCTGTCTGTGTCTATTTTGTGTATCACATTAAATATATTATAAAAATGTTTTCCATAAATCATATAAATTACCATAAAATGTTTCTGATGAATTAGTAGTGTTTAGTGTAGAATTGGCAACAGTTGCACCAATTTGGAATGATAAAAATTTTGAACGTTTTCCGTTAAATGTCTTTATATTTCATCGTAACAATACTGTTAATAAAATGATCATGCAAGCAAGCCATTGATGGCATGCACTCCAGCTCGGTAATTGCTTGGATTATCCTGCACTTTCATAAGCTTTGCAGTAGTGGTGCTCGTGCAAGTTAGTACATCATGTTTAAAAAGCATTACCTTAAATTAAACAATATCAATGATATTTAATAATTTTGAGATATTGAGTATCATAATAATAAAAAAAGGCTTCGCTGGTAATTTATTGTCGGTTTTTCCCCCGGACTGGTTCAAATTTAAAAAGTCAAAACTTTCACTGTGAATCGGACCAAAAGGCAGATACCTACTCTAGACGGTTAAGTATTTGCCTTGCAATCCTGGTAATTATATTTAATTTATTATTATAAATACATAATATATATAAATATATAATAAATTTGTTATTTTTATAAATAACTTTATAGTACTGTATAGATATGTGTATTATATGCTAGTCTCAACACACAAGATGGAACATAAAATGTGATTAAAATTTGTAGAAAAAGTACGAAAAGATTGCCGCCGCTGTGGGAATCGAACCCAAGTCTTCGGCATTCGCGGCCTGACGCTTTAGCCACTAAGCTAAACGGCTGATTGCCACACCGACGAAAATCTTAACATCTTTTATCTACATTGTTTTTTAGCATTTGAAGCACGTTCGATTCCCACAGCGGCGACAATCTATTCGTACTTTTTCTACAAATTTTAATGTTTAATCTTAAGTGCAGATATTAGCATTATAATAAATTTATAAAATGTGATTTTTTATAAATATATTGCTGCATTGCTAAAAATTCAATAACGAAATTTGATAGTCGATATTAACGTGAGCTTTGCTACAAATTCAATAAATAAAATGTAGATAAGTCGTTGATTTTCGCTCGGTGTTAATTAGCTTAGGGGCTAGAGCGTCATGACGCCTAAGTTGAAAGGTTCAGACTCGAATCCCGGCGGCACATTTTTAAGTTTCATCTTAAGTGCGAAGACTGGCACTATAACTAATTAAAAATTAAACGTGAGGATATCGACCGCTACACGCGATTTATCTACAAAGTATTCAAATTTTTAAATTTCGTCTTCTTATCACCCACTAGTCACTAGATATTATAAAACAAAGTCCTCCGCCGCGCCTGTCTGTCTGTCTGTTCGAGATAAACTCAAAACTACTGCACCGATTTTCATGCTTCCACCAATAAATAAAGTGGTTCTAGAGGAGGGTTTTAGTATATATACTTTGTCAAGTTTTTCTCGACACTGGCTAAAATATAATGACATGGAGGTGTCGAAAAAAATAAGCCGTCATCCACGTGGGCGAAGCCGCGGGAATCAGCTAGTCTAATATATAAAATCTCGTGTCACGGTGTTTGTAATGAACTCATGCGAAACGGTTCGACCGATTTTCGTGAATCATAGCGTGCATATCGGCCAGGGTGGAGAATCCAACAACATCTATTTTTTATTCCCTTAAATGTTAAGAGTGATCCACCCCTAATTTTTTTTTTGTATAATTTTTTTTATTTTTATGATACGGCATACAAAAATACATACAACCCTTATTTTTCAGTCCTCTACGCAGACGTAGTCGCGGGCAGCAGTTAGTAATATATAAAATTATAAAAATCAGCTAGTGATATATAAAAACAGTGATTATAAATATAATAGTGATTCATAAAAATAGCCTACTGATTGATTATCAGTCTGGGTTTCGTTCGGGACATAGCACCACCACTGCCTTACTTAAAATTACCGATGACATAAGATTGGGTATGGATGGTAAGAAAGTGACAGTGATGGTGCTTGTCGACTTCTCTAACGTTTTTAACACAGTTGATTACGATATCCTACTCTGTGTACTTGCTCAATTAATATTCGCTGCCACAGCGATGGATTGGTTCTCATCTTATCTCCGCGGGCGTCAGCAGTCCGTCTTTATGGGCCAAGAGTCTTCACAATGGGCTGATATTGAGTCTGGCGTACCACAAGGCGGTATACTCTCCCCCATATTATTCTCGGTCTTTATAAACTCGATCACAAAATATATTGATTGTCCATACCATCTGTATGCGGATGACTTGCAACTGTACCTACAGGCTGATATCGGTGACCTCCATAACGCGTTCATCAGACTAAATTCCAACTTGAGTAGTATTCACGATTGGTCAACGCAATATGGAATATCTGTTAACCCCAATAAGTGCCAAGCAATGCTCGTTGGAAGCTCTAGAATGCTGTCGAAAATTGATTTCCCTAGTCTGCCTGTTATCCAATACAATAACAAACCTATTCCGTTGTCAAATTCCTTAAAAAATCTTGGACTCTTTATGGACAGCACTATGAACTGGGGAGTACAAGTCACTGAAATTAGCCGTAAAGCCTTTGTAACCATGCGAACTCTATATCGTCTAAAGAATTTTCTCCCTTTCAAGATCAAACTCTTACTTGTTCAGTCACTTATCCTACCAATAATTGACTATGCAGATGTTTGTTACCCAGACTTGAACAAAGACCTTCTCAACAAGCTTGAACGCCTATCCAACAACTGTATCAGATACGTTTTCGGCATTCGAAAGTTTGATCACATTACTCCCTATCGCACTAGACTTAAATGGCTTACAGTTAAACAAAGACGGAATTCAAGAATTCTCTTCATGCTTTTTTCGATTTTAAATGACCCAGCTTTACCATCCTATCTTAAAGATAAATTTAAATACCTCTATCAAAACAACGAAAGAAACCTCCGTTCTTCATCTAACCTCAAAATTTCTATTCCTCCACATAATTCTAGTTTCTTCGGTGACTCTTTCGCCGTTCAGGCTGCATTACTTTGGAACTCCCTGCCTGAAGACATACGTAGTGCTCCTTGCAAGGCCTCATTCAAACGCAAAGTCCGCGAATTTTACTTAACATCTGAATGTTAAATTTCATCATTATTTCAATATCGTTTATATGTTTGTATTTATGTATATATGTTAGTATTTTTATATATAATATGTATTGTATATTTGTATATATATATATTTATTTTGTATATGTATGTAAGTATTTATATTTATTTAAGCCTGTGTATATTCCATACATTGTATATTTCATTCACATTAGTAATGTACTTGTTTTTTTTTTCTTCTTTTTATTGCACCTACCATAATTTATCTCCACGCCCCGGGTTGACTGGGAGAGAATGCCTAAAGGCATTAAGTTCGCCCTTTGTAATCCTTGTTTAAGGTAATTGCAATAAAGTATAAATAAATTAAGAAAAAAAACGTATTAACTTACCGCCATGCATAATGACGTCAGCATAAGAGCTTTCTTCCTTCCGAAATTGTCGACAATGAATCCGTAGATGAAAACGGCGGCCGTGCCAACTAAGTACGGGACGGACGCCATCCAGGATATAATGTCCGGATGGACTGGCTTTGCGGCCGGGGTCTCCTCTGACATTAGCTTCGGGCCCATCGGCGAGAGCCAGCCGATCGCCATGCCGTAGGAGAAGACCGGGAGGACCACTGCGAAGGACAATCAGCCTCAGTATACTTTAGGTACTATCTTTGTATTATTCACTGTGGTAGGGCCACGCAACACTCGCTGTTGCACGAATGGGCAGGTCTGTACCACGACCTCAAAGAAGACCGGCGTGAAGAAGAAGTGTTACACTTCTGCGTTTCGTCTTGTGAGTGAGGTAGCGGGGGTCCACTTTTTTAAAAGGTGACAACGCATCCGCTAAGGGCGTTGCAAATGTCCATTGGCGGCGGATATAACTTAAATCAGGTGAACCGCCAGCCCGTTTGTCAAATAAAAAAGGGGTTTTAACGTATCACGCGGTCTTCGACGTTGTGGACGAAGGTCATAAACAAGAGATCTGACAGTACCACTGTGAAGAAAAATCTGCTTGAGTTCGGACTTTTAAGGAGTTAAGATAGGGATGTTGACGTCCTCGGAACTTTGTATCTTTGAGCGCTGGCTACGGTTAAATTCTACGGTTAAACTAATTTAATAAGGAGACTTTGTTTAGTTCATTGACGTTGATAAGATGGAGTCCGTATGTATTTATTTAATTAATTGCGTTTTTCTATCATTGAACAACTAGTCCAGTGAGTACACTTTTAAAATGACTTATTATTTCATCTCAATTGACGGGCATAAAGCATAAGAGTCTCTGACCAATTAATTTCAATTTTACTTCAACATTGTAGGCTTGCCAATCGTTCATTATCAATTATGGAGTTCGTTGTAGGTTAAGAGATTGAGTTCTATGCCACGTGTTTGTAGAGACACTTCTCTTTAGATCTAGAATCAGAACTTTATAGAAAGATTAACATTTATATGAACATCTAACTTATCATGTTAAGGTCATTGTCTATTTTTATAACATACGATAATTTAAAGATCCATTTTTGAAACTTAAAAATAGTAATAAAACTTAACACGTTTGAAAGAAAAAAAAAGATAGGTACATTAGAATAGAATAGAAAAATCTTTATTAATCGTTCACAAACACCATTTACGAAAAAACGACAAAATATTAAGAGAACAAAAAATAAGTAATTTACATAAATGTATTAAATAATAATCATACAATACAATGTTGGTGTATATATAAAGTTCTACAAAATGCTTTTATATTTCCGTTTCTGACGACTTCCAGAAACTGTCCGAGTGTAAAGACGAAGCTTAATAAAAACCTCTGCGAATAAATTATTAAAAGTTTTTTATAATTCGATTCTTCGAGAGATATTAGAAACTCTCATATTTAATTAAAACGGTCAGCACACCGTCTCGTGACGCCATAAAGTGTAAACAATCAACGGCCTTCAGAATATAGCTTGTCATACTCTATTAAGAGCGCTTCATTCAAAATCATAATGTTTATGCTGCAGTATTTATGTTCAGCGGGCTGATACAATGGAGTTCAATTGGAAACGCGAACCAGAAACCAGAAGGCACTTTGTCCGCGCGCTTGAACCTATCTTCGACGCCGCGTCGTCTGGCGATCTTTCTAGACGAGAGGACGCGAATTTTGTTGCGCGTGTTTGTGCTTCAACGTTTATTGGTTTGGCTACAACATTTATTTTTATTTATATATTAATACGTAAAGCAAAAACTTTGTACCTCTTTTAACGGAAATTGCACGGACGGAGGAGTGTGTAATTTCCCACAATTATAGCTTATACAGAGAAGGAGTAAAGAGTGCTAATATTTTTAAATTATGCATAAAAATAGAATAAATCAAAAAAGAAAACATTACACACCCGAAAAAATATCGATATATCTTTATAAAATATGCAATATTGAAACCGTATCAAAAACCGATATTTTTTCAAATTTGAAACCGGCACTGAGTCCGTATATTCAAAAATTTAATACTTGACATACTTTTAGATAGAATATATATCGATAAATCGATATATTTCTTCACTTTCGGCGTCCCTATGAGTAAATTTCTCAACGGTTACTTTGATCTGATTTCAAACAATTTTATATAGGTATCACTGATTTTCCCGCCCAGTATCTACGGGCGGATGTAAGCTGATTTTGTTGTGTCGTGTAATTGTGGTGAATTTTAAAACTAAAAATAATGTAATATCTAAATAAAATATATCCCGTGTAAGTTATCTATATATTACAAAAATAGAATTCATTAGTGGATTATGCGATTACACACTATATCCGGAGAAGTAAACTAAATTGCGTAAAGTATATTAATAACTTTTCTTTTTTAACTAATATATAGTAGTAGTCGTAAACTGATTACAAGAAAAACTCATCCATTTTTCGCGAATAATTCAACGCAGTTCATGCTTAAATCAATATAATTAGTAGACATAAGACACACAATGAAGAGCAAACAGAGAACTCCCACAGAAAACTTTCGTTAAATTTCGCGTCCGTTAAACGTAACATGATAAAACACGTTAGACAAACATTAAGGTTAATTATTCTACGTTACACGATTTTTGGAAACCTTGCATTTATGAATGGGCCATTTTGATTTCCGATGTACCGACAATCTGATTTACGGTCTCATGTAGTCGCTACACGTTTCGCTGGCGGACCGTAAATCACCGAACAGGTTTTACCCATCGTTCGATTTACGGACGCAGCAACGAAACTTCTCGTCGAAGATTGTCATGCGTAGTAAAAAGAATATTAAAAACATAACGCGAAGAAATTAAAACCAGTGTGCGGTGCAAACATTTACGACTGTCGCCATGGTGATGACGAAAACCAGTTACGGCTTACGTGTGGCTGTGCAAAATATTCAGATTCGTTAATAATTTTGTTTTTGTACTTTTTCCTTTAGAATTTATAATTATAGATAGTGCTTTACATAAGTACATGGAAATAATATCCAAAAAATATTTAACCCGTTAATAGAAGGTCAATACCGCAATTTATTGCTCATTAATTACGATATGACGCAGACGGAGACAATACGCGTGTACCGATACCATTGAATAAATTAACAGTTGATCGTTTTGCGACTAAATCTTGTTTAACGCTTAGTTAATTAAATCTCTCTATTGCTATTTTTTATGTGAGACACTCTATTGCTATTTTTATTGAAATAGTGGCTAGGGCCGCCCATTGATATTTGCAGTACCCGTAGGGTTACAGACGCGTTCCCATCTTCTAGTGAAGTGGGCCCCGGCTACCTCACTCACCAAACAAAACGCAGAAGTATAACAATTTCACTTCACGCCGGTCTTCTGCGAGGTTGTGGTATTTACCCATATGGCACAAATGTTCTTAACACCAGTTAACTTAAGTGGACGGAGACAGTTAACGTTATATTTTTGTATGTGTTATTGTAATGTTACACTGGGCCTAAATTGAAACGGACAATTTGCATGAACAAAATAATTTCTGTGCGTAAAAAAAACGAAAGTCCACCACTTGCATTGAATCCTTCTATTGCATACGAAAGCCAACGTTACTACTAAATTTCTTAAAAAAATTTAAAGTAAATGTGTTGATCGTTTTTGCGAGTCGTCCCATACACATGGCCAGTAGGAGGCTCTACTCGAGAATCTTTCCCGTACAAGCGTGCGACAAGTCGATGGATGCAGGTGGCTCAGAATCGTGCTTCGTGGTAGTCTGTGTGGCCTATGTTCAGCAGTGAACTCAAGCAGGCTGAAATGATGGTGATGACGATGATGATTGAATTTTTTACTCGCTTGCCACCTTGACTTCTTTTTCTCCTCGTACTTAATTCCACATGCACAAATCACCGCAACATGACTTTTTCAGTTTACCGGAAAACTTTCCATTCTCCATCCAGTGGCGGTTTTGCCCTAAGCCCAACAGGCCCGGGCCTATGGCGGCCACATATTAGGGGCCAATCGTGACAAAAAATTCACTGTTGATAACAAAATATATGATGAGTGTAACGTTGCATCTAAATGCACCCTTCCATTTTTTAATAATATTTGTAAACAAACAAATTATATCCGTTCGCGTAGCCTGCACGCCATACCGACGGATCCCTAAATTCGGAAGCGTTCGGCGAAATTCGGTGACGCGAACGCTTCCCCGTTTGGGCCAATCGTACGAGACTACGTTTCGCACGTCAGACAGAGCGGTCACTGTGCTGTGTGCTACTGATAAGTAACGACCGACTATTTTTAAAAAAATTCAGAACGGTTAAATCCAATTTGATCCCGCTGGGGTGAGTTGTCATTACTATATTGTAACTGTGTATTACTATATTGTAACTGTTCTGCTTTTTATTTATTTTCTTGCTGGTGCTGCTTAGCGTAAGAGTGTAGCTAAAAGGGGACACTGAGCTCGAGTAGGGTTTGTCCAGCGCCGTTTTAAGCCGCCCTAATGCTTGCCTTCGTCTGGCTTCCAGGATCTCCCTACCCTAATTATTAGCCGAGCGCTGCCGCCCGGATTAATACGGCCGAGCTACCCGATCTACAGAGCCCGAGACCCCAGATACCGACGGCTTCGAAAAATCGGCGTAGAACAATTCCTGGACGTCTCACCCTACGTCAGGCCAGTGAACCACCACCACACTTAGCTGTTGTGTGCGGCAGTATGACAAATAAAGCTATAAAAGAAATAACACCGAATCCTTGAACCCACCTACCCTACCTTTAGAATTTAGCCGATAGGCTACAGTGGCGCCCAACGTGGGGCGATAGGCTACATGAGCGCTGAGAAAGGAGCGACTGGAACTTACTACATGGGCTGGGGCCTAGGGCGGCCAAGACTACAAATCCACCACTGTCTCCATCAACTAGTAACGAAATAAAATTTGGTAAATAGAGTAATATACATAACTCTATCATAATCATTTTATTTTTCACGGGGACTGCTATGGGATAAGAAGGAGTAACTTATTGTCTTTTTAATATAACTTGTAATAAATGTTGATTCTTTTACATAATTATTAAATTTAATACCAATAGCGGACTACATGTATGCATCGATATTGAGGTCTGATTGTGCTTTAAAATGTACTCGGAAAGGTCTAAAAAAACAAAAACTTGATTATACATTTTAAATCCTCTTTTTTATGCTTATAATATAATCATGGTATTCGCGTGACCTACAGGTCGGACACTTACTGAGCTGTTTGTTCCCAATACAAAGAGGGTTCAAGACGACCGACAAATCTTTGCTAATAACATTAGAAATATCGTGGTAATATATGTGTAACCGTGTCCTCTACAGCTCTACTGCAGATGATGACGTATAGCATTATTGATAGTTTCCCGTACAACCATATCCAATAAAAGGTTTCCCTAGTAGGTAAGGTAGTTTCAAATCTATTTAGTCGGATAAAATTTTTCATAAATCGTGCGCTGATTCATATCCTATTTCTTTACAATCATCGCGCAATCGTTATCCATTAATACACCAGGTGAACGAGTTCAATTATCAGTATTTTTGACTCGTGACAAACTAACGAGCTTTAAAATTACACCAGCTCCAATCATCATCATTAGACACAAATGTTAAATAAATCGATAGCGTCGTTATGAGTCTACTTTTTAAGTAAATTGTAATAAGCGAGCCGATTAGGTATAACCCTCAAGCTTTGGGTCATTTCTATTCTAGGAGAGTTTTGATAATTTACAAATTTCCTGGTCGCCTTTACGCTTCTTAGCCTAAAATGTTTATATTACTCTATGTCTCGAAGATCAAGTTTTTTTATGGAAGACTAGCTGTTAACCGCAGCTTCGCCCGCGCGGCCAAAAGGAATTATTAACACTGAGTTTTTTATTATACAACAGAATATCTCGCATGATGGCTGAATTTTTTCCTACATTTTGGATAATTCACACAATATCTTTATAAATTATAGCCTATCTGATGTATAAGCTATATTATAGTAAAGTTTCATTAAAATCTATTCAGTAGTTTTTGCGTGAAAGAGTAACAAACATCCATCCCAACATACAAACTTTCGGCTTTATAATATTAAGTAAGGATGTTGGCTATTGAGAATCCTCCGGTACCTCTCTCAAAGGAAGAAATCCAAAAGTATAGTTAATACTTTAGTATTAATTATATATTTTATACTTTTGTATTTTGTCAGTTTTCCGTGAGATTGTAGAAGCTAGCAATTTTGTCGAACTGCACAAGCAAAGTAACTTATTATCTATTTAAATTTTTTAAGTTAAAGGGTAAACTGATCGTAATTTAAAAGGTCTTGCAAAATAGCTGGCGTTAATGTACGTATACACAGATAGTGTTTGCAATAGAAATATGTCAGGGCACATTAGGTGAACCGCCTTCTAGCTTGACAACTTTCATATTTAAAAAAATTGCAGAAAAGAAATAAGTGTCAGAAATATAACTGTTATTACATCTATCCCACGACCGTGGAGGCTGTAAGGTGTTAAAAATTAATTAAACAGATTGAAAATTAATTAAACAGGGTCAATCCTTAAAAAAGTTTTATTTTACAATGAATCTTATCTTTTATGTATTATGTAATGCGCAGAAAACGAAACGCCGTTACCGTTTTGAATAAAAGTTAAAATACACTTAAAAATTTCTACTCGTGCAGTTTCGAATATATATCTAATAAATACACAACACTAGTTTCCGATCTAGTCACGTATCACGTTTTAAACAACTTTCATATAAGTTTAAGACGATTTCGGTAGCGAAATGTAGCAGTCGACTGTGTCTTCTGCGGAGAAAGGCCTGATGATCTAGAAAATCTAGAAAGAATTTAAAAAAAGCCATTAAATATACATGTAATCAATCCGCAATTTCATACTATTATCGCATACCTAACACTAACGACCGAACGGTGCGCTAAAGTGTTCAAATCACTCTAAGCGACCGCTGGAATGTTTAATGCATGATACATTACGCGTTTGTAATGGACGATACGTTTGCTTCTTAGTCTGTAATCAACGATGCAGATAGTTGTGCCGCGCATTTTTCTCGGAAACCCGGCGCCATTCAAAACCTACTGAGTTTATTCCAATCCTATTTTTACGAATAATAAGCAATTAACTCCGGTGAGTGTTGGTTACACTGTTTTTACAATATTTTCAGTTTTTATTGACGACCCAATTGGTAGATAACCGATCTTGTGCCAGAGGGTGTGTTCTATATATCTTTCTTCTATATATGCCTTTATGTATACAAATATTTCTTTTGAACCTTTGTTTTAAAGATTCACCAGATTCACAGGGTTTTTTCTAGGCTCTTAGGTGATAGAAACAGTAGCCTGAAATGAGCAAGCATACCATACTCCAATAGAAACTGCTGCACCTCAGTAAAAGTAAATTTGTTATTAAAAAAACAATCCACCTTCAAATATCTTACTATAATTCATACGTATACAGCTTCACGACATAGTATAAAGCAAAGTCGCTCAATGTCTGTCTGTCCCTATGTATGCTTAGAACTTTAAAACTACGCAACGGATCTTGATGCGGTTTTTTTTTTTACTAGATAAAGTGATTCAAAAGGAAGGTTTACATATATAATACATTGCACCCGTGCGAAGCCGGGGCGGACGCTAGTATTTCACTAGTTAGTTTAATTATTCTATCGAATACAGGCAAATACCTCATTTTAGTTCTAGTATTTAACTTTTTATCACGTCGAAAAGCATTTTGAACAAATCTTACTTCGAATAATGAAAATTCTTATATTTTATTTTGAGAAGTTCATCGATTTATCTCCGAATTCCAAGGTCTGTTACTAATAAATTGATATTGGCCCATATGAGAGCTAAACAGAACCCAATGCAAAAAGAATTTTAAAATCGATTCATAAATAACAGAGGTTCTGAGGTAATAAACAAAAAAAACACACACACACACAAGAGGGGAGGGATATATGTTATATTTGGAATGGATACATTTACTTTTAAAGGCTTAATACTTATTCTTTGGAAATTTTACAAGATTTATTGTGGGGTAATTTCTGATTTATTTAGGTCTCGGCGAAATGCATCGGTCCGAGAAATCGGTCCAATGTCTCGGTTTCATTTATATTTAACGGGTTTTGCTGGTACGCGGTATGGATCTTCAGTATATTTAGGTACAGTTTGATATTTTATAATAGGCATTCAAATTATTTATTTATTTTATCTTTATTGCACTAAAACTTGTATAAACGCGAGCGTGATGCTATATTGGATAATTACTTTCACTGTAATCTATGCTATATCTATATTCGTGTACATCAGTAATATATTCCATTTTAAATTGGAAACGGTCTAGATTGCGATAGACACTGCTATTTTGTTTCGCAGAACTTTTTTCAACCCAAAGGTGCTCGTAACGATAAACGTTAAATTTACGGGAACGTTTTGGTCCAAAATGACTACACAACGATTTTTGATACAATCAAAAATTTTATAATTGCAAGCCACTGCTGGTCGAATCCTCGACTATAGCTCAAAATCCGATGAGCTAGCCAAGAGACAGATCATTATCGACTTAGAAATAGTTATCGCTATATTTATAGTTTTAATACAATCTATAAACGGTGTTTGTATAACCTAAAAACGGTAAGTTTTAGTACGCATACACGTGTAGTACCTTTAATTGCTTTAAACAAAAAAAACCGGTATCTTTACACCCACCGACTGTGGGGTTCTTTTGTGACTAAAACCGTTAACACAGATATCTGCTTAAGTAAGTCAAGCAGATTCTTTTGGTGTCGCGTCTTCGTACACTGATTTTTTTTGTAATTAAAATTCGTTTCAGTTAAAAAAAACCGTTTAAGAACAGAATAAATACAGTTATGTACTGTACTGTATTTACTTTTACGCGAAAATTGTTTGTATGCTTTCTTATATACATGTACCTATATGTTCGTTGATTATTATAAATCATTGAAATATTTAAAATCATTGAATCGAAAATTATCATTACATTGTTAGATACACATAGAGATCAATTTAATGTAGGCACTTGTCAAAAATAATAGTTTTAGCAAATTAAAAAAGAATGACCCATTTAAAGTGTTTATTTTTTACCGACAACGAATTATCATTATTTCTCTAGATTTCTGATTCTTATTTTTATAAATGTAGTAAATCTTTCAAATACACTTCCTATGCCGTTAGATGAAAGCAACTATTACAAGTCAGTATAAGATTTGTCAAAGTTCAAATCAGAAAAATACATTCGTGTAAAATAAATAATGTATCATTCAGCCTCGTAGTCCTATACTAGCCGAAAAGAGTTTTTTCTTAGCATAGACAAATTGTATTACCATAAATAGATATTTCCTTTATTAGATAGAAAGTATAACGATAAACATACATGATTTGCTATTGTTAATTATATTTATAAATTTATTCCGATAATACAGTGCGGTAATGATGAAATTTTATGAACGTTGTGATTACATTTAAATTATTATTTAATGTTATACAATTTTTTATTAAAAACAAAAACTATTTATGATATTGACAAATAGGTACCATTAATTTAACTTAATTATTCATATATACTATAGCAAATAAATTATATGATCATATGCAAAAGACAATGAAAAATTTAAAAGAACCTATTCTTTTTACCGAAACATGAAACACGTAACGTTTAAATAAATATCACCTATATGTACGACCTCTATGTCTATGATTTTACTACCTCTGTAAACTATAAGCTAGACTTATATATGAGTTAAAAAATATAAATTTATATACCTTTGTAGGGGCTAAAATGTAGATACTACTTTGAGACATTAAAAAAATAAAGTAATCAAAAAACTCAGTTTGATTTGCGACGTAGCAAACTGTTAACAATTTATATGAAACATTATTCTTTTAATGCCAGCATCTAAATTTGAACCGCTCTGCTCATGAAGAATGCAATAATCTCATGAAATCTGACTGTAAATTGTTAATAAGTGCATATTTAGTGATACGCATGAATAGATAAAAAAATTGTTAAAATTTAGAAAATTATACTCACTCAGGAAAACCATCAGGATTTGATTAACTTTGCTCCCCTCCGAGCAATATTTTTTCACTGTGTACTTCAGCATTTTAAAAATATGTATTATATTAAATCACAACAAAAAAGGAACAATTTAAAGAATATATTTGCGAATGTGTTTTCACACTGGTTGAATTAAAAAATAATCGAAACCATAGTTTCCCAATTTATTTTCTCTTACAACCGTTTGCGCTTAAAATGGCGCGGAAGCGCGCGCTTACGGCCGTTTGGTAATTTCGAATGAATAAGTTCGATTGTGGTCGCTACGCGGGATGTTTATATGCTCGTCGCGAGAGCGTTTAAGCGATCGTTGCTTGTTAATAATTAAGGGTACGTCTCTGCACGTAGACAAATATATTTATTTATTTATTATATATGAAATAATCGACTTACTCTACTTCTGGTGTCTAATACACCGTCAATATTACTCCCATCACTTAATTTCAATTAATTATTAACTGCAAAAATTAACAATAAACTGAAAAATTTTGAGGTCCAATATGTAGAATTTTAGCAATGTAGATTATATAAAAGATATATAATTTTTCTTAAGAATTATTAGTTTAAAACGAGCAAATCCTTAATTTAAAAACTATGCCAGTTTTTCATTTGAATGTTGGTAAAATCGTCGTATGCCTTTAAAAAGTTTCGATCGTATTTAACGTCGGGAATTAAAAATAGGTTCCGAGATGTTTTTGGAATTGATTTCTTATGTCAGACAAAAGTAAAATGCGATGCACCTTATGAATACAATTTTATTTTCGTGGTTTTGCACCAACAATGTGGTATCAATTGTCGCCAGCAGCCTTTGCTATTAGCAGCAGCCGGAGTAAGGAATCTTCAAGAACTTCCTTCTTTTATCGTTACTCTGGCGTTGAGCAGTGGTAATCATTTACCATCAGGAGAGCCGCCTATTCATGGGCCGCCTTTCCAATAACAAGAAAAAATTAATTAAACCCGACGAGCCATATTAAAGGATATTAATTTTTGTAATGCTATTTCTTATTTGTATGCCTTGCAATTCAAGTGATACATTAAAAATTTGAGAAAAGAAACTCGGCGAAAAGTTTTGCCGCTACGAGTATTTAAACCTGCGTTCTACCGGACACGCCTGACGTTCTAGCCACTGAGTCAAACGGATAAGGATCCTCACACCGACGAAAATATTAACGTGTTTTATCTACTTTCGCCCGCTTTCTGAAACACTAATCATCGTAGATGTCAACTAATCAGCTGTCAAATGGATTTCAAATTACAATCTAGGTACCAAAAGGATGGTTAAACTCTCATGACCAGAATGATCTTCTTTATAATCAGAATGATCAATTCAAAGAGTTTAAACATCCTTTTGGCAACTAAAATGAAATTTGAAATTCATTTGACAGCTGATTAGTTGACATATACGTTGATCAGTGTTTCAGAAACCGGGCGTGATCGTACAAGTTAACAACAATCCGCTGTCAAATGGCTTTTCAAATTTCATTAGAGTTGCTAAAAGGATGGCTAAACTCAAAATCAAATTATTTAAGATCATTCTGATCAATTCAAGGAGTTTAAATATCATTTTGACATCTCATTAGCTAACTTATACGATGTTCAGTGTTTCAGAAAGCAGGCGTTTTTTTTTTTAATTTATTTTATTTTTTATAATTTTAAGCAACGTTTCATCTAAAAAATACAATGCAATTATTGAAAACTCGAGATAACGCCTTTGCTATTAAAATGTTTTAAGGATATTTTTTATCTACACTTAAGATAACGAATAATTTTAAGTCGACGCAGCCTTTTAATAAATGTAACAGTAGATTTTTCCGCGGTCGCATTGCCTTATAGCCTTGTAAATACACCCAAATTGATGATCGAATCCCATCCGTCCCTCGTTCCGCCAATAAGTAAATGAGCTTTAGATTATTCGTATTGTAACGCCACAGGAGCCATGTTTCTGCGCCCATCTCTTTAGCCATTCATTACGTGCCTTCATTAATATGACGTGTACTTTCTTTCATTTAATTCCCTCGAATAGCACATCGCCAACTGTCTTTTGAGTCACGATCCGATAATAAATGACTGTTTTAAATATATTATTTAGGAATGTAAAAGTTTCGCTTGTGCCCCTGAGTGTTAAGTGAGCCTAAGGAAGGGACCATAAGAAAAACAAAACACATGGAAGATAGAAATGTGAGCACGTAATATAATAATCAATATCTAGAATCTCTTGTAAGGCCACGCAGCAGCCTCGGCTGTTGCACGAATGGGCAGGCTCGTCCGGGTAAGTACCACAACCTCATAGAAGACCGGCGTAAAGTGGAAAGAACTTTCGCGTTTCGTCTGGTGAGTGAGGTGGCCGGAGCCCAATTTTCAAAAGGTTGTCAACGCATCTGCAACCCTCGGGTGTAGCAGATGTCCATAGGCGGTTGTATTCACTTAATATCAGGTGAATCGTCTGCTCGCTTGGCAACTTTTCACATAAAAAAAACAGACAGATTTCTTCTTGACTTTATTACGACCATCCATTGCAGGTAGCTTGACTTTTTTTAACTACTGAGGGAGAAATTGTCACCTACTAACCATCGCTGTGTGGCTTAAGTGTATACAACTTGTATAGCAAGCCTGTACAAGAGATTTTGTTGAAGGGGTTTTGCGCCATTGAAGAAACGCGCACCCGTACTTGCTTTTGTGTTGCTTGAGATCTTTCAGTATGTCCTTTATCAAGCGAAATATATGTTCGTGACAGGACTTATTCGGTCGAAGCCGAATTGTTTAAGGATCTATTTACAATTTTTAAATCTAACCTTATTGGTCGTGAAAATGAAAAATTGTAAATAGTTTTGCGGTCGTCATGAACAGTGATTAAAAAATGGGATGACTTTAAGTTATGTTTATATGTCGATTTTTTTTAAGAGAAAAAATACAAAAATTTTCTAATTCTGTCAGTAGGTAAACGTAACAATCATATTAACTAAATCAAGAAAAAAAAATACAAAATATTAAGTACAAACCTATACAGAATACGGACATATTGAGAAAGGTCTAAAAGGCTAAATAGTTTATAATAATAGTTTATTATAATAATTTAATTGTTCAGACCCCATTCATCTCTCTTATTACCATAGATCGTAATAATTATACATCTATCTTTTGAGAAAGTTTCTTATCTCAAAAGATAGATGTACATATGTTTAAAAAATGAATATATTTATATGTTTATTAAGACGTTTCTTCACATATACCTACTGATTGCACTTCTTTATAGAAGTAGTAGGTGATGATTTAATTATTGAATATATAAAACTATAAAATCGTAACAATTTATGATATTCATTCAAAAAATGTTGAATGGAAAAAATGTCTCTATTTCTGGGATTTCCGTACGTATTCGTTTGACAATTAAATGAAGATTTTTCAAACATTTTTGGTCGTTGTTTTGAAAAACTTGATTATAATATATGTAAATTAAACGGGATACCAACTGAAGGCGTCACATTGTTGAACAAAATAATCCGGTTTTTGTTCTACACTGACGTCTCTAGGGTTATGTACCTAGAATCGGTATAATTAAACGATAATTTTGTAGTCCGTTCACCGCATTCACCATTCTCGCTTTAAAACTAGTTGTTGCATCGTATTCTAAAACTAGAGCACTAATAGCTAAGTTTTCAGATACTCGGTTTTAATTTGATATACTTGAGCAACCTGAGTTCAAATCACGGTGCCGACACTAATGAAATCGTTAATTGTAAGTGCTGATTTATCACGTGCATTACATCAATTTAAATTAACATAATCACGAAGTAGCTTGTTGTTGACGTCACTCCGTCTAGACTCTACTGCAGGTCTACTAGAAACGACCCTCTACTACAGGGAGTGACTACCTGTACAAATGTGCGGGAAGTTGATGATGTTGAATTGACATTAAAAGATTACATTGCTGTATACATCTGGTATTTGTCTAAGGGCAACTATTATACAAATCTCCCTTCCTAGTTTTCATGGAACAAAAATGATGTCTGATTTATATACTATGGTTCGCTGAATGTCGTTGTGCGCATTGGCGCCTTTTATCTTAGGGTACTTCGGTTAGGGTCGGATGATGTTAGTGGCGTCTGATATAAATAGGGCAAATATCTGTATAGTATTGTAGACTATCAAGAATTAGAGTCACCACACATTTCCTTTTGAAAAACTCGTATTTTTAGTGTTGCAACTGGTGATTGGGGGTGTAGCTCTCTTTGTTAAGGTTATGTTTTCTTAAGGTCAGTAGTGCATCTGAGCCATTGTTAGAAGATTTCGTATTAGTGAATATTGTTATTAATGTTCCAAATAAATAAAAATCTATTGGAAAAAAAATATGACTATGGGCCGCTTATTTCTCTCTGTTGAGAATTAGCAAAACAATATATTATCTTATTATTATTCATTGGCATTCTGGTGGACAAAGACCTCCTTTGTACAGAGAATAAACGCATAGTCCACCACTTGGCCCAAATGCGGATTGGCGGACTATATATCAATCAATAATCCATATCAGTATATTGCCGTCAACTGCTGAACGAAAGGCTTCCCCCAAGTGCACCAACTATCCCAGTCCTGGGCCATCCGTTGCCCGAAACCTTTCTTAAATTGTCAGTCCATCGTGCTGCAGGCCATCCCACAATACATGATATCCTTAGCCGTGGTGTCCACTCTAACACGTGTCGGCTCCAGGGAACATCAGTACTTCTGAAGATATGGCCTGCCCACTTCCACTTCAGCGTGCTAATTCTGCGCGCAATGTCATATACTTTTATTATATTATTATTATTATTATTTTGCTTATGCAGGTTTCCTCGCGATGTTTTCTTTCACCGCTGATCAGATGATAAGGCAATTAAAATTAAAAATTTAATTGGTTCCGGCACGCGGGATCGAACTGTGTTGAGTGTGCTCCGGTTGTATAATTTAGTTTATAATATTTTTTAAGAATTCTATAAAACTATTGGTTACTGCATCATTTGAAGCTTTATAAGGGGAGATGACAACTTTAGATTTATATAAATATTATTTATGTATATATATTTCGTTATATTACGAGTTTGAGAAAAAATATTTACGCACAATAATCACGGATAAAACGATCGTACGTTGTACGATCTTGCTTTGCTTGAAATAGGAGCTGATTTATGAATGAAATTGGATTACGAAAATTTGATTAATGATTTCGCTGCGCTTATTTTTCTGAGTTATGGAGGTAGAGACAAGACGGGGCAAACTTTCTGAGTCATGATGGGGCTCAACATCATCATCTATCCTCTTTCAACAGATTTATGATATTATGCTTGGCGTGATATTGCAACCACTTTTTGTTTTACAGGTAACAGTGGTATTACCATACCATGTACACAATGGTACAAAATTATAAAAAAAAAGACGAAGAGGGGAGAGTGGTCTAAAGAAGGTCTAAATAAAGCAGAAGAAGATGTATTGGCAATAAATCAGAACTTCGAAAAGCAGGTCCAGCTTATAGTGTTCCGCAAAACACTTTAGAGCATTATCCCAATAAAGTAGAACAAGGTGATGAAGTAACATTCCGCGAGCCTGTAGGGGTATAAGAAAACTATTTAGCATTGAAGAAAAGGCAGAAATAATAAAAAATATAACTTTAACAATGAAAAAATGGCAGGTAACGCCTGGCTCACACGTCTGGTTTCTTAGATCACCAGCGAAATATATCTATTCATAAACCAGAAGCTACGTCCGCAGCTCCTGCAATAGGATTCAATAGAGTTGCTGTTGGTAAGTTTTACCACTTACTCGGCGACATCTACGACCAACATAAATAACAAGTTTTACCACTTTACTCTACAACCAACATAAATAACAACGGACAAGATATTTAGCTGCGATGATACTGGTATGTCTGTTGTTTCGAAAACTTAAAGCAAAATAGTAGCTGTGAAGGGAAGAAAACAAGTGGCGTCATTGCCATCAGCAGAACGAGGTCAGAATGTGATAGTGGAAAATTGAAAAAGACCTGCGAAACTAGCTGTTGATGATACCACAACTAAGAAGGGTTAAGGTAAAGGCAAAAGAAACAAGAGGGTAACAGGAAAAGAATCTCAAGAAGATACAATTTGTTTATACTGCAACGATGAAAAGAATTCTTATCTAAATCGTCGGAAAACTGGGTAGGGTAATTGGGAGGCCAGTAGTGTGGTCGATGGGCCCACACAGCTTGTGCTGGAGTCGATGACGAAGATATGGAGGACTACTTGATATATATTTTGTGTGAAGGAAATTATTCCCCACCCTCTGTCTTCCGTTTTACCTCTTATGTGGGGTAAGATGGTGCATTTTTGATAATTATAATTTTCTAATTTTTTTATGATTAGTTACGAAGTCCAAAGCTGTGGGGAATAAAAGATAATAAGTAATTAATGCTTGATTAATGAATAACACTGACATTATTTTAAATACCCTCTTTTTTACTACTTTACCTTAGCATCCCCGTCTTACCCGCATTTCCTCTATGTCGAAAATCTTAAATCTACATATTGCTGTAAAAAATTATATGAAGAACTTCTGGGAGTTGGTCAATTTTTCCTAAAGTGGATACTATACCAAGAAAGTTTCATAAACACTGCTTTACAGCATACAAACAATTTCAAATATCTTCGTTTCTTCTGGTGAGGTAACCGGAGCCCAATTTTCAAAAAGTTGTCAACGCATCTGCAACCCTCGGGTGTAGCGGATGTCCATGGGCGGCGGTATTCACTTAACATCAGGTGAACCGTCTGCTCGCTTGACAACTTTTCACATAAAATGAAAATGAAATGTTATTAATATCAGTTATTTATTGTTATTATCACATATTGCGCCGACCCCACCTAGGTGGTTTAAAGGCAAGAGAAAAAAGAAGTTGCAATAATATATTATATAAGGTAATATACATAAAGAATCAATATTATATAAAGAAAATACCTTAAAACAAAGTAAACAAAACGACAAGAAATGTACAAAGGATTACAAAAATATTTATCTTAAAGCTTCTGATAACAACTACGTATTTACGTAACCGCGTAAACTCGATTCCCAATAATCCTATAGGCAAATTTTCAGGCACGTTTCAATCAGTTTTTGATCGTAGAAACAATTTCTCGCAACTTTTTCACCACGATTTCAGATTTGTAATGTATTTCCAATTCCAGGGCCATTTCCAAATTCACTGTATACTTTGCCCACGTTAACTAACTTTAGATAATAACGATAAAATAAATTATCTGGTAATAAACCAGAGAACAAGATAAAGGCATGGTACCATATTTCTTAACATACATTTACACCACATTTTTAGGGTTCCATACCCAAAGGGTAAACAGTTGAATTTTCACAGATGATGTATTTCTGTGGCCACTATAACAACAAAAAAAAAAAGTAAAAGTAAAGTAACAGCCTATACACGTCCCACTGCTGGGCAAAGGCCTCCTCTATACAGAGGGTATCAGGGCATAGTCCATCACGCGGCCCCACTGCGGATTGGCGGACTTCACATATCTTCGAAATATATTTTTTTTTGGTATTATTTCGAAAATATGCAGGTTTCCTCACGACGTTTTCCTTCACCGCGGAGCACGTGATAAGTCAGCACTTAAAGTTAAAAACTTCATTGGTGCCGGCACCGGGGATCGAACTCAGGTTGCTCGAGTATATTGAATTAAAGGCGAGCGCCCGGACACTGAGCTATCACAACAAATACTAAAAAACGAAAAAAAAATTTAAGTGGGACTCCCATACAATAGACATGATGTACGGAACCCATCGTGCGAGAGTCCGACTCGCACTTATCCAGTTTTACTATAAGCCATGCAGCCTCGATGCGGGGTAGACAGGAGAAAATTATTTTTATGTGAAAATTTGGCAAGCGAGCCCTCTTCCACTGAACGCCGATCTTCTTTGAGCTTTGGTACTTCGCTGGAGGAGTCCCATTCGTGCAACAGATTTCGTCATACGTGAATTGCAGACTAAGTCACTACATTTTTATGTCATGAAGTAATCAAACCATCTGAGGAATTGCATATAATACACTAGCAGCATGGCTTGAATAGGTTTTTTTTGTCCGTTCTTTTTTCAAAAATAAATAATGATCAACAATAGCATTGTATAAAATTAGGACATTTTTATAAGCCGTGTTAGCTCATTCGTCATGCAGTGAGGGCGCTCGCTTTAAATTCAATATAAATTGTCAATTTTAAGTGCTGACTTATCACGTGCTCAGCGGTGGAGGAAAACATCGTGTGAAACCTTGATTTTTTTCGAAATAATAAAAAAAAATATTTCGAAGTCCGCCTATCCGCCGTGGGGCCGCGTGCTTGCCCTAATACCCTCTGTGTAGAGGAGGCCTTTTCCCAGCTGTGGGAAATATATAGGTTTTTTTACTTTACTTTTTACGTTAGAATATATGAATACTTTTATTTAAAATAGGTCCATACAACGTAGACATTACATCGATTAATGATATGTACATAGTTATCGTTTTAATAAAAATTAAACATTCTAATATTAACTTACAAAAGCCCACTCCGAGCTTGCCTTAACCTTGTACACGTGTTGTGTGTTTTTTTACGAAACATAGTTGCTAACTTTTTATTACTATTCTGTTTTTAATCAAAGGGCAATCCCATATTTCTAACAATCAACAATTTGCAAAACAAAAAACCAGTAATCCCATAGTAAACATAACACTAAAATCGAGTTCAAAAAATAATAACCGGCTCTGCCATTTATCCTCATTAAAATGTAATCGTATATTCCAATATTAGTTAAGTTTCGTCATATCATAGGAGACAAAAACAAGAATACGCTAATCATGCCCTTTGGAGTTTGTGTTGCCATAAGGAAGTAAATATGTTATTTACTAAAGATGTCGTAATATGTTAAAATAAATTCTAGTTGCGTATAATAAAACCGTTATTTTATTAATACGTTGCATAATATTTTATATTTTTTTTCTTGATTTAGTTAATATGATTGTTACGTTTACCTACTGACAAAATTAGAAAATTTTTGTATTTGTTAATTTAAAAAAATCGACATATAAACATAACTTAAAGTCATCCCATTTTTTAATCACTGTTCATGACGACCGCAAAACTATTTACAATTTTTCATTTTCACGACCAATAAGGAAAGATTGTAAAATTGTAAATAGATCCTTAAACAGTTCGGCTTCGACCGAATAAGTCTTGTCACGAACATATATTTCGCTTGATAAAGGACATACTGAAAGATCTCAAGCAACACAAAAGCAAGTACGGGTGCGCGCTTCTTCAATGGCGCAAAACCCCTTCAAAAAAATCTCTTGTACAGGCTTGCTATACAAGTTGTATACACTTAAGCCAGACAGCGATGGTGCCAAGCGAGCAGACAGTTCACCTGATGTTAAATGAATACTGCCGCCTATGGACATCTGCTACACCCGAGGGTTGCAGATGCGTTGACAACCTTTTGAAAATTGGGCTCCAGCCACCTCACCCACCAAACGACACGCGAAAGTATTGTACTTCCAATTTACGTAAGTCTTCTGTGAGGTCGTGCTACTGACCCGGACGAGACTGCCCATTCCTGCAACAGCCGAAGCTACCATGGCCCTACCACCATGAAAAGCCCGCTGTTCCACAAGCTCAGCGTTTGATGATGCTTGCATAGTCTACGGACTATAAACTAGTGCTTATGTCCGTATGTTTACTTTCTTTATTTTATCGAATGATGTACTGACATCATTCGATAAAGATTACCGGTTTCATTTTATTGTTCTTTCATGTTTTAAATTGCATCTATTACAAGCTACATTTGTTGGTTTCTCTATTACGTCATGTTGAAGTTCAGTTTCAGGAGTTTTTATCTCCATTAATTTATTTAGGCCTCTTTTGTGTGTGACAGAAAGAAGTAAAACAAATCATAAGTCACTATGACAACTGTTTATTGTCGTCTTCATCACAATTATGCGTCGGTGAAATTCTAAATTGCAGCATGACCTGTTGGCTAATCGTGTACACTTGTCACTTATTGCTGGGGCTGCTAGTTCAAGGTCTAGATGTCCAGGGCCAGCCGCAGAGGGGCCACAAGATCTGCAGCTCTTACGGCTACCAGCTCGTCGAGGGGATTTTCGGCAAGGAGAACTACTGGCTCTGCTTAAAGCTTAAGTCTATAGGTATGCTTTTCAATAATTGAAATTCAATTAATGTTTGTGTATCTATTATTTTATCCTATAAATAAAATTAAGACTTTTTTTTTATTCAAAAACCATCAGTGACTATATTTCAATGCTTCTTTTCTATATTGTACTTCTTCGGTGAATGAGGGTTTGGCGTAAATTTGGAATGCATTTTTTTTGTCGAGAAGAAAAAGCTTTGTGGCTCTCGTTTCCTTTCATGTTTGTTCAGTTTACTTCTTCCTTTTATCCTCCACTTCAGACGTAGAATGTACCTAGTAACCCAATTTTGTACTCATTAAAGTAAATTTCATGTAAAAAGTTTTTTTGTGGGAAAAGTTTATAAGCGAACTGGCGGTTCGCCTTATGTTAAGTGAGTACCGCCATCTAAGGAAACCTACAATACCTGAGGGTTTGCAAGAGAGTGGGCGGTTACCTCACTCACCAGACGAAACGCGACTTAATAACAAAATAGTATGGAAGAGTTATTTTCATTTCTTGCAACAAAAAAATAGTTAAAAATCATCTGTAGGAAATATAAACTAGGTATGGTGCTTCCAGGTTCCTCGCCTCTAACGACTCAGCAGACCGCTCTACTCGTTGACCCCGAGCCTGAAGATACAAGTCAAGGGGTTTACACGACAATTGCGGATATTACAATGGCCTACGGTTTCCCACTAGAAGACCCCGGAGCGGGATCAGCTGAGGGATACATTGGAGACGATCATCAGTTTTACGGAGTATTACATTTAGGTAAAGCGCAATTGAAATTTTGCAGAGATTTGTGTTTAAAGCTGACGATTCACCTGCACTAATCCGTAATCATACTAATTGTACAAGTGATCACCTCACCAACTGCTATTGCGTTCCTTGATGTGAATTCAATCCTAACCTCATGAAGAGCTTACTCCTACCTCAAAAGGTTTTTATGCTATAACATACCATGATAATATTTGATCTTGCTTCTAGCCATTTGTCTACATCCATTACAGTATTTTTGTTAACATTCTGTATTAAATTGTCTTCTTATACAAATTGATCTAATTGTATTAAGAAATACTTTAAGAAGTCTAAAATCCATCGTTAATAACCTACGACAATCCACTGTTAGGTTTAAGCCTGACCAAGGTACGACAAAGTAGTTTAAAATTCATGATCAAATAACGATAATTAAACGATTCGAATTACTCTTATTAAAAGAAGTATTGACGCTCTACCTCTTGGTATAAGAGATTACAGAAGATTGAACTAGTACATTTTAAATATTTGTATTTAATTATTGAATACACCGAGGGCAATTCTGTTATATGTTGGCAACCGACATCCATCACACGAGACTTTTAGAAGTCCATGGGCGATTGTAGTTGCTTAACAACGGATAAACCGTGTGCAAGCCACTTTCTCCCATAAAAAAATCTTATATTTCACATTCAGGCAACCGCACGCTTCACGCCGACCCTTACGGCAGAGATGACCCACAAAAGTCCTTCGGAGCCTTTGAGAACGACAACATGGTAGCCCCGCTGCGCCCTCGCCGCGATCATACCCAGGTGATCAGGTGAAGATGTTCAATTGCTTCAATTCAAATCGACCGACATAAGTTCATCGCACGAGTCAGTGGGTCATAAATGACGTTAAATTCTGTTTGTTTCGCAACCGTAGATAATAATAAGAAGGTTTTTTTTTATTCCTAACGGAACAGCGCTTGACTGCCATCCCACCCGATTATAACATACTGGGTGGTAGGTTGCCTTGAATGCTATAAGCCTACGTTATAATCGGACGGAAAGACGGACGCTGGCAGGTTGTGTTTTGTTTCTCCACACGATACTTGACGTGGTGATTTAAAACAGTAATTGTTTCAGCTACAGCATGCAATTTCTACAAGTGATTGTGCAAAACTGGTCTCTGTTAATGATACACACTTACTACCGATAAGTCCTCACCACACAGAACCGAATTTTGAAATAGATAAAAAAAGCTATAAGTAATAGAAAACAAACTATAATATACATATGTATAAAATTTTGATCATATTGCAGCATGAGGAAAATAGAACTGGTTTTTCTTTTCTGTCGCACATATTGAGTTGTTGTGAACTTTATCTAATGGATTAAGATATAAATTTAAACGCAAATAATTAAAGTGTTATTGATTATGTGGTACGAGTCCGTGTTTTATTTTAAGTGTTGTAACATAACAAAATCAAGCATGCAGATGTGAAAACTACAACTTTGTTTTAAGACTAAATAGGCGATAGTTAGTAATAGTGCATCCCGATCTCTGTCAGAAAATCCTTATTATTACAAATTGGCTTTTAATAGTTAACTAGTCTTCGGCTATCAGATTGCGTAAAGATGGAAAAGTTGATATTACCAGCACATTTGAAAAACTTTGGTAATATCGCCTTGAACACACTCGTTGTAATCAGACTGAATATTAAGTACGTTGGATAAATACAATTATCGCAGGATAAAGCAAAAGTTTTCACGACCTCACAGAAGACCGGCGTGAAGTGGAAGTGTTAAACTTCTGCGTTGCGTCTGGTGAGTTAGGTAACTGAAGCCCACTTAAATACACGTTGGCAACGCATCTGCAACCCTTTTTTTTTACCCTGTCACTTTACATGACAGGGTTATGTGGGATTCTTACCCACTAAAACCCCCTCGGTGGCCGCCTTCCGTACATTTGGAGGGACTCCGGGATCTCCCATGGAACGCACCGGTGTCCCTCGGTACTACGCCTGAGCACGTCTCGGAGAAAGCTAAACCTTCTCCGATTCCCTCACCCTCTTGCAGCAGTACGAAACCACTTCGTGCTGCTGCCCATCCGTGTCCCCTTTTAGTCGCCTTTTACGACAGGCAGAGGATACCTTAGCCCTATTCTATGAGCCCGGGACTGATCTGCAACCCTACGAGTGTCGCTAATATCTATTAGGGCGGCGTTTTTCACTTTTACATGTGATGAAACACCAACTCGTTGCCACCTTCTCACATTAAACGGTCCCCGTTCAAAATCTTAAAATATTTTAATCAGTAAGCACGTTGATGTGGAAGTATATATTAAGGACTTCTTGTCCAATCCATCCAACGCTCGTATTATTCAGGAAGAGGAGACCAAGCCACCTTTCCCGTACCATATTGAAGAACATAGCCGAATCGTCGGCATTGCAACGGCCAGGATCTGCGATCTCCTACTCCTGGCCGACAGGGAGTTCTTCGAGAAGGACGCGAACTCCAGCCTTAAGCACGTGGTGCGAAGGATGATGCACGCCGTTGCCCAAGCCGACATAATATTCAGGAACGCAGATTTCGACGAGGATGGCACGCCGGATAATATCGGTGAGATATTTATTATAACATCACCCTTACCGTACGATAGGAATGCACTTGTTGTCGAAATTAGAAAGACTTTTTCGTTTAATATACAATATAATTTTTGGTTTAAGGCACGGAAACTGTTTCTGGATAAGTTGGCAGATCAATCGCATCATTAATATTTATTTTAATTTAACTTGTTATATGTAATATTTTATAATTCTTTATATGTATCTAATGCAATAATCATATTATATTTTCATAAGTATTTTTTCTTTACTTGTACATACACCTTTTATCTTTGCATCAGCTAATAAGCATCACAGGCTTTTCACCGGATAACTTGTTCAATTTATCTACGCCTTGTACTGTTCTACTAATTTTCGATCCTAATAAATGACGAACATTTCAAATTACAAGAATTCCTTTAAAACCTGAAATGTACTAATTTTCGATCCTAATAATTGACGAAACATTTCAAATTACAAGAATTCCTTTAAAACCTGAAATGTACTAATGTTCGATCTTAATAATTGACGAAATTTCAAATTACAAGAATTCCTTTAAAACCTGAAATGTACTAATGTTCGATCCTAATAATTGACGAACCATTTCAAATTACAAGAATTCCTTTAAAACCAGAAATGAACTTCCTATTTTTCGCAAATTTCACGAGTAAGGATAATTCCGAGCTTAATATTTTGTAGGTTTCTCCGTGAAATACATTCTTGTGCTGACATCGAACGAAACCAACGCTCGTGTGTTTGGCGACCTGCTGAAAGAGCGCGCCATAGACGGAAGGAACTATTTGATGCGATTCGCGAGGCTTCGTAGGCTTTCCGAAGTTTGTCTTGGCGTGGCCTTCTCAGGGCATGTGTTCCACAACAGAACTCTGGGCTTGAGGTGAGTCGTCTTTTAGAGTATTCAAGGTTGTAAAAAAATAACCGGGTAATAAAAAAAGTAAAAGAGTATAAAAAATAGAAACGTCTATTTTATAACACATATATTCAAACTTCAAATTGTTACATGTCAGATTTTGTATTATACACCAATAAATTAATAAATGCGGCCTCTTAAATTCATTGGTCTTTCACCGTATTGGTACGAAAGTGGTATGTACGGTAATATTATAATGTCTTCACTTTTATACTCCAGTTTTTAACTAAAGAGATAATATAACAATATATATACTGGAAGAATAGTAATCGTCAATAATTAAACAATTTCAAATAAAAGTAAATAATATATTTATCTCTAATATAATATAAACACCTTCAAAAACTATAAACTCCTCCGAAACGGCTTGACCGATTTGAAATTTTGTGTGCATATCGGCTAGGGTGGAGAATTGGACAACATCTATTTTTCATACCCTAAATGTTAAGGGTGGTCCACCCCAAACATTTTTTTCTACCCTACAAATAATTTATATGGCAAAACCACGTTTGCCGGGTCAGCTAGTAATCTATAATACATTTTATTAGATTTCAAACCACATTTAGTTTTTTACAATTAATTTTTATTTGTTACAATAATTGATTTCCTATTAGCCGTAAATTGGCGTCACATCTTTTGTCTATGGTTGTTGCGTGCTTAGTTTCGCTTTGACAGTATATGTGTCAACGGATCATTGATATTTTCCTGTTAGTCGTGCATTCGTTTCACATTTTTGTCTGTGGATGTGGCGCGCGATTCACATTTTGTCTGTGGTTGTGGCGCGCGTACAGTTTCGCTTTGGTCGCATGTGCCGCAGCTTCACGTCGCTTGGCGGCGGGATGGGGGGCGCCGCGGGGGGCCTTTGCGACCGTCGGGCTTACGGGCGCTCCTTCAACACGCTGGCTTTGGCCCACGCCACCGCCGACGACAAGGATCGGGTGCCCGAGCGCATAGCCGCCCTCACGCTCGCACATGAAATGGGTGAGAGTAACAATAACAAGCGTTTTTTTTTTTATGTAAAAGGAGGCAAACGAGCGAGCGCCACACGGATTGAAAAGCTCTCGGTCATCAAAGAGAATACTGGCGGTGAATGCGCATTCGCCTACAGTAAAATTGAACATTCTGAATTCAAATCGTAGTGTATTCAACTCGCGGCGAATGCATCTATTACCACCGAATAGCCTGTCAGCCTTCTAGAAAATAAATCTAAATTTAAAATGTGACTTTAATCGATAACCTTTTTGGGCGCTGCCAGGGTTCCATCCAGCTTCAGAATAACGCATCAATATGTAAACTAGCGTATATCAAGCCAAATAAGCTAAGTACCTCGTGACACGGCGTCAAAATATCGCGAAAGTATCTATTTATTTGCAACTTCACGAAAATAAATAGTAACTTCGCGAAAATCTGTTGAATATTTAAATTTTATGTGAACTTCCCCATCGGATATTGGTTCTTCGAGCTGTATGGCCGGCCCATTGCCACTTCAGCTTACTAAGCCTCTGTCTAAGATATGTTTGTCGGATACATGGGGAAGATTACATAACCGAAAGAGAAGAAAAGTTCTCAAGTTGTAGCCCCTCGTACTGGCGATCCTAGTGTAGGGGACGACCCCTACTAGATGGAATCTCGACCTGTGCAAATATGCGGGAAGTTGATGGATGCAGATGGCTCAGGATCGCGTTTTGTTGCAGTCTGTGTACGATAGGCCTATGTTCAGCAGTGGTTAATGATAATAGGTTAGGTTCGTTAATAGGTGTACATTTTTATATATTGAGCAGCCACAAAAAGCAGGTCGACGTCATTAATAGATCATTTTTTTTCTCAAAATCTAATTGACCGCAAATTTTTACTTCGTAAATATTGTATCGGTTATGTATTTCTATCGATTAAAATATTTGTATACCAAAAATGTGCGTAAGCCTAGGGGCTTTTCTATTGTATGCTAAAATGATGATGATGATGTAAACTTGGGTATCGATACGCCACCATACGGGCTGTGGCCCCAGGTCACAGTTTTGGCGCGCACCACGACGACAACTTCCCCAACCCCGAGTGCCGCGGCTACCTGATGGGCTCGCAGTCCTCCACCACGGAGAGCGGCCATCACTTCGAGTTTTCGCTGTGCAGCAAACGCCTAATTGCCGCGACGCTAAGCAGCATGAGCTACTGCCTCGTCGAGCAGGACAGACCTTACTGCGGTAACGGTGAGCTCTCCCAGGTTTTGGTTCAACGGCGCCGGGGTTCGCGGAGGATTGGGTAAACGTGTCCGCACTTTCTGGTAGACCAGTTTTGAGATATGCTATCTCTCTCACTCTCCCAGACGTCCGTATACGGGCTATCTGGCTGGCGGTAGAGGTTACGTTCATAAGTGTGTATCGTACCTGTACAGATTTACGTATTCGCGTGTTAAAAAAGCGACAAGGGAGGTGCAACGTATAGCGGGTTCTCGGATATCGGGGACCCCCTCATACCACGCTGTCTATCCAAAAGGCAGTGGGAATCCATAAAGAATTTTTCCCACGTTAAAATAAAAAGTTTTACTTGAATAAAACTATTTTATAGTGTTTTGATCACAAGTTGCCATATCACACAGTTTGGAACGATTGATTCGAGCAGAAATGTGCTGAACTTGGATGAGTTCAGCACATTTCTGCTCGAATCACTCGTTTATCTCATTAATCACTCACTCAATATCATGTTCACTTATTCAATGTCCCGGAATAAGAAAAACAATATCGAATCTTAGGTTGCGTGAGACCGCAACTTATGCTACGTGATTGCACTGATAGGCAAAGGTTCCTCTATACAGGTGTATTAGACATATTCCACCATGCGACCTCACTGCTTATTTGCACATATCTTCGAATTAACTTTTTGGTTATTGTTTCAAAAATATTCAGGCTTCCTCACTATGTTTTCCTTCACCATGAACCCTGAACACGTGATAAGTGAGCACTTAAAACTGCAAGTCACAATTTCATTGGCGCCGGAATCGGAATTCGAACTCAGGTTCTTCGAGTATATTGAATTAAAAGCGAGCGCCCGGACACTGGGCTACCACGGCTCTATGTGGGAGGGTAACCACAGATTAAATAAGAACTGCACTGGCAGGCATAGTGGAGGAGGGTGAGGCATGCGACTGTGGTCTACCCTCTCAGTGCAACCGCAGGGACCCTTGCTGCACGCCGCGGGCTGGAGGTGCCCTGGTCTACGAAGAAGGGTAAAGTAGCTCTGAGCAAATATATTTTTTTATAGAACGTCGGATGCCTCATATCTCTAATCTGCCTAAAGTGCTTCATGTATGATGATCCAACGAGTCGATCGTTTGTCAAATTTCACCAAGGAAAGTATGGAATAGTATCCTAATATGGAATAAAGCAATTTCTCTAAGAATATAAGTATGAAACTAAACACATGACCATCTTCTGTTTCATTCGGTCTATTTACTACCTCACTCACACCATCGTGTCAGTTGCGCGAACGCTACAAGTGTGGCCGGTGTTTTTTGTTTTGTTGTCACGCAGAAAATTTTAAAGGTAAGTAGTAATGTAGCCAGGAATAGCAGAGCCGCCGGGTACTGGGGGCCGTACACCTTGGACTTCCATATATGATTTTTGGTTTTTGCCATAGTTGCCACGCTTGGCGAGCGGATTGGAAACCGCAGTTCTTCCAGACACCTCGCACCGATAACGCTGCTGCCCGTTATTGGCCTGGATATTTGGGTCTGGAGAATTAAGATGGTTATCCCGCCATCTATCGGAGGCCACTGGATGTTTGTGGCTTATCCCTTAGTCGCCTCTTACGACACCCACGGGATGAGATGGGGTGGCTTATTCTTACGCCGACACCACACGGTATATGTATACATACGTAATAACTGGTAATAATTGAGTATTACCAGTTATTACGTATGTATACATAGGTGTTTTACTATTTAGTATATCGATATTATGTTTATTTCAACGTTTTGTGATATTCTGTCATTAAAATATTGTGATTTGAAAAAAATATTTAGATGATTTTAAACAAGTATAAAAATCCAAATATGGACAGTCGTCGGTGTCTAATTATGGAATATTCCATAATTAGGTCTTTATATTTCACATGTTAGGTACTTGCTACTATTTCTTTAAAAAAATTTTGTTATGTTTGTTTTTAGAATGTCTGCTTCACAATCAACCAAGAAACGAAAAACCTGGGATGAAGAAAAAATGGCAGAAGCTATAAAATTCGTCCGGGGAAATATAAGGGGATATTTGAAAGCAGCACTGCATTTTGAAAGAAAAGCTGCTATAGCAACAGTCATAACATCTTCACCCTACAAAAATTATTTAGTAAATAAAAATATGAAGAGACAAGAAAAAGAAAGTAAGACAAAGAATAAGAAGAAAACTGCGAAGAGAAACAAACAAACGAAGAAAAATAGAAATGATCGTGAAGAAGAAGACTCTGAGGAACGGGACGTCATCCAGTTTGATGAAGACAGTGAACATGATGAGTTGATGGACCAAGTATCTCCTGACTCTGCTGATGCAGAATGTATGTTCTGTTCAAACCTTTTCTCCATGGATAAAAGTGGAGAAAGCTGGATTAAATGCTTGATGTGTGGACTCTGGGCACATTATGATTGTGCTGGTCCAGAGTTTGATACTTGGATCTGTGACTTTTGCAAGTGAATTTAGTAACTTCGTTCGTTTATAACAATATGTTATTTTAATTTATTTGATCTCATAGATATTTATGTCTATTTTTGTTATTGATATGATGATTTATGCTTATATTCCATATATGGGTACCTATTCCATATTTGGTTACTCATTTGTGATTTTGGTTTTGTGTTAGATTTTAATTTGGTAACTAATATATTTGATTAAAGGCTGTTAATTACTAAATATAAATGTCTGACTGATTAGTAATTACATTAAACTGTTTGTTTCTATGAAGTTTTTTTTTTTATATCCCTGAAACAAAATGGTATTCCATATTGGGTGACTTTCCGTAAAAGTTTGTTGCCCGATTTTACTAAACGTTTCTGTACCGTTTTTTTTGTATCTGAGAAGATGTCAAACGAGCTGGGGTTCACCTGTTGTTATGTGATAACCGCCGCCCATAGACATTTTCAACACCCGAAGGGTTGAAGTTTGAAGATGCTTTGCGTGACCCTACCACAGTTATATTTATTTATATATATTTTACGATTGCCTTCATAATTATAAACCATGCCTGGTGGTAATCGGTGACAATCAGTTTTTGTATGCGGTAAAAGTAGTACAGATAAGATGTTCACAGCCTCTCAAATCGGCCAGATGTTTCCAAGCATGCGTAAAGCTATGATGACGCAATTGATTATGCACCCCGTCCAAACCGTTTTTGCTTTCCTATCTCATTCGCCCAAGATCGTTTTCTAATACAGACGCTTGGGAAATCTGCAATTCTTAACGTAACTAATCTTTATATGCAGGGCGCTGCATAAGGAAGGCTGCTCCGTGGCCCCGTCGGCAACTTGCCATCCGTCGCAGGGGCTCTGTTGCAACGCGGACTGCCAGTTTGCGGACCTGAAGCAGAGCGGCATTGTACGCAGTGACATACCGTAATATTGAAGAGCTCAAACGTATTTATGCTAAGGCTCATTCAATAAGCCTATATTGTATGAAGTTGTCCAGATTGAAGAATCTTTTAGATGCCTTATTTAGTACATACATGACAATCTAGGGTTAATTTTTTATTGCTAGTGCTGACCTACAATCCAGATAAAATTTAAAAGTAAGTTTAATAGACGAACTTTGAGATAATTTTGCGTTTCTGGACGATTCAAACCCGCCTCTTACGGGTAACGCCTCAAACGCTCTAGCTAATTAAGTGGTCCGATATCCTCACGGCGCCCAAGTCTCGACAGCTATCTTTTTAGCTTCACCTATAAGTTTTATTTCTATTTATTTTTGTTTTGATACTTTTATGATATTATTAACATTTAAAAAAATGTGTTTTTCCATTCTGCGACGTCGTCAATATAAATCACCTTGTACAGACCGTGGCGATGGTTCCGCGAATTCTGTGCAAATAGTCTGCTACAAGATACGAGATAACTCGTCAACGTAGCTACTAATTATCACAAAAATTATATTTATTTATTCTTTGACTTAATTTATTGGCATTCTCTACCACTCAACCTGGGATGTGAGGAGGTATCGTGCTAGGTATATATGAAATTACAATATGGATTTATGTGAATAAAATCAATACATACACACATTACACATCACAAAAATTATAGATCTCTATATAAGATATCATACAAAAATTAATACATACATTATATACAATACAAGTTTTTTGCAGCGCTTCAACAACCAGCTGTTTGAGCGTGTGGGAGCGATTTTAACTGCGTCACTCACCTTCACCACACACATATACCCTCTGGCATCCATAGTGATTACTCTTAACTTCAAAGGCATACTTAAATTATCCCCCGCTCAATAACCATTTCGTCTCTGGTATAGCGGGCGGCAAACATCTTGATGCATAATTTAAAAATTAGAGCTCTAAGTCATCAGCGAGAAGCAGGAGGCAGTATTGAGAGCTACGAGATTAGTTGCAACTTTTTTCTGCGTCACGATTTTCATTATATTTATTTATTCTTTGACTTAATGTCTATTGGCATTCTCTACCACTCAACCTGGGATGTGAGGAGGTATCGTGCTAGGTATATATGAAATTACAATATGGATTTATGTGAATAAAATCAATACATACACACATTACACATCACAAAAATTATAGATCTCTATATAAGATATCATACAAAAATTAATACATACATTATATACAATACAAGTTTTTTGCAGCGCTTCATGTTTGAGCGTGTGGGAGCGATTTTAACTGCGTCACTCACCTTCACCACACACATATACCCTCTGGCATCCATAGTGATTACTCTTAACTTCAAAGGCATACTTAAATTATCCCCCGCTCAATAACCATTTCGTCTCTGGTATAGCGGGCGGCAAACATCTTGATGCATAATTTAAAAATTAGAGCTCTAAGTCATCAGCGAGAAGCAGGAGGCAGTATTGAGAGCTACGAGATTAGTTGCAACTTTTTTCTGCCGGTCACGATTTTCATTATACTTATTTATTCTTTGGCTTAATGTCTATTGGCATTCTCTACCACTCAACCTAGGATGTGAGGAGGTATCGTGCTAGGTATATATGAAATTACAATATGGATTTATGTGAATGAAATCAACACATTACACATCACAAAAATTATAATATCTATATATAAGATAGCATACAAAAATTAATACATACATCATATACAATACAAAAATGTAAGTGTACCTACTGGCCATCGCAGTGTCGGACGATCTCTACTACTCGTAGATGGAAAAACGACCTGTGCAAGTGTGCGTGAAGTCGATGGATGCAGGTGGCTCAGGATCGTGCTCCATGGCAGCCTGTGGGGGACGCCTATGTTCAGTAGTAGACTCAAACAGGCAGAAATGATGATGATGATGAAACCTAGAAGATCTATTGAGGTCTCGCCGATCGATGTACCAGGAGTGCAGCGGGCAGAAATGATGTTGGTGAAACCAAGAAGATCTATTGAGGTGTTGCAGATCGATGTACCAGGAGTGCAGCGAGCAGAAATGATGATGTTGATGATAAACCTAGAAGATCTATTGAATTCTTGCTGATCAATGTACCAGGAGTGCAGCGGGCAGTACGAGGAGTGCCGCTGCGCGAACACCACATGCGCCTGCGGTTTGGGCGGCCGGTGCATGCCGGACGGCTCGTGCCACGCGGCGGAGTGCGCGACTCTCGGCCTGGCGGAATGCCGCTGCACTAGCAGGGGCACGGTGAGCGACCCTTCACTATTTCCAAGTAGAGCGAGAACGTAAACCTAACGCTCTACGGTTTCGATCGAATCGTAAAGAGACGACGTGTGCGTTCGCCACGTTTGCGACTACCATGATGGAATGCAGCTAGGGTGAAGCTTGGCGAATTAAATAAAACAGTTATAACTCGGACGATAGAGACAACTTTTGATATTAATTTAACATCTAACATGTAAAAGTAAACAATTAGAAATTTCTTTTATAGCATATTCTGGCCATGAATGCGTTGAGTTTCGCGTAAAACTTTTGACTGCCTTGTCAAATCCATTTTATCCCGTAAAATGTTTGGAAACCTGCCCAGTATACAGCGTGTCGTTACCAACGCGACAATAAATGAACACACATATAGATGATAACTTTTTAAAATTGTATCAAAAATTTACATTCTTCAAACATCAATATTTACAGAGTTATTAAATTTTCCAAAACAAAGAATTTTAGAACATCCTTACCTATAAAACTGTAACGCAAAGTTCATTTGTAAAGGTCACAAAGCGTATGAACGGGTTGAATGAATTTAAAAGAGACAAAACATCCTGTTAGAAGGAGAGGCTTGTAATGCGATGCCGTGACAACGAATGAAAAAGTCTCCGAATGTATGAATCAGTCAGTTGTAGTTGTATAGGTGTTACAAATTTTGTTTCATTTTTACTTAATTAGTTTGTTTGAAAAATATTTTTTTTTAATTATGGATATTTTTTAACGTTAATATTTTTTTATGATTATTGGCAAGTAGCGTTAGACGTGTGTTTATTTATTGTCGCGATGGTAACGACACGCTGTATAAAAAAACTACCATTATCATTTTATAACATTTAAAAAAATTAATAGCATTTTTAAACTAATTTCACTATACCTCGACAATGCCTTCGAACAAATCGAAAAAGAAAATGTCTGGAGAAATAGAGGGGATACATATACTTTAATGCTAATTTAAACATGTACCTATGACGAATGAGAAAATGCGAATATTCTACAGGGCGGCGTCATAGGCGAGCTCAACTGGTGCGGTGTGTGTTGCCAGCTGCGTTACGGGCGCGGCGGCCTCAAGTGTGTGGGCGCCGAGTTCGCGGCGAGGGAGGCCCTCCTCAGCGGGAACTTGCCCGACGATTGGCCTGACGCGACTTATAATGGGCGTTAGTTGACCTGATTTTAACTATGTTTTACAGCGATTGAGACGTTTAGTTGCTTCTTCTGTGGCATGAAGGACCCTGAAGGGCCCCGGTCTCACATAAGACCAACGTGAAGTAGTCTAGTACCAGGGCTCATTGTCTATACATCAATCGCACTCTCCATCGGTGTTATAGACTTCCATAGGCCGTTGTAATTACTTAACATTGGTTAAATCGCCTGCTCGCGGATTTGCTTTCACACAAAAAAAAATTCTGAACTGAGTAGTTCCAATTATAGCCGAAATGGACATAGTGAACCTTACTGTAAATCGTTATATAAGGGTAGATACAGGATACTGATAGTTCTTTATCACAACTCTTGATTAACGTGAAAAACGCACTAGCTGAGCACAAGCTCATTGATTCCTCTAAAAGGGGCTGCTAGTACAGTAAAGTAAAACAGCCTATGCCACTGCTGAGCAAAGGCCCCACTGCGGATTGGCGGACTTTACATATCTTCGAAATATATATTTTTCTGTTATTATTTGGAAAATATGCAGGTTTCCTCACGATATTTTCCTTTAGCACGGAGCACGTGATAAGACAGCACTTAAAGTCAATAATTTCATTGGTGCCGGCACCGGGGATCGACCTCTGGTTGCTCGAGTTGTTCCACGAATGGGCAGGTCCGTCTGGGTAAGTATCACGATCTCACAGAATGACAATGAAATCGGTTATACAGCGTCTCTCCGAACTAGAGATGTAAACCGGTTTGAAGAAACCGGTGAAAAATCCGGTTTTTAATAGAACCTATTAAAACCGATTTTTGTTTAAGAAAACCGGTTTTATTGAAAGCAAAATATTGATCCATCTATCACGTACGACATCTTACGCTTAAACCAAGTACCTTATAACAAACATAGAACGGAAATCTACGACAAGTGAGTAAGCACTTCGCGCTAGATGTATTAGAAAGTATTATTTATATGTAATAAAACATTTTAATTTAAACGGTGGTAGCGCCACGCAGCAGCCTCGGCTGTTGCACGAATGGGCAGGCCCGTCCGGGTAAGTACCACGACCTCACAGAAGACCAGCGTAAAGTGTAAGTATGACAAATACTTTGGCCTTTCGTCTGGTGAGTGAGGTCGCCGGAGCCCAATTTTCAAAAGGTTGTCAACGCATCTGTAACCCTCGGGTGTAGCAGATATCCATGGGCGGCGGTATTTACTTAACATCAAGTGAACCGTCTGCTCGATTGACAAGTTTTCGCATAAAAAAAAAGCATTTTAATTACAGTCACAAGACCTACAAAACCCCTTTAAATGTCTATACTGGTTGCTGTTTCTCCCTTACCTGCGGTTTATGGGTATCATGACTTTAGTACAATAAGCTCTTTTTACAAAGCTTAATAAAAAACCTTTAAAAACCTAAAAAAAAAACGATTTTTTTTTTTAAAAGTAATCGGTATAAAACCGGTGTGTAATATTGTAATCGGTTCACATCTCTGCTCCGAAAGGCTGCATCGTCCGCGGCGCCTTACCCGCCGGGCGCCTTTAATGTTTTGGCGCGAAATTCAAACAACTCTGTCAACGTGCGTTCTGGAACAGCGAACGTGACGATGCGGCTGTGCAGCCGCGGCACGTGCCGGGTGATGTCAGTGCGCGCGTGGCCGCCTGCTGGGCCGTGCGTGTCGCGTAACGCGGTTGGCGTCTGCTCGCCGCGCGGCGTCTGCGAAAACGCCGAGTACACGCCGCGCTCCAACGTTTACCCGGACATCATGGTTACCAACCAAATTGAACTCCCCTTCCATTTGTCTGTCGATCTGACAATATCTTGAAAAAAGCACTAGATAATGCAAATGATTATTATCTGCTGCTTCCTTCAATTTATCATTTCTTGTGCTAAACCTTTGTTCTTTTACGTTTCCACATTGACTTGGTTCCATTTAGCCGGTCCTCTTATTATTGTTTCCCCTAGTTTGCCCTTTTTTGGTTATTTCGGTAATTACCATTTTCTCCGTTAACCATTCCCTTTATCAGCCTTTTTCTATTAACCCTACTTCTCATAATCTTTACTTGTTATGTATCCTTTCTTCTAAGTAACATTTTTTCTTTTCATGTTTTCTTCTATTTAGCATACTTTCTAAGTAAACTGTACTCTTTCGTCTATGACGATCAACTGGATTGAGTAATGAATTGAATTGAGTACAAAAGTCAAAATCAAAATTAGTCTTAATTAAATTTTATTATAAAAAATCAGATAATTAAATAATTTCTAAAACATTACTGTACTTACTACATAATCATATGTCATATATATATATATATAACAACTCTTCTCTCCTCTGCTCCCAAAAACCCTACTTGAACTCAAGCTCGCAAAAACAGATGATCGTCATCTGTATTTACGAGATTGAGTTCAACCATGAAAAAACGAAAGAATGTATAAATGTGATAAAACACTTGTCAAAAAAATTATCTTAGATGACTTTGCTTTAATTTTGTTTTAAATTAGTGTGTGTGTAAATAACTACCTACAACACAAGGCATATAAGGTACCAAAATAAAGTTGTTTGCTTGTCATTTATTGTTTGGTTAATAATGATAATAATCTTCTTTTCAGAACAAAATGGTGGAACCAAATTGTTCACGAACGCGCCACTCTGATTTAAATTTTCTATTATATTTATTTATACTGAGGCTAATAAATGAAACAATATATTGCTTTTTATTTTTATTACAAACATCATCAAAAATCTGGATCATCACAGATCATGCTATTCATCCATTTATTATACAAGGTTCATAACGTTTATTCAATTAGGATAAATAACTTCAAATGAAAATTTGAATTTGAGACTAAGGAATCATCGCCCTCCATTGAACAAAGGTAGGTTTGGTGGGTTATTTAAAAATGTATGTGATTACACGGCAAATATACCGCTTTATGGCAGTAATACATTACTTGAATAAATTTATACAAAGGCATCATAAACAAGTAAGAGTTGTAGATATGAGTGTATAAATTATGAATATTATGTACTCCTGCTCTGGTATACCCCAAAAGTCGTCAGGCCTAACGTCTGATTTGGGCCTCACCAACTAAGATGGATATACAGACAAAGAGTTCAAATGGATTGGGATTTTTGGGGTATTATATTTGGTACCGACTCACACGCTCTATAATTCAAACACATCTCCGTCAAACTCATCACGTTTATGTAAACGGCATATAATATATAGCCATCCACTCACTGAACCGGAACTCGCCCTACGGAGGAATGTGACGTTATTGCGAGAAGAAGACCCAACATGTACTGGAGGCGTGCCCGGCCTGGACGTAGCAGCGCCGAGAACTAAGCGCTATAGTACGGCACGACCCCTTGCCTCAGAAATCTCAGTTGAAACTAACCCATCTCGGAGAAGAAAACCAGACAGCATATTACTTGGACCTAACAGGAAAAAAAACAGATAATCGTTCTCTCAGTTCTCAAGATGTCCACCCACTTGCTGATGAAAAAAAAGGGTATCGGGATTTCAACAAATCGCCATTCATAGTTCACGTTAGCTGTAAAGAATCTGATCATAACGCTGAGATCAATGTTCTTATGTAAGATTAAACTAGGCAAATTCCTATACAAAAAAAATATTTCCAATTTTGTTCGGAATGGAGTAAAACGCCTATAGAATAAACGGCGTATAGAATTCAACTCAGCTGAATCTGGGAGCCTAGACAAAGTGACATCTTCGTTAACGTTAACGAAGTTAGAAAAATCCGAAATGTATGGAAGTGAAATAAGCTCTCGAAATGTCACGTGATCAATCGTTTTCGATCGTATAAATCTTGGCTGCACTGCTTGCCTCATCGTTGTCGTCTTTCGCGGTCTACGGTTAGGGAAGTCTCAAGCAAGAAGAGTGAAGAAAAGTTATAGAAGATGAAGAAACATTACAGAAGAAGAAGTGTAGTGTTGTGCTCGTAGGCAGGTTCCTGTCCGTAAGTATAATTCTACACACATTTCTCGTCTCAGAGGCGGCAGTGTAATTTTATCTGTGTGCTTGTTGACTTAGGCGACAGCTAGGTCCCGTGAGGAGTTGCCAGATCTCCCATCGGGCGCGTCCCCAGGTGGCGGATAAGGGAATATCATCCAAACCTGGGTGATACCGGGAAACCGGCGCGGACCAAAACTGGCAGGGGGGGGGGCGTTCTGGGTGTCCTTTTCAGGACTTAGGGACGCCCAAGGACTCAAAGTCCTAGGAGGCAAGCTTGCAAGGCAAGCCTTCGTTGCTCCCAGTATCTCTCTCCCGTGAGAGAGGACAGGGGATGCAATCACGTGTGATGTATGAAAGGAAGTTCCCGAGAGGGGACAGTATGATTCGCGCGGTGCGTTTGGCAAGTGCACTCGGCTTTTGCCGACACCGGGTGATCTCGGTACTCTGCTGCAGGTGTCGTGGATCACGTCTCGCGGCCTGTGGCAGAACTGAGGGTCTTGCCTTAACCGGCCGGACCACGAGGAGTAAACCTCACTAAAAAATCCGGAAATTTCGGCGTTGCGGTGCGCGGCGTCGGATGCTCGAAAGAGCGGCTGGACCGTCAAACCAGTCCTAGCGGCCAACCCTGGGTACCTCCCGAACCCCAGGTGTATGTAGGGTTACCGTGTTATTGGGTCCCTGACTCGGTGGACTTATAATTACCCTTTACGGAATCATCGCACAAAAAAAACAAACAGACGAACAAATCGCAAACGGACAAGGACAAGGATATGCTTATCGAAATGGCAGAAACGGATAGACGCATGGACCGACGGAGGTCTGCGTAGGGGAGTTGAGTCGGGCGCCTGATAACGTGCCCTCAAAGTTTTTTAGGGACGTTAGAAAGCGCCCGAGAGGCGGAGACAAAGACCCAGAGAGCGGGGCTTCTAGCAAGGACGAGCAGCCGGCGCAAAAAGTGCCAGCTGGGAAAAGTGGCCGGGGCGCACAGCGTCTCCGGCTATAGCGAGGGACGTGCGCGGGCGGTTCCTGAAAACCGTTAGTGTGCAGAGCGAACGGTCAAGGTCAGGAAGCAGGAGCGGGACCAAGACTACCGCTGACGAAGAAACAGAGACTAGCGCAGGTGAGTGTATTAGCCTAACCAAGCCTAAGGCGGCACTAGCTGCTATAGAGCGCGCAAATAAAGAGCTCAAGGCAGAAGAGGAGGTGCTGGTTTATGCAGCGCGCAGGGCGCGCGAGCATAAATCAATATGTCTCAGCGAGGTCTCAGCTGATGAAGCAGACCAAATGCCTCTGGCAGGTGACCTTCGTGATCAGGTCCTCCAGCAATTGGAGATTGTCACGAAGGTCGCCGTTAAATCAAAAAATTTAAAGGGCACGTTTGTGCGCGCTCTTAAAGAAGCGGCCTCAACAATAAAAGATGCCGTTGAGACGCTGTCAAAAACAACTTTGACGGACGAAACAAAAAAAATGGCGGCGGACAACAAGCGCTTGAAGTCAGAGGTCCTAGAGCTCCGCAGTGAGTTAGCTGCGCTGCGGTCGGATCTGCGAAAGACACAGGAAGTGCTCCCGTCTGGGCCGACACCCTGAATCGCCAGACCATGGTACTTCTTCGCATACCGCAGAGGGCCATACGGGGCTACCGGACGATATCCGGCGCGTTGGCAGGTTCCCTTCCCTGGGACCTAGAAGCCAGTATTCTCGCGTCACTGCACTTCTGGCGCGAGGAGGCGATAGGCAGGGGCCACCTGCCGGCCTTAGAGGAGTTGAGGGGGCGCAGACTAAGGTTGCGCTCACTCGCTGTCGCCGAGTGGGAGCAGAGGCTGGAGCACCCCAGTGCCGGCCTAAGAACCATAGAGGCCATACGTCCGGTACTCAGTCGGTGGCTGGACAGGCGTCACGGCACCCTTACCTACCGGGCGACGCAGGTTCTCTCGGGACATAGCTGTTTCGGGAGGTACCTGTGCCGCTTGGCGGGGAAGGAGCCAACAGCGGATTGCCACCACTGCGACGTATGTGCCGAGGAGACGGCCCAACACGCACTGGAGGAGTGCCCAGCCTGGCGGGAGCAGCGCCAAGAGCTGATGGCTATCGTGGGGCACGATCTCTCGCTACCCGCCGTGGTCCGCGCTATGGTGGACAGCGAGAGGTCGTGGGGTGCCGTCCTTGCATTCTGCGAGGACATAATCACCCGGAAGGAGGCCGTGGAGAGAGAAAGGGAGGCAACTGCCACCCTGGAAATACCTGGGAACTGCCCCCTGATAGCAAGCTCCGGGGCGGCAGATGTGGAACTAACTGCTGCCCCGCGGAGGGCTTGAGAGGGGTGCCGTGCTCATTGCACCGACACGGCACCATTTGGCTGGACCGGGTGTCTAAGCACCCGGGGAGAGGAGGCCTGAGAAGGCCACAGTCGGGCCGGGGTTCGCGGAAGATTGCGTTTTCGTGTTCCCGTGTCCCCGGCAATGCGATAGCGCAGGTGCAACGTGGATTTTTTAGTGGGTACCCTGTAACGGATCCCTCTTCCCACAAGGCGGCGGGGGATCCATAGAGGATTTTTCCCACGTAAAAAAAAAGGCGACAGCTAGGTACTCACCCTAGCGCACCTAAAGCGCAGGCGATTAAAGGTTAAATTTAGGCACACACCTCCCTGCCGCAAGGTGGGGAGGCCTATTTAGAAACTAGACGCCGGCGCCCCGCCGGCGTCTAGTTTCAAAGCCCCAAAGGCTCAAGCGCCGTCATGGGTTCCCTTTTAGAGGATTTCCTGCGGCAGGAATGTACTGAAATATGGCCAAAATATTTGAATTTCGCGAGAGAACGGCGCTTAGTCGCCGAATTCTCAAGCGACAGTCCGGCTTCGCCGCCATCCGGTGCCCTATGCACCAGCCATCGAGTCGCCCTCTGCGACTGTAGAAACGCCCGTCGCGTCGACCTCCGCCGCCGCGAACGAACCCAACGCGCTTTCCGCGCTACCAATTTCGGCCCTCTTCTGCGCTTAAGTTCCCCACTCACAATCGGACGGCTCAGACATGGAGGTCGAAACGACCCCCGCTAACAACGCGAACGCCGACGGCTTCACCGTCGTTAAATCGCGTAAAAAGGCAAAAAACGCCCCGCAACAGACAGCGAACTCGAATGCGAGGCCGCCCCATCGAGGTTCCCACATTCACCTCCGAGCGATAAATTAAGCCACTGGCGCCAATAATCATACAGGAAAAGGCAAAGTGGCACCAGGTATGCTCATGGTTCAAACGCCATAACATCCGTGACCCTCGTTCTAAGAATATTCTAAGAATATGTGTATCCGCGTATACCTAGACACTACGGACGATTTCCGCCGCGTGACCAAATACTTACGCGAAGCTAAGGTAGATTTCCATACCTACTCGCTACCCGAAGAGCGAAAACTTCAGGTTGTAATCAAGGGCATCCCGAAAGAGTCTGATGTCGATAAGGCTAAGATCTGCGCACGCCGTTCGTCGCCTCAGGCACCCTCGTACCCTTGTCCCTAT